TCATTTTTCATAATCATAACACATATTTAGGTGTATATTTATTCTTACAAGCAGTATTATCGCATAGTAGAATATATCTGCCCTAAGAATGGATTTTGTGTAACAAAATATGCCAGATTAGTGCAAAGTGTATCGCCTGTAGTAATAACATCTGTGCTCTGTGCATACTCAATACAATAATATTCAACACAAAAAGAGAGTTGTGTGCAACTGAGCATTGGAGAATCACTTTTTCTGTCCAGTAGGACTCTTTCTTCCGACTTCTCTCGTATCTGCTGCTCCGCAGTCGCCTAGCACGACCGCGAGTCTGATCCGTTTGTATCATGTGTAGACCTACATGTCACACGTCACACGTCCATATGATATGTCACACGTGATTTATCGTGTGTAAGAAATATCGGCAATAAGAATCAAATGTCGTGTTTCAAACACCCACGCTATAACCGATACCTACTGTACTAGGCACCCCAAAGTGCATTTTTGTCGCATGCCTCAGCTAGATTTGTATACATTGTCACACCTAGGGATGTCATTGTCCCGATCTCAGGTTTGCAAAGGTTGGCGGGTATGCGGACGTCTACCGTAAAAGTGGGAAGTTCCGGTTGGTAAGCATTGTGCTCGCTCGGTGCCACAATGGACTATTTCCCCAGGCTACGGTGAAACTTCAGTGCAAGCACCCTGGATAGAACATGTTTTTCCAAGAATATGTGATACCAAGTAGTATCATTAATTCACACACTTTTTTCCTTTTCTTTAGGGTGACATTTTTTCCTTTTCTGGTTTTCTGGTTTTGCATTAAATTTGTATTGCATTTTCATCCATTGTGTTTCTTTTGCCCGTAAAAGAGGCTTCAGAATAGTGGTCATTAACTCTTTAAACAGTCTGAGCTGCATCCCAACTTCAATGGCAATCATGTAGCGTCGCAAACTGCCCATACATAGTATCCAAACGTGTTACAGTGTATTGTTTATTACTACAGCCATACCTGCTGTCAGGATGTATTGGCCATCAGGAGAGAGGCGTACTTTCGTTGACGCTGTAGGCATCTCAAACTCCTGAAGGAGTTGGATACGCTTCTGCAAGCCAGCATCATTTTTCACCATGGAACGTCGCTTCCTCTCCGAAATCCAGTCTGGCAGTGTTTTGCCTGAGCTAAGATTGTAAATCTTGACATCGTTGACGTCTACAACCTGCATTTTTGCAGCAGTTCACAACTACACTGGGATTTTGTCAGAAACACTTCACACCATGGTTCTGCTTGACCTTCAGCTGTAAGTTAACACTAACTGTAACACGTAGCTCTTCATCGCCATCAACATTATTTTCACACACAGCTATCAAATAATTCAAGCCGTTTCTTCTTTTCCACAAGCACTAAATATATAATTCGATTTTTCGTGCTGAAAGATATATCTACACACGTACACGTGCAAACATCATGCATGAACAATATAGTCAGCTGATTATTTTTTTGATCTTGAAATCAGCGTCACGGCGCCATTTTCCCCATGGAAACGCCTGTAGAGGAGGTGTAAAAATTTTACATCTGACATCATTCCATTATCATGATTATGGCCATGGCATATTTTTATAATCACAAAATCGAGTAAATAATAACAAGACTCTTAAGTTAAGGTGGCTCCTACCCCTCGGGTCCAAATTTTTTTTGTTTGAAACGTGGCTACAAACGATTGTACTTTGTTCCGTAGGATATCTAGTGTACGGAGACAACATTTTATCAAGTTCTACCGGCCGGTTTCACTCGGGGGAGGGGCCAAACATAGCATACTCACAATTGCCAATTTTGGCCAAAAAACACCGGAAAACCACTTTTTTGGCCGTAGCACATGATTTTCTCTGCTTGCTCGTGTAACATACTGTGGAGGTGAGCTGACCATTGCTGAAACTGCACGTTCTGGCCTTGCATCCACTGTCAGAATCACATGCTGCAATGAAGAGCCAGTGTTCAGCAGGCACCAGCCTGCCAGTGGTGGAGAAGTCAGGACAGTTTTATGAGTGCAATCGCCGCAGTGTTCTGGCATTGCGCACGCTGGGCCATGTTGGCTGGCAAATTTTTTGCGGCCTCATGAATTTGCCCCACCTGTTCAGCTATCTGCATTCCAGCGGCACCAGCGAGCATTGTGCAAGGCGGCAAAGTCAGTTGCGCAAATCAGCATGAACGAAGCAGCAGATGAACAAGACAATGGACAGGCCTAAGCATATAACTGCTGTCACCTATGATGGTACGTGAATGAAGCGCGGGTTTTCCTCCCTACACGGTGCGTTTACGGCAATTGACTGGCAAGTCGGGAAGGTCCTTGATGTGCATCTAGCTTCCAAGTACTGCCATGGCTTCAGCTTGTGGAAAGCTCGCCAGGCGCATAGTGAAGTCACAGCTGACGAGTATGAGAAGTGGAAGTCGGGCCATATCCCTCTCTGCAACCGCACCTGTCGTTTTTGCAGAACGCCAGCTCATGTTGGATAGTATTAGAGTGGCCAAGGCTGAGAAGAAGATGAAGCAGGAGGAAAAACAGCGAAGGAAACAAAGGAGGAGGTGCAGGAAGGAAATTGAGGAGCAGATTGTGGAAGCTGAGGGTGTCACATACGAGGCTGGTGGGTTTTAGTTGGAACAATGGTCTTAGAATCTATGAAAAGGACACCTAAATGTTTGTGCTTTTTGGCCTTTTTCTGCCTTCTTGGACATGATTGCGGCTAGTGTGTTTATTTTAGACCTATCAACCCATACATTTTTGGAATCAGTGACTTGTTGCGCAGGGATTGAACTACAATGGTGATCATAGGACCTTTTACATTGGATTTTGAGCTCCCACAGTGCCTTCTATTTTACGCGTTTTGCGGCTCGTCCTGTTTTGTCTCTGCATTTGGGGTAGTAATACCTGTCAGATAGAGTTCATTGTAGTTCATTCCCTGCATAGGCATATGGACTGCGTTTTGCTGCATTTTGGAACTGTCTATGTTGATACATCTTGCTGCAAAGTTGTCCAAAAAAATTGCTGTTTGTGCGCACCCGTGAAGAATTTGTGTAGCCCATCAAGCATTACTGGGATGAACTGTAAATTCTCTTTTTGGTGCCTACATTGTGGAGCAGTATATAGTGATTGAACATAGAAAATTTGAAGGCAATCTGCCAATCCGTTTTCATGATATGTCTATTTCAATTGTATGCGGTCTGATTTGGGCCGCGAATGGTGGTGTCCCCCCTTAATCTTGTCTCTAGTCAAGAGTCCATAACCCTAACGTATATAACCGGTTAACCCTGGCCTGGGTTATTATGGACTCTTGATAATAATCATTGTAATTGTTGAGGGCGGTTGCTTTCTTCCCAGGAAGTGTTTTTCTTTAGACAGACTACAAGTGTGAGTTGCCATTGTGTTGTAGTTTGTAAGCATCAGCAGCGTTTTGCGGAATTGTTTTCTTCCACGGCCTTGTGAGTTATCCATCATGGATCGAAATTCATGAATTTGTGATCGATGTGGTAACATATCCCTAAATGGATACTTGAACTTGAAGGACGTCCAAGAGCCAGCTAGCATATTCTACGGGTAACGGCAGGTGGAAGCCCTAGGCTGGTCCCAGGATCGGAACATGCATTGCACACTATAATAATAATACAGTGGTCCCTCTATAATCCGGCACCATTTGTGCCACGAAAATCTGCTGGATTAGGGAGGGTACCGGGTGCTGGATTAACAAATCTGATTTACCGCTGCAATGTGCATGAAGAGGACATTTTGGCTACTGAAAATTGTGCTGGTTTATCGAGGGTGCTGGATTATAAAGTGCCGGATTAGAGAGGGACGACTGTAGTGGCATTGTAGCGATATACACAGCAAGCGGGTGGATTGTGAGCCATGGGTGTGCGTACTGTCTGCACTGAAAGACATGACATTTCCACAAAACGTATTGTGCATTGTGCAGTACAATGTCATTTGCATGCACACGTCTACAATACTACATTGTGCAGTGCAATGTCATTTGCATGCACACGTCTACACACATGATCCGATGTGGATGCAATATCGCTTGTCACTGAGTGATGCCTCGAGTGATAAAAACCATTGAAAACGAAAGGGTACGCTATTATCCTATAGCCGATACAGACTGTACATGTACATGCATGTCCACACAAGACTTGTTGGTTGCAGGCTTTTCGGACTGTAATCGTGATCACACCATTTGTTCAATCAGGACCCCCCCCCCCCACACACACACACATGCATGCATACGGGCACACGTGTACTTGCTCACTGTCAGACACTGGTCAAGTGGGTCTCTCGTTGGGAGAGGGGACTGTGACAAAGATGCAGATCGAAGAAATCTTGAAAAATGACCCGGCTATTGAACCGCACGTGCAACGGCTGGCAACCCCCGGGTCAGATCCCCAGCCTATATGTGTGGACCAGGGTCAGATCCCCAGCCTATATGTGTGGACCAGGGTCAGATCCCCAGCCTATATGTGTGGACCAGGGTCAGATCCCCAGCCTATATGTGTGGACCAGGGAGTTACACAACTCCCTTTATTGTAGTGTGGACTGGAAGAAATATGACCCCATGCACTTACGGGCTCACCGCACCGCAAAAAAATATGGGTGCAGAAAAGATTGACAGCATGCACCAGGGTATCGGAGGGGCATTGGACACACTACGGTCACTATGGTATCGACTGTACATGTACCAATCTTAGCCTCGGATATCATGTGAATCAATAACATGCACTGATCTAGGCTCTAAATTTCGAATTTTTTTCCAGCAGAGCAACCAAGCACCCCCTCCCCCCCCCCCTCCCCCCCCCCCACGAGTAAAGTACCAACGAGTCAATTGTACAATAATGTACTTCAGATGGTTGACTGACCCTAAAATACCTTCCGACCAGGGTGTAGTAAAATACTAGTACCTCAAAGTATTTTACTACTCCCTGCTTCTGACGCCACTGAAGAGCACATAACAGGCCAGTACTAGGCAGTAGCTTAGTACAACAGTCAAGTCCTACCAAGAATACATCTTGGTCCTATATGTCTCAAGTCAAGATACGTAGGTACTACATGCACTTGCGAAATACATTGCGCAGCATGTACACTGAGGATACCATTGCACCAGTTTGCAAGCACCAGTGATTGGAAAACGATAATCAGCCAACAGATCAGCCTACGGAGGAAGCCACTAAAATATCTACAGGGAGTATTTCAAGGGGAAAGGAGACGCTTCGAAAATATGACATAGTGAAATGGTGAGAGTACGGTACGACAAGGCTAGCTCGAAAAATAATTATGAGTAAGTTTGAAATAAATTTTCGATGTCTCGTCAGGACTTGAATTCACAGTTTCTATGCAGGGGAATGAGCAATGGTAGCCCGGTCCCACTGTCACGGGATACCATTCACAGCACTTGGGCATCTTCCCAGGTAACAACGATATCATTTCAACAGACTAATGTGCATGTGTGTGTGTGTGTGTGTGTGTGTGTGTGTGCTGATGCTGAGGCCTAAGATTGATAAAATTGGAGACTATGAATTCAGCTGATCCAGCAGCCGTGGAAAAGAAAGCAGGCAGGAACCAAGTTGGTGCTTCCATGCCACTGAGACTGTCGTCAGATTTAAAAATAGAAGTGGAGCGAAGAAGCAACTCTTTTTTCCGGCTCAGACTCTACACTTGTAACTGTAATCACAGCAAGTGTATCAGTACTGGCTGTATGTGTGGATGAAGTTGACGACAGAACATGCAGTGAACCCTGAACTAACCATACGAGAGGATCATGATCAAGCTGGCACAGCTATGCGCCCCGGCGGGGGCTCAGGTGGATGCCAGATCTGGGTGATCAATACTCGTCCGTTTCGGATGACGTGGACGGTGCTCCGGGATGGTGCTTCAGTACCTCTGCCATTAGGCCTGTCCAGACAAACGGTGTACGCACACGTACACACATACCCACACACACCAACATTCATGCACACCCACACCCACACACGTAGACACAGGTACACACAGATTAGATCGGTTGCACAGCCCAATCGTGATGGTTGGCTAATGACTCAGTAATGAGTGCTTTAAGCCGCAGTCAAACACATCTTTTTGGCGGCACCGCCAAAGCGGAACTTACGCCTCCGCTGTTCCTGAGGCAACAGTGGAGGCATAAGTTCTGCTTCGGTGGAAAGTTTGAATTTCTCAACGGCAAAAACTGGGAGCGGAACCTCCGCTTCTGCAGATCCTCTTTTGCAGAACCTGTATGGTGAAGGCTTTCGTCAAAGTGCTGTGTGCCGATACTGTTGTTGTTAGGGTGCTGTTTGGTATTGTTGTTGCGTATAGACTGGCTCTCTTCTGCTAGTACCATGAAGTGGACTCCAGAACTGGAAGAATTATTGCTGTCCCTGTATTTTGAAGTGAAAACCCGTTTTGATAAAAGATGAAGAAGGATGTTGCTCAGAAATTGAAAGAAGAACAGGACGCTGGCGTGAGCTGTAAACAAGTAAAGGATAAAGATGTAGGTAAACATCTGTGGAGGCTCTGGTGAAGAAATCTTCCCGTGGCATGCATAGAGTTCTCACGATGTGCAAGACGATTGATTTGCACTTTTTTGCAGGTGTCACAATACCATGGACGACCATAGAATAGAATTTATTCCCGTAGCTATGCAGAAGACGTTACTTCAGTAACGTCTGGCGCTAGCCAGGGTCCACACAGCTTTAATTTGGTGTTTGTTTGTTTGTTTGTGTGTTTGTGTCACGCCTGGCGCTATCCCGTATCTGTCCCGTACCGTACCGTACCATCAAACACAGCTAGCCACATACAGCTGCCCGCAATATTCAACTAGGGCTTTCAAACGCAAGATCATAACGTGAAGCAACTTGGAAGAATGAGTATGAATGCGAAGTGTATTGGGGAATGCATGTAGGGCAATAGTGCGGGTTCGAATCCCAAGTAGTGCCTGAAAAAAAAGAGAATTGAAAAAATTATAACATCCCTTTTCATTTTTTGCCGTCATCAAGGCGTTAGACGGTGTCGTATTACCCTCGACCGTACCTGTCCCGTACCTATCCCGTACCGTACCGTACAATCAAAGACGGCTGGCCACAATGTATAATAATATAATAGGCTTTCAAATACAAGATGATAACGTGAAGCAACTTGGAAGAATTAGTATGTATGCGAAGTGCATTGGGGGATGCACGCAGGGCGATGGTGCGGGTTCGAATCCTAGGTTATGTCTACAAACAAAAAGTATAAACTTATAAGAATTTATAACATCCCTATGCCTTTTTTGTCTAGGTCATGAAGGCAAAAAAAGCATAGCGTAGGGCCCTGAGCTTCCAAGCTCTCTCGTTACTGTTCAAGTACATGTAAAGCTTTGAGTTGCAGTTGGATCGCCTTGCCTTCGCTATTGGATGCCTCCTTCCTGCCACCCCTCCTTGTGGCGTGAGTCGCCTTGGTGGCAAAAGACTTGCCTCACAGAAGCAGAAGACACGATACAGTGTGCAAGGCTACAGATCAGAGATCCTAGCCGTTTTTTTCCATTCATGTACATGAACATCGACGGAGATGTTACCAAGAGCATCCAACGTGCATTTGAAGATGCACAGAATGTTGACACACCCAATTTCATCAGAATGATCAATTTGATCAACGGTTGCACATGCCTACATCTGTCGGAAACGCTTGCAGCGTGACAGCAAGCCATTTCAAGTTGCTGCACTGCAGTTTGGCTCCTCACCGCCAGTGGAATTTTCAAGGTGTGCTTTGCCTTCTGTTCCGATATCGACTGGAACAAGTGTGCTCACTGGCTTCACGGTTGGTATCGTGAATGGATCGCGGGCACTCCTGCAGTTTGGGAAGCTGGTTGCATCTTCCCCGTTGGAAGAAGTGCTTCAAGCCCTTATGGACTGGCTTCCCATATCGTGTATTTTATTTGCTCACAATTGCTTTGCTTTTGACGCTCGTGTCCTCAGCAATGCTATGGAATCCTGCCGCATTGCCATGGACTCAAAGGCGGTGGGCTTTGACGATACGCTGCTAGGCCTCCGCGGAATGTGCCGGCATAATTTCGGGAATTATCGGTGTTATTTTTTAAACGGGAATTATTGGCAATTTTTGTGGAATAATCGGTAAAATTTGAGCAATGCCCCCCTTTTTTCAATTTTTTTCCATTTATAACACCCTGATTTGTACCAAAAAGCTCATGATCCTGAAGTTGATCGCCCGGTATTTCAAAAAAGAAAGAAAAAAAACCTTCCAGCCGAGTTTCACGCGAACCGTGATTTTTTTGCCGGTACAAGTGGCAAAAAACCCATACGCGGTACGGTATCTGAAAAAAAGGGAAGAAAAAAAGAATTATTTTGAGAATTATTGGTGGAATTACGGGAATAATCAGTCGAAATTTTGAGCAATGCTCAAAAGAATTATCGGTAAAAATACGAGCATATTCCGCGGAGGCCTATACGCTGCCACTGCATGCTGAGGGCTGCAAGACCAGGAGAAGCTTCGTACAGTCTATCTTGTCTGTACCAATCCTCAGGCGCGTGCTCGGCGAGGGGCACGGCCCGGGGGGGGGGGGGCACGTGCACCCCCCAAACATTTTCAATCTGGGTGGTATTTGACGACTCCCTGGTTTTGAAAAAAAAAATACTGCACCTCGGATGTGACACGTACACATATATGCAAACGGCCTTCTACACGTACACGTGCAGCGCGAACACTAATAATTTTGCACGTAGATCTACAGTTACAGCAAACATTACCTTGCGACAGTCGGATTCTTTCCCGGTTTCGATTTCTTGCTTTCAGGTCTGGATTCTTTGATTTCTTTCCTGAAGTATGGGTATCTGACTATGACTGAGCTGCTCTTTTCATAATGTCAAATCGACCGCCGTCATTGAAGCGCAAAGCTTCCACGCTGCCGCAGCTAACTCTAAGTGAAGCGTTCGGTCGTTCTGCAACTGTTGCTGCAGCGAAAAAATCTGATAATAGTTCCTCGAGTGGCGATGAGGGTTCTTCAAGAGGTGAAGAGTCAGACGAAGTGGTAGTAGTTGAAGAGGTCGCAGGAGAAGTAGCCCAGGCTGCCGGGTCTACCGCGGTGGATAAACCCGACGAGGTTGATGTAGTCGCTTCAGGCGGCACTCCAAACGACATTGGAGAAGGCTACAACCTTGCATCACCAAAGTGGACCTGTTTGCCGTCATCGTTGTCCTCTGATGAGAAGCGTCGCTTGGTCGACCACCACTTTGTGCCAGGACCGAAACACGACTTTCCTGTCCACACAGGAAATGATGGCAGAAACCGTCGTTTTCGTCACCAGTGGCTAGAGGACAACACCATGAACACGTGGCTGGTCTATTCACCCAAATGCGACGGGGGTTTCTGTCTTCCGTGCCTCCTATTTCCCAGTGGTGCGGATCAGGGACAGCTCACAGCAAGACCTATGTCCAACTTCAAAAAGGCCACCACTTTGCTGGACAAACACGGCTCACAGCCAACCCACAAAGACGCCGTTGCCAGGCAGGGCCAGTTCCAAAAATTGCCGGGGGGGGGGGGGCTCCCCTCGGAAGAAAAAGAAGAAGGACTTGGGCCAATATTCTGAACACGAAGGCTTGCTCGCAATATTTGGAGGAGGTCAGAGCGTGCGGGGTCGGGCCATCAGGGCTAACGACGGCGTGCGATGCCCTGTTGGCCGCCCACAGGGGCCATCAGGGCTAACGACGGCGTGCGATGCCCTGTTGGCCGCCCACAGGGGCCAACAGGGCTAACGACGGCGTGCGATGCCCTGTTGGCCGTCCACAGGGGCCAACAGGGCTAACGACGGCGTGCGATGCCCTGTTGGCCGCCCACAGGGGCCATCAGGGCTAACGACGGCGTGCGATGCCCTGTTGGCCGTCCACAGGGGCCATCAGGGCTAACGACGGCGTGCGATGCCCTGTTGGCCGTCCACAGTTTCCTTAAAAGTACCACGGCTGACGAGCTAAAAAACATAAAAAAATCAAAAAAAGACATTCAAGCTGTCCGTCTCGTCTACCTGAAGCTGAATAAAACCCAGAGTTTGCTGCGCATGGAGGACGAGGCAGACAAGGACGCTGACGTCTCCTCCATCTCAGCCTTTCTCAAGAACCCCGAGGTAACGGAGGACATCGAGCGCCTGATGTCTGAACCTCCGACACCAGACGCACACCGACACCTTGTCCACTACCTCGCGGTGGCATTGGCGTTGGCCAATGGGCAGAGGCCGAGTGCAGTCATCAACATGACCCATGATGAATACGAGAAAGGAGTGAAAAAATGGGTGACGACGGCAAACTGGTGGTGGGGGTGAGAAATCACAAGACCGGGGCTACCCACCTTGCGTTTGTGTGCGCAGACGGGATCCAGTTGCGTGCCATGATGCACTACAGTCATCAGTATCGGAGACTGATGGCCGCCAGCAGCGACGCCTTTCTTCTCCTCCCGAGCGGTGGACAGATTGAGTCCAAGGACCATAGCAAAATGGTGACCTGGATCGGAAAGAAGTACGGACTCAAGATGTCCACTGCAACGGAGGGGAGGAAGCTCATAGAGTCAAAGGTCCACGTCAGCAGCGCCTTCTCTGAAGCTGATGCGAAGCGAGTCAGCAAGGCTTTGTGTCACTGCAGGCTCTGGCCTCACGTACAATCACCTCGTCCAGGCCTACCAAAGAAACCCCCAAATAGGCATACGGCTATTGTTTATCGACAAGGCGACCGGCAGCTCACGGGTCACCAGCAACCGCCGGATTTTTGATTCTGTCATGCAGCATTTTGCAAAGAAGTAGTAACCTAATCTTCATTGGAGCCATTGTCTGCGGGCGTGTGTGCGCGTGTGGGTGGGTGTAAAAACGACACAATTGCGAGCGTGGCAAGCGACCAACAGCGAGGGGGCGTCTCAAGTTCAAGTTCTGCTGTGAGTGCGACGAGAGATATTGCAGACAGCAGGATCTGCAACGGTATGAGTTCGGATGTTCTGCCGCGAAGCTGTGATGCTACCCCTTTGTTCCCCTCCTCATGAGGGCAGCTTAGCCGTTTAACGGCAGCTGTATTTCAAGGTCAAGGTGTGTGTGTGTGTGTGTGTGTGTGTGTGTGTGTGTGTGTGTGTGTGTGTATGTGTGTGTGTCTATGTGTATTGCAGGGTTGGGGTGGGCTAGTAGAGAAGGGTAGATGTATATGTACATGTACATGCAACAAAGCAAACTTATCAAAAAGGCATTCTGCACTGGCAAAATTGAGCATTGAAGCAAATGGTTTTTTTTTTAAATTTTCTCATTGGCATGTACACGTTTAGTACATTCAATAACCAAAAAAACGAGGAAGATAGTAAATCAGATTCTTGATGAAATACCGGTACCCATCCGCTATGCATCACAAATCCTGTACAAATTTGACAATTTAGTGAAAATTGTCATCGCCTATATCTCAAAAGTTAGCATTGAGACCCCGGTTTTTATTTTTTTATTTCGCCATTTGCATACACTACCTAATAATAGCTAAGAGCAAACGCCCACCAAATTTTCAGAGCAATCGTTGCACGAGCCACCTTTTAACCCTTTGGCGTCCATGGTTCGATTTCGAACCATGGACATTTTGTATGCATGTTTAAAGCGCGCTCGGGAAGAGCACGGCAATCTTCAGGTGTCTTCCAGAGTCCTTGTCAGGTAGGACCGAAGAGCTAGGAGAGGCTCAAAATTAAATATTTTCTTGGAAAGCCTGACTGAGCATTTCTGCAAAAAGTGATACTGGTGTACATGTACAGTAAGAGTTGAATCTCTAACGGGGCACAACGTCCAGCGTTTTAACGAGAAGGAATCCATCGTTAACTCCAGAAACGTTACACGTCTGTTATTCCTGCTCCCCTCTGTATTAGAAATAGAAGACAGGTGTGTGATGGCAGGGTCGGTTTTTTTTGTGCCAGCTAAGTGGAAGTGTTTGCAAATCGTAAAAACTTTTAGGCTCGTCACACTTTCAACTCTTACAGTACATGAGATCCTCAAAGTTTCTAGGGAACCCTACGCAAATACAACCTAAGCTATATTATGTAAGGGTGAGAATGAGGGGAACAACCCGAACCCCAATGTCACACTCCAAGATTACACTTACGGTCTCCCATGCTCTTGTAGCTTTCTTGCTCGCCGAGCAATAGAACCGTCATATCCTGCAACGCAAACCGGCATATGAACATGCACACCCACACACACATCAGCTGGCACACATGCTGCAGCACCACATCTGCCGATCGTCTCCGAGGTGCCAAAACTCATTCTATTGTGACATTCCACTGGGTAATAGTACACGTGTTGGTGAGGCCACCTAGAATTAATTCGTTGTTTCGGGTCACTTCCCTCATCCGTGCCAGGGTCGGTCGGTCGGGTTTATTTTTTATTTTATTTTTTATTTTGGTTTACGTACATGTACATGTACATGTACATGTACATCGAATAGCTTTTGTCCATCTAGCCAGTCGATCAAATCTGACTGTAGTGTAGACAATCCAGCGCAGTCATTGACCCATCAGATCCAGGTCCCCTCCAGGACCAGATCTTGGCCTCGCTGGCAAACGAGTCTGACCGGCGAGCAGCTCTCACCTTGAAAACTTCTGTAAATAGCGACAAGGTGGCGGAGCTGATGCTGTTTCAGGACTGATTGCGGATCGGAGATAGAATACAACGTCGTCACCAAGCGCTGCATTCTGTCATTTGGCTAGCCATGGCTGCTTCTGAGGTCGATATCTGGACTGCTATTATTACTATTAGGGTTGCGTGTGTACATAGTCTAGTCTGTACATTTGCATGCACTATAAAAATAATTTTTTTTGCGGTCGGGTGAAAAAAGACGGTCGGTCGGGTGACCCGAAACAACGAATTAATTCTGGATGGCCTGATAGAAAACAATGATGCAGTACACATGTACAGTAAAGCCTGTGACTACCGACCACCCCTTGGGGCCAGAAAAGCGGTCTTTAGTGGCAGGTGGTCCTTAGTTAGAGGTTTGCACAGCACAACCATATATGAATGTGAGACCGTCCGTGACTGGCGACCACTCGGATAAGGCGACCAACTGTCCTAGAAGACCACTGAAACCAGGACCAAGGCATGCTATTTCCAGTCAAATGACCCTGGATAAGGACACCACCTGGTAACAGAGACCACATGTTGAAGGTCCCTTGAGCGATCGTCTTAGACAGGTTTCACTGTGGTGCGTACCATGATAATCATGATCTTACCGAAGGCTGCGTGCGTCGTCCTGTATCCGATAACTGGCCACTACCATCGGTGGCGGCGTCACTACGAGAAGAACTGAGACTGCTAATGGACAGACGGTCCGAGCTAGGCGTCATGACCAGCGACTGCTGCTGCTGATGATGATGATGAGATGGCGAGCCGGTTGATAACGTTCCTTGCGACTGCAGCAGCGGTGTGATGAGGCTCGAGGACGCGGACGAGGACGCAAACGTGACGTGTCGCGACGGAGTGCTGTCGACCTGCGCTGATGGTGAGTGGTAGTGGAGCAATGGTGACACACCGACCCCCATTGAGCTTGGGTCGGTGTGTGACGACGACAACGCAGCGGCAGTGCCTAAAACGCCGCCGCTACTGGAGTGGCCGTGCACACGGCTGGAGGAGGTTGACGGTGCGCTGCGATTGGCAAACGCCGCCGCACTACTAGCGCCGAGCGACGACGCTTGGCTAAACACTGCACTGTCGACCAAAACAGAACCCGCGCTCGTACCGACATGACCGTCTCCCGATCTGGCTGAGCTGGCTGCCGCACCACCTCTAGATGAAACCGAAGTGGAGGGGATCACCGCTGATGACGTGGAGGTGGTGGACAATGATGCAGTTGAAGCGCTAGCCATCGGCTGAGAGGCAGTGCCGACATTGCTGGAGTGCTGGGTAGGGGACGGTTTAGATGGTGCCGAGCTTCCACTACTCGTAGGCACCACCGCCGCTGACACAGCCATACCACCATCACCGCCACTGTGTACACTGGGTGAGCCTGTACTAGAAGCTGTGGACACCGCCACCGCTTCTCGGCCTGTACTGGCGGTGATGGGCGAGAGAGAGAACGAGGGCGCTAAACGACCGGCACCGTGTCCGGCCAGAACAGCAGACTGCTCAGTTGCCATGGTCACTGACGATGCGGAGCCGAGCGTCAAGGCCGGTGCGCTGGATGCAACGGGTCCAGCTCGGTGGCCAGTCGACGATGCCACGTTGAAACTGTGCGCATGAGTGGACGTGTGCAGCGGGGATTCAGTGACGGGGACATGCGTCGACTGGCTGGCAACATGCTGTCTGTCCACCGCTGCTGCTGTCATGCGAAGTGGCATACCCAAGGAGCTAAGAGCCAGTGGCGATATGGCGTGATCATGCATCGGCTGAGAGCCAGACTGCCGAGCGCGCTGCTGTTGCTGCTGCTGCCGTGAGTCTGTGAGTATATCTGAACCAGGCGATCTAAAGGAAGCTGATGGCCGTGGCGATGGTATTGTAGGCAGCAACTGAGTTCTGCCTACACCAACTCCATCCGTTGTATGTGTGACGGCGGAGGAGCTCCCAGCTGTACTCACAGGCAACGGCGGTACGGCGGCTTGCGGCTGGGGATGAACAGAGGATACTGCTGTCACCGCTTGGAAGTCAGAAAGCTCTGTTACTGTCTCACCAGTTGCAATCATCTCTCCTAGCTGTGGCTGACTCAGTGAACTGGTGCCTGCTGTTGACACTGACGATGTCTTCTGCAAATCCGTGGAGCGGATATCACCGCCATCAGCCTGAGAGCGAGGCGGTGAATGCAGTGGCGACAGGACATCAGAGCCAGAGTCTCTGCGCAGCTCAGTGGATTGGTGCCTGGATTGCAACAGCCCTTGCGAAGATGATCCGTGATATTGATGCGGACTGCTAGCGCTGTGGTGAGTGTGAAGTCTCGGCGAGTCATCATGTGTCCCTTGGTGTTGTTGCTGCTGCTGCTGTTGCTTTGCACGTGGTGAACGACGGGGCTTCGCCGCATTGTCTTCCTGCTCAGTGTCGGTGGTGGTTGGAGCAGATGCAGACTGCATTTGCTGAATAGTCCACTCCCTGCATGCACGGATATGGAGAAACAAGACACGAGACACCAAGAAATTTAGTCACAAACACGCATAGATCAGGAAAACCCTCCGGAAATGACGCTCAGTACACTGTACGGAGGTAACACTAAGTCCATCTAAAACTATAGTAAAAGCTCATCCACTCCGATTTATCTGCACTTCAGCTACCATGGTTACCCTCAGGCTTTCATACAGGGTTCGAAAGTGATGATGTCATAGCCAGGCTGGAGCCATAGCAGCACAGACATATAGATCCACTTACGCCCAGGTTTCGTATGGATGCATACACGCTTGGCAGGTTTCTTTCACAGTAGGGGATCACATCCACGGGCACTGACACACGTAAAGTACACAAGGCTTACAAATACACGTGACAAAACCTGCCTATTTATTGTTACATCACTCTCACCATTGGTTGCCTGATATTCCAACTGCTATCATAGCCAGAGTGGATGGGTGGACACCATAAACATACGCTGCTGCAAAGTACAGTTGCAAAACATTCACCAGGGGCAAAGCTGACAACTCACTTCTCATAGCGCTCATTAGTGAGCTGGCGCTTCAAGTCGGCAACTTGAGCGCTCAGTGTGCGTGTCTGCTCTCTCCACAATGCCAGGTCCTTCTCACCCTCTTGCCTGTGATACAGTGTGACATAACCCAGTCCACCAATACAACAGTTACCGTATTTTTCTGAGTACACGCTGCACTTCAACGTTCAAACACCAGTAATTGATGTAAGAAAAACTCGGTGTGGCTTATACTACGATGGTCAATTTCACGGTGATAAACAGGGTAGTCAATTTCACGGTGATAAACAGGGTAGTCAATTTCACGGTGATAAACAGGGTAGTCAATTTCACGGTGATAAACAGGGTAGTCAATTTCACGGTGATAAACAGGGTAGTCAATTTCACGGTGATAAACAGGGTAGTCAATTTCACGGTGATAAACAGGGTAGTCAATTTCACGGTGATAAACAGGGTAGTCAATTTCACGGTGATAAACAGGGTAGTCAATTTCACGGTGATAAACAGGGTAGTCAATTTCACGGTGATAAACAGGGTAGTCAATTTCACGGTGATAAACAGGGTAGTCAATTTCACGGTGATAAACAGGGTACATGTCTGTATTTCACGGTGATAAACAGGGTACATGTCTGTATTTCGTGACAGAAATCTGGGTGCGGCTTATACTCTGAAAAATACGGTACACAAGCCACCGGTGAAAAATCTTCCCATAACACATGCACACCTATCAACGGTAAAGGTGGGAGATTATGAGCACATTGTGTGCACCACATTTAGGCTGAAATGCATGAAAGGGAGTACACCACACTCAGGCATCAGATAACATGATAGTTATGTTATAGCCTCTATTACACTTACAGTTTGGCTTGCATCTCCTTCACCCGGTCACTTAGTTTCTGATTGTCCAGTTGGAGACGGTCTGTGTGCGAGTGCTGCTGACTGACCTATGACACAAGATACATGGCATAGCGCCCTTAGCACAGTCGCTGGACTACTAGTGGTCTTGGCTACCCGGATGTGTACTCGTAGCAAGTAGGAGTCACAGGTGTGTGTGATCCCCGGTAGCCTAATCGGTAGGGTACGGTCAACGGTCCTGGAAAGACAGGGGTGCTGGGTTCGAATCCCGCTCGTGGATCCTTCTTCTGTAACACTGGCACCTGGCAATGGCTCAAACCCACAACCCATCGTACCCCCCCCCCGCGAGAACGTATGGCGTGAGGACACAGCCTGTTGGGGCGGGGGAGCAATGGGCATAGCTCGGCAAAACACACACACACACACACACGAGCACATGTGTGAGAGAGCCCAATTACACAGACCGTCGACAGTGTGCCTCTGATCGGTTCGGGCACGGAAACCAGAACAGCCAGCACAGCCATAGGACAGAAAGACGTATACAGAATAAATAATATTACGTATCAATGTACCGGGTAGGTCAACAACTACATGTCCACTCTCGTGTGAAGCCACCGCCCCACGATCCGGTGATCGTCACACAACAGGTGTCCAGTGTTCTACAAGACAGCAGCCAGTTCAAGGAGCAGGACTGGAGATGACAAGGGAGTGCATATCTCAGCAGGCTCAGTGCGGATCTGTTAGTAGACTCACCTCCACCCGCTCCATTGCTATCAATGACTCAAGGTTCTTCACGGACACTCTCTCCGCATCAAACTGATTCTCGATTGCCTGACGCTCACTGCGCTCGGCGCCTAGCTGTGCGGTGAGATGCTCGGATTCGCGAGACATCGCTGTCACCCTCTGCTGCAGGGCATCCTGTGCCTGGTCCAGACGGACGCACAGGTCACGTGCCGAGGTGCGTTCCGATATTGAGGCATGCTGAACAGCGGAGAGAGAGAGAGAGAGAGAGAGAGAGAGACACACACACACACACACACACACACACACACACACACACACACACACACACACACACAGCTCTGATATTGTTTCATGCCGATCAGCATAGAGACTAGTAGAGAGGTAGACAAAAAGACACAGAAAACGCGAGTACAACCATTGCAAGCAGTACTAGTAACCGCAGCTAAATAACTCAAACCCATCCAACTTGCAGCACACCATCTTCATCAACAGCTGCGCCAACAGAAAGCGCTCTACGCAGTCTCACTTTTCAAAGTCAGCCTCCAACATCACAAAACATTCTTTGTACTTTCTCTCACTTGTGCAGTTGCACCAGCTCAATAGCAGAGCTAAGTTCGCTGCAATTCACACAAAACCAGCATAACACACCATCGTACTCAACATACCAGTGAGTCCTGGGTTTGCTGAAGCTGCGCTTGCAGTGCGTCTATCTTCTTATGCAGGTCTGCCACACGTGTTTCGTACTCGCCTTTCTCATCCTGCAATTGACGTATGTCATGTGCTTGATGGCGTAGAGTTTCCTGCAGCATCTTGTGCTCCTAAAAGTACAAACATTTCAACACACTTGCACGGATGATGAATAGCACACTCCACCCCACACGGGCCAGACATCGATCACCCATGGACACCCACTAATACCAGCAGCAGAGTTGCAGCCAAGAGTGTTGCAGCATATCAGCACCCCCTCCCTCAACACACACACTAGAGTGTGCCAGCAGCAATCCCTCCTACACACACACACACACACCTGCAGCGCGCACACCCAACACCAGAATAGATGCGGCACATACCTGCAAGAACTTGCCGTACTCCACGCGGACATGGCTCGTCTCTTCTTGGAAAGTGCGCGCAGACTCGTCCAAAGATGAGTGCTCCTCACTGAGACGATGGAAAGACTCTAGCAGCTCACCCTTCTCTCGCTCCTGTGAATGGCAATCAGGTGAAGTCAGACAGACACACAAGTCACAGGACAGTGTAATGTTACCATCATCACGAGCAAATCACATCACAGTGACAGTAACAGCATACTAATACTAAAATTGGTATCTTCTCGACGGCAGAGCGCAGCGACAGAGGCGAGAAGTATTTTCTCGTCACAGCGGTTTTTTCTCGTGTTTTTTTCTCACAAGTGAGCAGTCATCTGATCAATTTCTTTTTACTCGTACATCTTCACATGTTCTCTAAACCGCTGCGCATGAGCACGACTGGCCAGTCGTCTTGAGGTAGCCTTTTCGACACCACGTTCTTTTTCGTCTTTCCAACAGACATTTATCAAATTTTTTCTCTCACCAGCATGGCTGAGAATGCATCTGCTCCCGCTTCAGCTTCGTCCGCCACGCCAGACTGGGCAACGAACCTGACACAACTTGTCAAAGAGCAGCATGCTCTAGCAGAGAAGTCTGTCTCTGAAATGGAGGCATGCAAGAAGCAACTGGAAACTGCCACTGCGGAGTTGCATCGCCTCAAAGCAAAGCAAACAACTACTTACTCCTTTCGTAAGGAGAGCTGCAAGGAGCATCACGACTTTGTGGACCAGGTGGAGGCGAAGCTGGAGGACGCGGCCCGGACCATCCCGGATGGACCTGCCAAAACCGCCATCATGGAAGGTATGTCCTTATGCGACAAAAGGAAGAAAATTATAAAAATCGCCGACAAATATGACTGGGCCACGGCGATCCAGTACAAAGGCGAGCATGACATTGCCGACGATGACGAGGACGCGAAAAGGATCAAGAGGGCTGAGACTGAAGTGGAGAAGACCAGGCGACAGAGCCGATCAGTGAGGCCCAGTTCTAGTTTTCGTCCTCACTACGAGCCATACTCGCCGCGGAGCCCCAGGGTCCCTCCAGCTCCGCGAACCGACCAGCAGTCGTCTGCTGCCCCGTCGGCGAAAGTCGTATGCTTCGCCTGCGGAAAACCTGGCCACTGGGCCAAGCTTTGCCCAGACGCAGCCTCTGGAAACGCTAGGAGAGCTCGATGAGCCAGAGAATTATCACTTGAATCACGCGTATCCTCAATCGTATCCTCAATGTAATATTGCTGAGTTGATCTATCCTATGCATTCTGCCAATGATTTTTATTGTGAATCATCCTCGTCGTGTAATGTGGTACTCAGCGGTCGCCTTCGTAATTGTTTAAGTTTTTGGTCATCTATTGGCTGCTCGTCCTTCACATTCAATGTATTAAGTAATGGTTACTATCTACCGTTCACAACCACTCCCACACCCTATGCTGCAAAAAATCACTCAAGCTGTTTCAAACATGTATCATTTGTGTCCGAAGCTATCGTCAGTTTACTATCTGCAAAATGCATAGAGAAAACCACTGCTGACAAGATCAGCATTTGTAGCCCTCTAGGTGTAGTTGAGCAGAAAAAGCTGAGGCTGATCCTAGACCTGCGATATCTCAACAAGCACCTCCTGGCACCTAGGTTCAAATACGAGGATATCAGCACCCTTCGAACCATGTTTGAAACGGGGGAGTATTTTTTCTCATTCGACCTGAAGTCCGCTTACCACCATATCGACATTGATCCCAGGTATCACAAATATTTGGGATTCAAATGGCGAGGAGAGCTCTACACATTTACAGTGTTACCTTTCGGACTCTGCACCGCACCACATGTATTTACGAAAATCACCAGAGATCTGGTGCATTGGTGGAGACGCAATGGTCACAAATTGTTCATGTATCTAGACGACGGTGCGGGGGCAGAATCGTCACAGACTGCTGCTAGTAAGCTTGCTGATATTGTTCGGGCAGACATCCTGAAATCAGGTTTTATTCTCAGTGAGAAAAGCCGATTCACACCATCACAACAGGGAGACATGCTGGGCTTCCATGTTGACCTGGCCCAGGGCACCATCAAGGTGACCGAAGCGCGCGTAGAGAAACTCTCGCACCTCCTCACCACAACAAACCTTGATCATGCCACAGCCAGAGAAGTAGCCAAGATCGCAGGCTCCATCATCTCAATGAGCCCAGCTTTCGGTACGGTAACACGGCTACAAACTAGAGCAATGTATGAGGCTATCTCCACAGCCGCCTCGTGGGAGGAGATTGTACATGCGACTCCCCAGCTCCGCAATGAAATCACGTTTTGGTCGGAAAGCTTCCATAAATTCCACGGCCGCCCGCTGAGGCCCCTCGTAGCAGCTTCTGCAGTTCTCACTTGGTCCGATGCCAGCGAAACTGGGTGGGGCGGATACTCCGTTTCAAAGCTCGGCACCTGCGTTGCCAGAGGACCGCTTCCACCAGAGGTACGTGAAACAAGCAGCACTCTCCGTGAGCTCATTGCCGTTAGATACGTGATACTATCTCTATTACCAGTCTTGTCAGGATGCGAAGTGATCCACCGATCAGATAATCAGGCGGCAGTCGCGATAATCGCATCTGGCAGCAAACACCCCTATCTTCACGACGAAGCCCTGGCACTCTTCCGTATCTGCATCCGACAAGGTATCACGTTCCGGGCAGAGTGGATACCTCGGGAAGAGAATGAGAGAGCTGACTTCTTCTCAAAGGTGAAGGACCAGGACGATTGGCAGCTTGCGCCAGACGTCTTCCTAATGCTTGACCGGAAATGGGGCCCACATACAATCGACCGCTTCGCTACTCCGCAGAACGCTCAGATGCAGCGCTTCTGCAGTAGATGGTGGTCCCCAGGCTGCACGTCTGTGGACGCATTCTCCGTGAGCTGGAACGACGAGAACAATTGGATCGAACCTCCAATCCACCTCATCGGTCGCACGATTCGCCACATGCAAGCTTGCCACGCAGACGGCACTCTGATCCTCCCTTTCTGGCCTTCGGCCACATGGTGGCCACTGCTATGGTCTCCAGCGGGCTTCCGAGATATGGTGGTCGATCATATGGTCATCCCGCCTCGGGAGAACCTTTTCATCTCGGGTGAGTGTAAGTGGAACCTCTTCGGCAGCGATAGCCCAACATGCGAAGTACTCGCTGTAAGAGTCTGCGGATGCGGCCGGCACAAGCCCAACCGCCCCAGGCAAGGGCCGCCTTAATCCCAAACAACAACCCGGAAGAACAGCGGCCGGAAGCCAGCATCGTTCAGCGGGCAGCGTCAGTCAACTGTCAGCGTCAGCCAGCAGTCAGCATCAGTCAGCAGTCAGCATCAGCCAGCAGTCAGCATCAGTCAGCGGCCAGCATCAGTCAGCGGCCAGCATCAGTCAGCGGTCAGCATCAGCCAGCGGTCAGCGTCAGTCAGCATCAGCCAGCAGTCAGCGGTCAGCACCAGCCAGCGGTCAGCGTCAGTCAGCAGTCAGCGTCATTCAGCAGTCAGCATCAGTCAGCGGTCAGCATCAGTCAGCGGTCAGCATCAGTCAGCGGTCAGCGTCATTCAGCAGTATAAACTCACATCCTCACTGTGGTGATGCTGCCAATCATGCAATCTGATACATTTTCGTGTCTCATGTTCAACTTCTCTGGTTTTGTTTAGCAGCAACCCCCATTCCCCCTTACGCACTAATTCCGGCCATATAGGCCGATCTATTTCTACCCAGAGCAATACAACCGCAAGGCGAGATTTCCGTCAAATATTTCTGCACACGAGGTAGTTGGTGTGATAGCATACACGGTCAGACAGCGTACCACCCTGAACTACCGTGAAACGGGGTAGACGGAGTCTGGGCTGCCGCTGGCACAAAAGGGTAGCTACACAATGTCAGCGATGCAGGGCGCTCCTTTTCCAAGTCTAAACCGGCGCAAGCCACATTACGGGGGCCGTATAGTGCTGCTGCTCGCTGGATACTTATTCTAACTTACGCTCCCAATGTTGGTAACTACCATGCCGGCAAACCTGTCGGCGTGGTGGCCGCCCTTTCCCCTGTCCTTGTCCCTTCTTCTGGTCTTATGCTTCTTCCCTACAGCCCCACAACATATCCCGGGTTGGACGGCACTGGAGCAACTAGCGAAGGAGGACAGCGCTATCGGCAAGCTGATGCACCTTCTGCCGAAAGTGATGCTGTGCGGGCACGCACCCTCGACCGTTCAGACGTACGCCAGAGGCTTCAATCGCTGGCATGCGTTCGCATCATCAGCCTCCCTCACCGCATTTCCCGCCGACGGTCTTCACGTTGGCCTCTACCTTGTCCACCTACTGCTGTCATCCTCATCACCGGCACCCGTTGCCACCGCTGTTGCAAGCATCTCATGGGTGCACCAGAAAGCAACGCTCCCAGACCCCACCCGACACGCATGTGTCGCTCAGTGCCATCGGGCTGTGCAGAGATTGCTTGCGCGCCCTGTCAAGCCGAAGAAGGCACTCGTGTCCACGGAAGTGCAGCGCATCATCGAGCACTACTCCGACTCGTCCACTTCCCTGGATGACCTGCAGACAATCACCCTCATTGTCTTGGGCTTCTCCGCAATGCTGCGATGGGACGAGCTGCACCGCCTGACGCCTTCCGACATCAGTTTTACAGACACCCACATGGTGATCTCGCTGCAGCAGAGGAAGAACGACCAGTTTCGCAAAGGCCACCAGGTGTATATTGCCAGATCTGGGCTAACCACCTGTCCCGTCGAGCTGGTGCAGCGCTTCCTCACCGCTGGCAAGCATCTGCCCCACCAGCCTCTATTCTGTCGCTTGGGCAGCTGCCGCAAGCAGGCCATACTGAGGCCTATCGCCATCAGCTACTCGTGCGCCCTGGAGAAGGTGCGAAAATGCCTGGCCATCGTCGGCCTTGACCCCAAGGAGTACGGCCTTCACAGTATGCGCTCTGGAGCCGCTTCTACTGCTGCCAGTGCTGGGACCGCTGACAGACTAATCAAGCGACATGGTGGTTGGAAGTCGGACTCCTCCAAGAATAGGTATATAGAGGAGTCGCTTCCCCAGCTCCTCCAGTTGTCTCAATCTCTTGGCCTATGACGTTGCTTAGTAGCGGAGGCCGAACACGGCGTTAGCTTGTCTATACCATACTCGTACAGATATGCGCATATATAGCTGAATTCGCGTTGTCCTCTGTCCACTTCTTCCACTGCTCTGTCCCTACTATGCGTTGTCTAGCAGTCACACTTCTGGCCCTCCTAACCGCAATACAAATGTGCTGTTGTTTGGTGTGTAGCGAGTGTGGCTTATCGCTGTGCGAGAATGGTATCTTCTCGACGGCAGAGCGCAGCGACAGAGGCGAGAAGTATTTTCTCGTCACAGCGGTTTTTTCTCGTGTTTTTTTCTCACAAGTGAGCAGTCATCTGATCAATTTCTTTTTACTCGTACATCTTCACATGTTCTCTAAACCGCTGCGCATGAGCACGACTGGCCAGTCGTCTTGAGGTACCCACCCTCCCTCCCTGCTTTTTGTACTTGTCAGATTAGCCACTTGGGGTTTTACACCCGGTTTTTTCCCTCAAAAAAAAAATAATGCGTCCGTCGGCGCGAGGGTTTTTTCCCGGCTGGCTCGGCCCAGACGAATTAATCTGACGGTCCCAAGTGGTGCTTCTGGTTTTCGGTCATTGCTCTCTCAGTTGCTGCCATTGCGTTGCTTTCACAGAATATCCATGTGCTCTGTCCCTTCTTCCGCTATTCTACAATTCCGCATCCTTCCATGTAAAAGAACGTGGTGTCACACTTCTGGCCCTCCTAACCGCAATACAAATGTGCTGTTGTTTGGTGTGTAGCGAGTGTGGCTTATCGCTGTGCGAGAAGACATAGTGTGTACCACCAACAACCCCCTCCCCCTTAAACACATACACACACACACACACAACCACCAGAAGATGATTGTGTGGGGGTGTTGAACAATGCATTCCTCATACCTAGCACATTTGGCAATGCATAAGGGGCTGCAACAGGTACCACAACACTGATAAGTGTATGCATGATGACATTACAAAGCTTGCCCCATCCCTATCCCCATAATACACTTTACCTTAGCCTCCAAGGCCTGCTCAAACTCTAGCAATCTGCCCGTGTATTGCTGTATGCTGGCTTTGAGCTCCTCACGGCTAGCTATTGCCTGCGACAATTCAGTCTTCAGCGCCTGCGTATGTGTAGGTGTGCATGTGTGCGTGGGGGTGTGAGTGAGAGAGAGAGGGAGTGAGAGAGAGAGGGAGGGAGGGAGAGAGAGAGAGAGAGAGAGATAATGAAGGCAAACAAAGAACAAAAAAGTGAGACAACATTGAGGCCCTGCAGTCTGCACAACAGGAATCCGTGGAAACTATGGCGTTCTTTCTGAAAGTGCAAAACGTTCTGTGGACGTTCGAAGTTTTGAACACAAAGCTGGCCCAGCACACAAAATAAACTGTCATGTCTTATGTCATACCTAACTGAACGTACTGATCATCGACTGCACCGCACTTTTGCAAATACAAATAAATAATTCCCCAGATCCGGGCACGTCCGTATACCGTGCACCTCTGGAGACCCGTCGGCAATGACGAAAGGGCTAACAAGCAACATAGGGATGAAGAAAACATGTTGGAGAATTTTTTTCTTCAACAACGGCCGTGCACACAGAAACTCTCTCGATTTTTCTGTGAAGAACCCATAAATACAAATACAAAAACATACAGGGTGCTCTGACATCAGGGCAATTCTGTGCTCCGGGCAGGGACAAACTTTGGTCCCAAACCACCTCCTACCCCCCCCCCCCCCCCCCACCCCACCGGAACTGGGAAGTTTGTCAGTCTCTGGAGAATTTCTGAAACGGCAAACATATTACGCTGTACCAGATAAGTTTTCCTTGATCATGTGACCATTTTTGATTTTTAGCCAGACGTCAAACACAAGATACACATAGCACAGAAATCACAATCAACAAGAAAACACGATGAGAGTGACCATGGTGATTGTGTCCATGGATATTGACCATGGCGACAGCACTGCACTGAACTCCAGTGACCGTGACAACAGTGACCGTGGCGACAGCACTGCACTAAACTCACATCAATAGCTTGTTTACTGGCTATCTGCTCGTTCATCAGCTGCTGAACACGCACGGTCTCGGCATCACGCTGCTGTACACACTGCTGTTGGCGCAGCTCCTGTTTCTCCAGCTGCTGCTGAAGGTGCTGCAGTTGACGTTGCAGCTCGGAGCATCGGTCATCGCCATGCCGGACCTGTTGGCCAGCCTGCTGCAGACGCGATTGCAGTGTTTCCGCTTCAGCCGCCTAAGCGCACAGACACAAAAAAAAGAAAAAAAGGCAAAACTCTGTGCTGTAGTGTACAGCAAACAAAACGTAAAGTGCTTAGACAACGAATGAAACTAGGACAGGTATATCCAACCCGTGCAGAAGCGCACAGGAGTGTCTTGAGCAGCAGTGGTCGCTTCAGTCAAGCATCAGTACTCCAAAAAAAAAAACCTAGCTGGCAGCGGATGGTGCTTACTTTAGTGCTGTGCAGTTTCATAGCTCTCTGGAACTCTTCATTCTGCCGCTCAATCTTAGCATGCAGCTGATCTCGCTCCGCATCAACCTCCCGCAGTGCGTTCCGCATCTCCTCCAGTTTCTGACTTTGTACAGAGTGACCGTGGGTTTGGTCTCCTGTAGGGAGAAGAATGTTGACCATAATGAGAGAGAGAGAGAGAGAGAGAGAGAGAGAGAGAGAGAGAGAGAGAGAGAGAGAGAGAGAGAGAGGAGAGAGAGAGAGAGAGAGAGAGAGAGAGAGAGAGAGAGAGAGAAAGAGAAAGAGAGAGAGAGAGACAAACAGACAGATAAAGATGAGGATGACTGTTAAACAGGGATTGGACTGTACATGTACTTGCTGCTGCATAAACTAAAGTTGGGATCGTCGAACATGATGATGCTACAGAGAACATGCCACGTTTACTTTACACTGCGAGGCACACTTATTTGGTCTAGTTCGAATATTTGCTATAAACAAAGTGTTGGTCAGGATGGACAAATAGTCCTCTCCTCACACAGTACTACATGTAGAATGCTTTGGCTATTTACAGGTGCATACGCAGGGGGCAAGTCCCGGTGCTCGGACTCCCCACCTCCCAATGTTTCGAACGCACCGCTGTGCAACGATGCTTTGAATGCAGTTGTGTGAGTGAGCGTGCAACGCTAGCACTCACAGCTGTAATGTAGTATACAGTGGTATGCCGTGCGTGGTGAATTTCTAGGCTGGCCGTTCTTCGGCGCCCGACAGTACTGAAACCCATTTTGTCATTTCCCAATACAATCTTGTCATACAAAATGTGATGCACGGGTGCAGTGCGCACCCAGCACGGTCGATTTGTGGCCGCATATCCGTTGTGTGAACTTTTTAAGGTAAAAACACTAGAAAAATGAAGTTGATTGTTCCAACTAGGAACACACGCTTCTTGCCAAACTTGACACTCGACTGACTCACGACTACCATCCGGAGCACACGAGAAGCACGTCGCACCTTCCACTCGGCAAACCTGCAAGAAAGCACCACTCCCTGCTCAATACAGTGTTTCGGGGAATTCACCCACTAGAAAAATGATTGGGAGTGACGGTCCCCCCCCCCCGGCTAAGACTCCGGGATTAGGCTGTAGTGTATACCGGTACTCTAAGAGTAGGCCGTCCGTCTTACTTAGGTTTCTCTGCAGCTGTTCAACAGTGGCTTGCTGTTCCTCCATGAGCTGTTGCTTATCAGAAACCTGGCGAACAATGGCGTCCTGCTCATCGCGTGAACGTCCAACGATCGCCTGGAGCTCTCGCACCTTCTGCAGCAAGCCATCACGTTCCTCTTCGATCGTACGCAACTCAGTGCGTAGTGTGTTGACCACTCCAGACGATGTGCTGCTCTGTGACATGAGAGAGACGAGAGAGAGAGAGAGAGAGAGAGAGAGAGAGAGAGAGAGAGAGAGAGAGAGAGAGAGAGAGAGAGAGAGAGAGAGAGAGAGAGAGAGAGAGAGAGAGAGAGAGAGTGAGAGAGAGAGAATGAGAGAGAGAGAGAGAGAGAGAGAGAGAGAGAGAGAGAGAGAGAGAGAGAGAGAGAGAGAGAGAGAGAGAGAGAGAGAGAGAGAGAGAGAGAATGAGAGAGAGAGACGAGAGAGAGAGAGAGAGAGAGAGAGAGAGAGAGAGAATGAGAGAGAGAATGAGAGAGAGAATGAGAGAGAGAGAATTCAGTCCCACAACATTCGCTGCACAATCTAATGCTCATGATGCTAAGGCCATGCAGTTTCACAGCAACCTTTCAATGGACAGCACTGTCTAAGTACACATACAGTGCAATCTTGGCTCATGTTCATGTAAAAACACAGGGAGCCTCCATCTCGGAACCATCTCACTCTCACACACAACCGCAAAAATAGAACCACCATTATCATGATTCCATACATTACAAAGCTCCCCCGTGTGTGCACATACAAAATATATCAGACCAGCTCGGACATGTGACCAACTAGCTGGGTGGCAAAGGCGGTGGGATATCTGAGGCTCCCAGGCACACACTCAGCACAGTGTATAAAGTAAAAGACCACTCGTTGATACACACCGGCTTTCTGTACATACTGGTGCAGGCACTAAACACAGGTCACACAGTACAGCACCGTCAGCAGCCTCGTGGCCTAGACCGTTCTTATTTTCACGTACTGCAGCCTATGCACAGATGAGTGAAGGTATATACATTGGTATGCTGTGCATGGTGAAATTCTAGGCTGTTCGCTCTTCAGCACTCGGTTCTTCGGCGCCCGACAGTACTGTAAAGAAAGTATTGTCAGAAAGGACAGTGAGAAGACCATACCTGGCCTTGCATGGACAGAAGCTGTGCTTTCAGTGACGCACACTGGGCAGTGCTACGCTGTATGTCCTCTTCCAAAAACTTGATGCGCTCCCGTGTGCGCTCACTTAGACGTCGCATCTCCTCCGCCACGGCCTGAGCCTGCTTCTGTTCCGAGACGGCGTTGTTGGTTGCAGCCGACGAGGCCTTCACCTGGTCCTCAAGGCTGGCCACCATTGCACGGAGACTGCCTATGCGTGCTGTTAGGCTGTCGCGCTCTTCCCGCAGCGCCTGCAGCTCTCGCGGAGACGATCCTTGTGCCTTGCCGCCCGGCTCTGCTCGCGGAGACGAGTAGTGCTGGGCTGCGGTAGCATCAAGTGTGCTGGCGGGCACATGCGCCTTTGTCGATGGTGAGTCGGTGCGCTGATGTGCCGCCGCATGGTCATCGACATCAGCTGAGTGCCTGCGCAATTCATCTATTTGCTGACATGCCTACGGATCAAGAAACAGCAAAATCACAAAGATACATAGATATAACATAGTTCACATACAGTGCGTTCAAAAGTATAGACCATCCCTTCAAAAACTCATTCGGCTTCTTCCATACCACATAAAACCTGTAGTCACTGGTGCAATGAATTTTTCGAAATTGGCCAGAAAATGGCTGATGGAATATATATTATATACCTTTGAACCCCCAACACAAACTTCAAAGAGACATACGAGTACTGTATGTTGCCCAAAGTGCGCCATTCGTGCTGTACTGAATAAAAAACCTGCCGATACTGAGGACATGGAATAAGGAATCAACCTCCGAGAGAAAATACATCCACAATTGACCGCCACTATTCAGCCTGGTCGACACCACACAGCTATGAAGTGGCTTTTCCTGGCCTGTGAATCCCAACTTTGGGTTTTTTTTATTTCATTTTTCATTTTTTTCGCACACACGCACACACATATCTCTCTAGCAGCATTCGAGACTAACACATACCTGTCTGTACAGCAACGAGAGGCTGTCTCTTTCCTCTTTCACCGCCTTCAGGTCACGCTGAATCTCACCCAACTGGCCTTCAAACCTCTGTAGGACTTTCTGTAACTGTCTATTGTCACGTTCGATAGCAGACAAGTCAGCCACGGTGGAATTCCGCGGCGAACGCTCCCTACCAACGCCCGGATCGCGGGTTGAAGAGTTCCTGCGCATCAGAAGGTCCAGCTCGTTTCGAAAGTGGTCGCGCTCCTCTTGCAGGTGAGTGCACTGGTGTTGCATGGACTGCAGCTCGTGCTGTAAGTTCTCGACCTGTGCACGGCGGGCATCGGCCGTGACACTCAGGTCGTCCAGTGCAGCACCGACACGTCGATGCTCGGCGGAGCTTCGCTGAGCGCGGCCCTCCTCGTGTAACGTTGCCAGCTTGCGCAGCGACTCAAGTTCAACATTAAGGGCATGCTCTGCACACAGCGAGTAAAACAAGAAAATAAGAAAACGACAGGGAGGGGGGGGGGGAGAGAGAGAGTGTGAGAGAGAGAGAGAGAGAGAGAGAGAGAGAGAGAGAGAGAGAGAGAGAGAGAGAGAGAGAGAGAGAGAGAGAGAGAGAGAGAGAGCACACGGTAAACCATAAGATAGTATAGCATCACACATGAGTATAAAATATTGCTCAAATGGCAGAGCAAAGTAGAACGAAATGCGAGATACATGCCTGTAACTATATATTCCTGTAACTAAATATGGCTGTCCTGTACATGTACAGGGATTTGCACTCCTCGCACAAGTAAACCTGATTACTACCTTCATTGAAAAGGGCAGGGAATGATACACTTTTCTTACATACAAAGGTGTTTGTCCTCAAGAGGTGACAGCCTAGGAAGGATCTACTGAACAGATTTGCACAATGTACAGTTTTAACAAACTGACAAACTGTACACAGTAGCTCTTCAAAACGGGATTATTCAAACAATACGACATGGAAAGAAGGAAGAACACCAAAGATACAAGGGATGCAACTCGACGATGAAATCAAAATGAAAATTTGAAAAAAGTCTAATCCAAAGAAACGCAAGGCAGATGTAACAAGGTTGTGTATACAGTAGCTCTAGTTCTACACCACAGGCAATACTATAGTGCTCTATCATGGAGGCTTACGCCATGCAACAGGCACCACTAAGGCAGAGGTACTAGAATGACGCTCTGTCTTCAGCTGGCGGACTTGTCCCATCATAACTGGCAACGGCAAAGGGTCAAACTTCTCATTTGCTAAAAGTATAGTCTGTACTGATAATCAAACCGTCCGCTGTTGCCTTCAAACAATCTCGTTTACGTTGGATCTAAGTATTACATCAATTCCCACACCTCCACTAACTGTGGTTTGGTTCACAATTGACTGTCACCGCTTTATGAATAAAAGTTTATGATTATTGAGTACTGCATTGCCTTGTTTTTCATCCTCTGATGAAGCTACGACATAGCAGAAACCGGTCAGGTACATTTGATTTTTTTGTGACCGTGCAGGACTCTTCCCCTGTAGTTGCCACTTGCCCTATCTCCCCCCCCCCCCCCCCCCACACACACACACATCAATGTACATAGAAGACCAACCTGTTGCAAGAAGTTGCGAGCACTTTTGCTCCAGTACGCGCTTCTCCCGATCCATTTGCTCGAGAACATGCGTGGTGCGTTTAGCATCAGCCTGGCTTGTCTCCAGCAATTCTTGCAAGCATTTGATATCCGTGACAGCACGCTGCAGTTCGTTCTCCTTGCTGAGTAAGGAGGTGCGCCCTTCATGTAACTCAGTGTGTAGCTGCTGCACGGATGTTTCAACTTGGCCATGCTGAGTGCGCATATGATCCGCTTCGTGCTGCAAATCCCGGCTCAGACTCTGAATTGCGCGCAGCTCTTCGCACAGCTGCAAGTTCTTCGACTGCAGCTCCTCAGCTCGTTGAGCCTCTGCACGCATTTGAGCTTCGCTATCAGTCAGCTTAGTTTCTAACTGGTGTCTCTGATCCGTTAGGATCTCCATCTGCATGGTCATCTGAGCCACCAGCCGTTCGTCCAAGTTTCTCTTGCCCTCGGCCAGGATGAGTTCGTGTGGCCGCCCGTGTTCCAGCAGGCCGCCGAGCCGCTCAATCTCTGTGTCGCGAGACTCCACTTGTTCCGCTAGAATACCAGCCCGCCGCTCCGACGTGTTGCAGTTCTCCTTGGCCTTCTGCAGCTCCTCAGTAAGGCCTGTAATGCGAGCATCAGCCACACGTAGTAAGTCGGCTACATACGGGTCACGCTGTAGTTTGGCGGGGCTTGCTTTGCCAGCTGCATCACTCGGTGGCACGGGACAGTCAATTTCCATGCGCTGACGCCGGAAAGCAATCGTCTTCTTTCGACCACCCGGAGTCTGGATAACAGCCTGGAGATTCTTCTCCTGAAGTTGCTGTATGCGATCATTACGATCACGGACTTCTTTCTCCAAGGCCTTGATGCGTACAACATACTGTGTGTTCAGGAAGGTCAGGTCAGAGTTCTGGTGTTCCAGACGACGAAGATTGGCCTTGTATTCTCGTGTGTGAGCAGTGCACTCATCTTTCTGTTTGATTAGACGCAGGTGGAGTTCTCGATTCTCCGTCACCAGACGCGCGTTCTCGTTCTGATACGGCTCGATATAATCATGAGCCTCCTCCACTACCAGTTGCTTCTCTCCGAGTTCGGATCGTGCTTTTCTCAAGCTGTCGGTTGTCTGAACAAGATCATCGAACAGTCGTTCCACCAGGGGAAGAGACTCTATCGGTAGTGGTTGCCGGTACCCGAGCTGATCAAGGCGTTTCCTCAGCTGCAGGAAACTGCGCTCCGTCGCCGTGGCCATGGCAGGCCGCAGCAGGGCAAACACCTGAGGATTTTTTTTGAACTAACTTTACAAACTTACTTGTGTGATCGAGCTGTGAAAGGACGCTACGGGACGCCACTGAAAGACGAACAAAATAAAAATGATCACATGTTGATCGAGAAAACGGCAAAAAAATGATTCAAAAGACCGCCATCTTTCCCGCGCAAAGCTAGTAGTAGTGACGTAAACAAACAAAACAAACTGACTGTTTATTTTCTGTTTTGTTGCTGTTTGAATTCAATGAACTATTCCATACCACTACGAGACCGTACACCTACCAAAATTTGATTTTGAAGGTTCCCACAATACCTTGGTAGGTCAGACTTGAGGAGTTTATGTGCTTCTGTCTCGGAGCCAAGGTAAAGTAGTCGACCGCCATGAGCCGTCGGGACGTTCTCGCCTTGGGAAATCAAATTCACGGTGATGTGCACGAAGCCTTGTCCAATATCGAGCAGGCCTTCTTGAATGGCGGTGATATCATTCGAGATGAAGACGAACTAATACCCGCAGCAATTCAGCAGTTGTGCGAAATCATCAGGACGGGCTCCAATCCCGTATTGCTGGCCCGGGCGGCGTCCTGTATTGGCACAATTGCTAACGTTTTGCCGAAGAGACGGGACCAGATACGAGACCGAGGTGGAGTGGTTTCTTCTTTACTGGCGATGTGTGCCCCAAGGGTGGGTGATGCAGGTGAGTAGTGAAAGATGGATGCTGCGTGTGTTACAATGCTAATGAAAAGCCAAAATTAATAATAGTCTTGTCATGCTATAAAGTTCCCTTATAATCCGTAATGTCATGATTAATTTTGAATCTTCTTCAATCTGCTGTGCACACACAGTACCTGCACTATAGTGGTGGTGATTGAAATCCAGCCCCTGCTTTCCTCCATGACAATAATGATAAAGCACATGTGTTGTAGAGAGTGATAGCATCAAGGAAAACGACACGAGGCCGTTGAGCTCAGAGCGATGCAAGTTTCGACCCCAGGTTTGTAAGCTCCATATGATTTTCGGTCAATGCAATTTCGATCGTGATGTCGGCCGGTGTGAATTTGGTGCTGCTGTTGTTGTTGATGCTACTTTGTTTTGCAGGAGCTATACCGGAGCTAAATCTGATGATACATGAATACAGCGTGTATGCGCTGTTCAACCTAGCGTGCAAGTGCAATAACATACAGGCGGATATCGTGGAGTATAATGGTGAGATCAGTGTGCGTGCCTCTGTCAGCCCATCTCTCGAGGCTTGCCCAGCCGCGTGCGCCGGTGCCCTTCATGGGGGGGGGGGGGGGTTCCGGGGGCCTCCCCGGGAAAATGTTCAAAAAATGAAGCAAAATCCTGCATTTTGAGCGAAAAAAGGGACGGGGGTTCCAGGAACCCATACGGGGCACGCGCCTGTTGCCTCTGTGTGTTGGCCTCTCTGAGCTTACTTCTTGGGGTTTGCCGCTCTTAGCTTGTCTCTCTGAGCTTGTTGAGACCGTTAGCAAGTTGTGAAACGCGAACGAGGAACTGGGTTAGAGTCCCGCAACGAGTGGGTTTTAGTCCGGTACGTGCGATTTCAACCGTGATCCGGAGAACAGCACCATGAATCAAGCCTCTCTTCGTTTTTGTGTCTTTTCTCAAATTTCGAAATGTTTCGTGCGCTCTTGTTTGGAATTCTGAAGCTTGTCTTGAATTTCTGCAGGATGGTCAGACATTCTAGCATGATCATTGTGATATCTCTAGAAATGATAGGCTTTGTGTGGGTAGTAATGGATCAACAATGCCCTAAATGTGTGTGTGTGTGTGTGTGTGTGTGTGTGTGTGTGTGTGTGTGTGTGTGTGTGTGTGTGTGTGTGTGTGTGTGTGTGTGTGTGTGTGGTGAGCCCGTAAGTGGGATCATTTTCAAGTCCACCCAGAGTTTTTGGGATTTCAGGGGGTGTCGGCCGTTGGGCGGTTCAATAGCCAATTGAGTCATCTTTCCAAGATTCCTTTTGAGTCTCTCTCCTCTCGTCCGGGGAGACCCACGTGACCAGTTTTGGCAGTGAGCAACAAGTACAAGTACAAGTGTGTGTGTGTTTGGGTTTTCTCTGGTGCAAGGTATGTGGGTGTGTATGTATGTGTATTTTCGGATTCCATTGTGCGTATGTGTGTGCGCGCGCACGCTTGTATGCCGTCTGCATCCTGGTTTGGTTGCAGGTATCGATATAATGGTCGGTCTAACCAAATCCTATCGTCTGACTGATGCTCATGCTGACTGCTGTCATTTGACCAAACACCGGACGAGAACTGTGTCAAGTCCAGTTGATGAACAACGCAGCTCCCTACCACATCCAGCAAAGGATTCTTTGGAGAATCTTGTTCTTGGAAATACAGTGTCTGCCAAGGTACACCAATTATTACTTTTTTTCTAGTGATCCATGACTGCGACTGGAAGAAGGAATTACAATACAAGTGGAATCCTAATAATTTGAATATGGCTTAATTCGAACATACCGCTTAATTAGAAGTTTTCCAGGACCGATTTCTATAAATACGATTCCCACATAAAATTTTCTGGTAATTCAAACCTCGAACTGGACATGTCCGGTTAGAAGTCCCACGGATTCCACTTGCATAGAAAATGTGTGGGATTTGTGCTGATAAGTCGAAGTTAGCAAAGTGTAATTCAAAGTTCACTGTACACTGTACTGGTCAGTTCAGTTTGCATGAGCAGGCTGTGCCAGTCAGTTCAGTATCCGTGAAATCTGTGTTTAAGGTCCCTAGCGCAACTCTGCGTGACCATGAGAGCATTTTGACATCCATCTTGTGTTTTGGGTTCATGTTTGGATAATTCGAATGTCCGGATAATATTGGAAGTTTTTTCCTGGCATTTTGAGGTTCGAATTATAAAGATTCCACCTGTAATTATTTTTAGGGCACAATTTATGAGTTTTCGTCCCCTGAGGTGTCATTTTCATTTTTACTGTACAGTCTGGTCATATGACAACGAATGGCACAAGCTGACTGGCAGGTCTGCTTTTTTTCTCATCTGGGTAAATCACTCACAACACGCTTACTCAGTACCCCCTCTTGCATTCTGCCAAGTTGTGCTGCTGCTGCTGCAGTGGAAATTGACGTGGTAACAATGGAGACAGTATCGCCATCAAGTTGCATGAAACACTGATTCTTGTTGATGTTCTCTCTGTCTCTCTCTCTCTCTCTCTCTGCCTCTCTCTCTCTCTCTCTCTCTCTGTCTGTCTGTCTTTCTCTCTGTCTTTCTCTCTCTCTCCCTCCCCCTCTCTCCCTCTCTCTCTCTCTCTCTCTCTCTCTCTCTCTCTCTCTCTCTCTCCCCCCCCCCTCTCTCTCTCTCTCTCTCTCTCTCTCTCTCTCCCTCTCTCTCTCTCTGTAGGTCGTTCGCTTGTTTGGTCAGCCGGCAGTACAGTGCCAGCGGAGCTGCGGCAACGCCGTGTGCAGCCCGTCTCGGCCAGCATTTGCCGTCGACTTGTTCCATGAGGGCAAGTCGGTACAGGATCTGCTGGCCAGTGACGGTGTTGTGTGGACTGCTCCTGGCGATAGTGGCACCGACAACAAAAACCCGGTGTCGAGTCTTGTACTGCGCGTTGAGCGCATCATGGACGATGGCGTGCACTTCTGGGCGACCGTGGATTCGCCCGGTACTACCAGTAGTGAGGAAACCTTGGCTGGCCTGTCACTGGACCAGGTAACTAGCTACTGTTTAAAAAAATTCGAACAAAGATTGGTGTGGGAATTTGAAAACCTTTTAAAATCGGGCCAATGTGCAGCTCAAGCCCCAATCCGTAATGTCATCTATCGGCTGAAAGTGCTCTCTGGAGCAGTTGATCAGTGTACAGTGGAATCTTTCTGGATTGTGTAGAGCATATTCGTGTGTGTTCACGTGCATGCGCGTGTGTGTGTGGGGTGTGTATATGTGTGTGTGGGGTGTGTATATGTGTGTGTGTGTGTGTGTGTGTGTGTGTGTGTGTGTGTGTGTGTGTGTGTGTGTGTGTGTGTGTGTGTGTGTGTGTAGGCTTTCCCGTGTTGTCTGAAAGATGCTGTGCCCAGTCAACTTGAACGCTGCAATGTCCTGAAATACTCGTTAGGTAAGTGGAGTGTCCTCTTAGCTGTATGTGTGTGTGTGTGTGTGTGTCACTGTGCGTGTGTATTGTGGTGTGTGTGTGTGTCAGATGGGGTGAGGGTGGGGGTGGGGGCACACAATAGGTCTGTAATGTGTAATTCAAGAGGCAAACACGCTATCCTGGATCCCTAATCGGACACTAGGAGGGTGTTGCACACCCGTCCAGACTGCAGTGGGAATGCTAATATGACCAGTATGGTCACGTGCACACTCCATTTCCAAAAAGCGATGATTGATGCTCTGCCAAGCTTTCATCGCACCCCTGAAAACAGGGAAAGCAGAGAGAGACAGAGACAGAGAGAGAATATGTGAGAAAGAAAAGTGAAGCCCGGAGAAACAAGACAAGACAACCTGCACAGAAAACAACAACAACGCAAGTAAGCCCCTTGAAAGCCCCAAGAAACTCATGTGTGTAACCGATCGATGCATTCGAAAGAGAAAGCTCAAATTTCCCCTCTGCTTTGTATGTTTTGTTTGTGTTGTGACAGCAACCCTTGCTTTGCTAGCACGTCATCGTCAAAGCTACTGCACATTGATCAGTGACCACCTTGAGCACATCACATTAGTAAGTCACACTAAGAAAGCTGCTGCGTTTGGAGATTCTGCTACTGTGGCCTCTGCTGTGGTTGTTGCCGATGTGGTCGTTGCTGCTTCGGCCTCTGCTGTGGTTGTTGCTGCTGCTGTTGTGCCTGATGCGTTCGGTGTTACTGCAAATGTGGGTGATATGAGAAAGTTGTGTTCACACGGTGCAGCCCATAGGTTACTGTACAGGTGACCAGCGCTGTAGGCGATGTGCTGCCTGTACAGACTGCTCTACCCTGCTGGGAGGTTTGGCAGGACATGTTGATGCTGCTGTTGTTCTTGTTCTTCTTGTCGTTGTTGTGGTTGTCGTCGTTGGTTCCCAGGTCATTTCTTTACTTCTGGTGTGTGTGCGTACGTGTGTGTGTGTGTTTGTGTGTGTGTGTGTGTGTTTGTGTGTGTGTGTGTGTGTGTGTGGTGTGTGTGTGTTTGTTTACACAGATGTACCTACTGCCCAACCTGGACGTGTGTAGCGAGGCGGTAACGTGTATCTTCTACACGGCCGGCCTGCCAAACGCCGCACACCGCATGGCTGCTCAAGGTGTGCTGGAAGACATGCTTGGTAAGGTAGTCATGTAACAACAGCCGTGGCTGTGTCCACCATGGACATGTTCATGTAACAACAGCCGTGGCTGTGTCCACCATGGACATGTTCATGTAACAACAGCCGTGGCTGTGTCCACCATGGACATGTTCATGTAACAACAGCCGTGGCTGTGTCCACCATGGACATGTTCATGTAACAACAGCCGTGGCTGTGTCCACCATGGACATGTTCATGTAACAACAGCCGTGGCTGTGTCCACCATGGACATGTTCATGTAACAACAGCCGTGGCTGTGTCCACCATGGACATGTTCATGTAACAACAGCCGTGGCTGTGTCCACCATGGACATGTTCATCTCATGAGTACAGTACTGCCGTTTGCTGAAGAACGAACAGGCTAGAATTTCACCAAGCACACAGCAGCATACCAATGTATACACAGTGATTCAGCTGTGCATAGACTGTGCTACTTGAGCATAAGAACGGCCTAGGCTACGAGGCTTGACCCCCCAGTTTTTTTGGCAATCGACAATACTGTACTGTGCTGAGGACTTGGTTAGGGAGGGGGTAACCAAACATGAGTAACGTTCCTTGTGTCAAACTGCAAACCTGGAACAGGATTCTACTTTGCAATAGGCAACCTACTGGCAGACAGCTCCCTTTGGGTAAAAAGTGCTAAGAGTAGCAGCTTACAGCGGAGCTGTTCATGTGACATTGTGTGCAGAGGTAGGTGGCTTTGTTAAAGGGGAAGTTAAGGCAAAAATTAAAATTTTACCAGTTGTAGTCTTCGGGGTGCTGAGTCGAATGGTCGTGGTCCGAGGAAGCTGAGACGCTCCCTTCCTACTTGAATCCCAATCGAACTCGCGCACTTCCACCGAAACTGGGTGACTGCGCCCTACTAGATGGGGATTTGTATGCAAAATGTCACTAAAAGCGCCATTTCGTTCTTATAAAAGCACGGATGACCGCGATTGGCCCATATGTTGTAGTCTTTTGGACGCTGAGTCGACTGGTTTTGGTCCGAAAAGGCTGCGATGCAGCGTTCCTCCTTTATTCCCAATCGAACATGGTTGAACAAGCGGTCACGTGCTCCTGCGTACACCAGTCACCTGGTCACCGTGCCTGCAGGGTACAACTTACTAGCCTGTTTGACCTTTTTTGGGTGCAGTCCTGTCACTCGAGTTGAACCTTGGTGTGAAAGTTGTCGCCTGCTGGCGTGGTGACCAGGTGATTTGGGCACCCAGGAGCACGTGACCGCTTGTTCAACCATGTTCGATTGGGAATAAAGGCGGAACGCTGCATCGCAGCCTTTTCGGACCAAAACCAGTCGACTCAGCGTTCAAAAGACTACAACATATGGGCCAATCGCGGTCATCCGTGCTTTTATAAGAACGAAATGGCGCTTTTAGTGACATTTTGCATACAAATCCCCATCTAGTAGGGCGCAGTCACCCAGTTTCGGTGGAAGTGCGCGAGTTCGATTGGGATTCAAGTAGGAAGGGAGCGTCTCAGCTTTCTCGGACCAAGACCATTCGACTCAGCACCCCGAAGACTACAACTGGTGACATTTTGATTTTTGCCTTAACTTCCCCTTTAAGTACTTGTTAAGCTGACCCGCTGGAGTCAGGCCAGTAAGTGAGTTACACATTTATTCCCGTAGCTATGCAGAAGACGTTACTTCAGTAACGTCTGGCGCTAGCCAGGGTCCACACAGCCTTAATTCCCGTAGCTATGCAGAAGACGTTACTTCAGTAACGTCTGGCGCTAGCCAGGGTCCACACAGCTTTAATTTGGTGTTTGTTTGTTTGTTTGTGTCACGCCTGGCGCTATCCCGTATCTGTCCCGTACTGTACCGTACCAGCAAAGACAGCTGGCCACAATATTTTTGTTTGTTTGTGCCATTGACATGCCTGGCGCTATCCCGTACCTGTCCCGTACCATCAAGAGTACGGTACCATTAAGAGAATGAGTACTAGTATATATGCGAAGTGTATCGGGGGAATGCATTCAGTGCAGTAACATTTTGTGTGGATTTGTGTGCGAGGCCGAGATCCCACTAGCAGGCTGGCTGGGCCGCCTGTCGACCAGCCCGGGAATCGCATGTAGGCCGATAGCATAATAGTTATAACGTATATACAGTCATGTAGATGTATAGCAGGGTTGTCATATTATGTAAACGACTCCCTGCTGTATGAGGAGATTTTCTGGAAAGAAATACGAAGTAGGGAGACGAGTAAATGCAATCAGAATGGATGTTAGTTGCCGTCAGTATAATAATAAGAAGAAGAAGAACGCCCGTGATCGGCAGAGTCAGCGCCGGTCCCAGGAAACGTCAGGACAGACATCCCGTTGACTCCAGAACGCCCGTATTCGGCAGAGTCAGCGCCGGTCCTATAGCTATGCAGAAGACGTTACTTAAGTATCTCATTGAAACGTTTTTGCAATACAATGATGCACCCAATCAAAGGAAAAAGCATTTCCATCAGTTCTGACAACATACACGATGAGCTAGGCAACAAAGCATAGCGCAGGGCCCTGAGCTTTCAAGCTCTCTCGTTTGGTGTTTGTGTGTTTGTTTGTGTCACGGCTGGAGCTATCCCGTATCTGTGACTACAAAGGCTCTACAGGATTGTACATAACAGCTGTCCACAATATTTGCGGGCTCCTGTATCTGTCCCGTACCGTACCAATATTCGTCGTATTATGTATACGACTCCCTGATGTAGAGGGAGATTTGGAAAGAAATAGGGAGACGAGGAGGAAATTAAATTAGAATAGACGCCGAATAGGTGATAGGATGCGTCCGCATTAACATACATGTACTTTGGAAGAGAGATCCCGTCGTCTCCAAAATAAGCGTGAACGAGCGATTCAGCGCCGGTCACAGGAAACGTCGGAAGAGAGATCCCGTCGACTCCAGAACCCCCGTGATCGGCAGAGTCCGCCGGTCACAGGCAACGTCAGGACAGACATCCCGTTGAGTCCAGAACGCCCGTGATCGGCAGAGTCTAAGCCGGTCCCAGGAAACGTCAGGACAGACATCCCGTCGAGTCCAGAACGCCCGTGATCGGCAGAGTCAGCGCCGGTCCCAGTGAACGTCAGGACAGACATCCCGTCGACGCGCAGAAAAACTAAATCTGCAGCCTCTTTTGCCGTCGGACAGGATACGTATTATAGGAGACTGTAAAGTTATGTAATGTCCAAATTTCCACGTGAGCAGCAGGTCACTCGCGTTGATTTTTCGACGTGCGAGCCAAATAACGCGAGCTGAACTTTCGCGTCGCAGACATCCGGTCGACGCGAAGAAAAACTAAATCTGCAGACTCTTTTGCCGTCGGACAGGATACGTATTTTAGGAGACTGCTAAGTTATGTAATGTGCTCCACAGGCAACCATGCATTCGGCGTCGTCATTGGCTCAACAGGTCAATGTACATGTATTACTACAAAAGGCCAGAAAATCCGATTACTGTATTAAAATCAACTAATTTTCGCTGGCGATTTAATTTCGCTGATTTCGCCGCTTGGTACCAACCGGCCAAAGTAAATCGCAGGCCAAAGTTCGTCATATAGGCAAATGATGCATGATTGAGCAATGGATGCATGTGAGAGCAAAAATACCGATCGATTTCAAATTTGACGTGAAATTGCGCGTCACGTCGGAAATAACGTGCATCTTAACCTCTCTGATAGAGAGGTTTCTATTTCTTATCGGCCAAAATTTGTTGATTTACAGTATAAGGAGATAAAAAGAAAAGAAGGAGCAAACCAAAAGTAGATGATTATTAGAGAAATAACAATCCGCAATAAATTCTGCAAATACTTTTGCCTCAGTTCTTATAACATGTACGATGAGCTAGGCAAAAAAGCATAAAAGCATAGCGTAGGGCCCTGAGCTTCCAAGCTCTCTCGTAAATGTGGACTCATGTTTCTACCATTGTGTCCAAGGTGTGCGCATCTTCTCCCTGTTCTTGCCTGTTGTTTCTTCTCTGACGTGTTCAGACCTTTGCGAGCGTTGCTTGCCATGTCTACCGGACTCTAGCGCCGTCCTCGTCAGCTCTGTGTGTGTCATTCATCGCCTAATCTCACACTGCAATTTGTGCCGACACCACCTCTGCCAACTACCCAAGTGGCCAATCCTAGCACAGGTAATGACTGCACAGGGACGTAGCTGGTCTTTGGGGGGGGGGGGGGGGGGGGGGGGGCACAGCCATTTCACCAAACTATTTTTTTCGTGGAATATGTTGTATTTGAAGTTCGAATATCATACGTGTAAGTTGGCCGGTGCATGTCATCATGGTCATTATGTGCATGCTGAGCCTAGGTCGAAATTGTTAGGGGGTGCTCTTGCCCCCCCCCCCCCGTGCCCCATGCCAGCTACAGGCCTGACTGCACAGTGGCACTTCACTCAGTGTAGTGTGACACCTCCGCATGCAAACCTGTACAGTGAAACAGCTGTCTAAGACGACCACTCAAGGGACATTCAAACATGTGGTCTCCATTGCCAGGTGGTCTCCTTATCCTGGGCCATTTGACTGGAAATAGCATCCCTTGGTCCTGGTAGCAGTGGTCTTCTGGGACAGGTGGTCGCCTTGACAGGTTTTACTGTACTTTTATAGCTGAAGTGCTTTATGACATAGTGGTATGACATAGTGGTATGACATAGTGCATTTTCCTGCACGACAGTACTGTGTATCCCATGGTATATTAGATCTGGGGTGCGGAGCTGTTTCTCTGTACTTCAGTACTTACTTGGCGTTGCTATGCATCATGTGTGTCTACACACGCACAGAGTACGCATTTGCACCCGCACGATCGTTCGGATAGTCGATGTCCGGATAATTGATGTACAATGAAAGCCAGTTTCTCTTTTTCAGGTTACTATTCCTTCTGGTCGTTTTTACTGTAAGAATTCCAGTTTACTAGCCTCTATGTGTGTCCCCGTGTCCCCACGTCAATAGTCTACTTTGTTTGCTTGCTTACTTGCTTGCTTGTTGAAGGGTCTCCAACTTGTTGACAAGGAGCTGGAGAAGAACGTGATAGTGTCCTGTCTCAAAGTGATCGTCGGTGATGCAGAGCTGTAAGCAGTGTGGTGTATGTGGGTGTGTGTGTGGGTGTGTGTGTGCGGGCATACGCACATGTCAATGTTGGTTTGTTTGTGTACATGGATGTGCATACTCTAATTTCAGAAATTTTCGGTGCTCAATATTTTCGGTATGCGGGCAACAGGCTAGGTTAGGTGAACAGAAATTTTCGGTACAGAGAAGCAGTTCCCTATTGGATTATGTGTGTTAGTGTTTGTTCGGTGTATTGAAATTTTAGGTGTGAAACAGACGCACCGAAAATAAAAGTACACCGAAAATACCGAAAATAAAAGTACACCGAAAATACCGAAAATAAAAGTACACCGAAAATACCGAAAATAAAAGTACACCGAAAATACCGAAAATAAAAGTACACCGAAAATACCGAAAATAAAAGTACACCGAAAATACCGAAAATAAAAGTACACCGAAAATTTGTGAAATTACAGTGCTCCGTGTTTCACACGCTGCAGTGCTAACTTTGACAGACGTGTGTTCTCATCATTATAACCGGTTCTATTTGAATCATGTGCTGGGGTATGGGGGGGGGGGGGGGAGAGGGAGAGACACAGGGAGTAGGGGTGACATCTGCGGCATCTTTATGCAGCGGATCAACATCCACCGCCCATGCATGTAGTTCTTCTGGCTGAATCTGGGTTATCATGAGTGACACAGTGGCTAAGAGAACTGTGGAAGATTTTCTGGTGTACAATGCAAACTTGATGAACTGTTCTCACACACTACAGTGACATAATGATATGCATGTTCTTTAGCACATGCTATTTTCGGAAGCTTTACCTACAGCACGAGTATGGCTGCTTTTGCTTTTCTCTCTCTCTCTATCTCTCTCTCTCTCTCCCTCTGTGTGTGTGTGCGTCTCTGTCTGTCTCTCTATCTATCTATCTTTCTCTCTCTCTCGGTCTCTCTCTCTCCCTGTCTCTCGGTCTCTCTCTCTCTCTGTCTCTCGGTCTCTCTCTCTCTCTCTCTCTCTCTCTCTCTCTCTCTCTCTCTCTCTCTTTCGGTCTGTGTGTGTGTGTCATTTTGACCCTTTGCTGTTTTTCAGGTCTGCATACATTGACACGCCGGCAGACTCAGAAAGCAGCAGTGCCTCGTCACCAGAGACTCCAGCACGGTCCAGGGCAACCTCCGTGTCGTCCAAGAAGACAGTGCGGGTTCACGAGCAGAACGACCCGCGTGGTATGGTGGACCTCCACGGTGAAAACCAGCTGTGCATTGCCAGGAAAAAGCCAACCGCCAAACCTAGGCCCGCTGCTAGCTGCAGTAGTAGTTTGGAAGTGGCTGATCAGCACATTAGAGCTGCCATGTCACATACACATGCATACTCAACTCTAGCATCCAGCACACGGATGAATGGACATTGCTACGCGCGCGGTGATAGCAGCAGCAACTCATCGTCCGTTTCTCTGAATCAAGCTAATCCGCCCGTCAGACAAGCGAGAGGAGCACTAAGCACTGCCACCTCGTCTGACTGCTCTGAGGGTGATCTGAGCTGCACGGATGGCCAGATGTCGCCCGGTTCAAGAGCAGCCCCACACCACCCGCGATCTGATGAGGACCGGTCTGCTCACCGGCCTACTGCTAATGGTGTGGCGCCCGCGTCAACGGGGCCGGTAGAAGCATCAAAACCCTGCAGTAATGTCGGTAGAGGTAGAGGTAGTAAACTTCGAATGGTAGCACAGGGAATCAAAGCCGGCCATGAGGAAGTACAGCGTCCCTCCGGGATGTCTCGGAGCGTAACGTTTCCCAGCAAGGACCCTACATTGGGTACCAGGACAAATTTAAATGGCCCTCTCACGGGTATGTCTGCGAAAGCAGGGCACACCGGATTCCGATCGCAGCTCCGTGGCGAACGGCCTGCAGCCTCCCTTCCCGGTGCATCGTCCCCTGGCCAAGCGGTGGATGACTATGAGTTTGAGGTCAAACCGGGGCATCCGTCACTTCGCTTGCACAAGTACAGGCACATTGCGGACACGGCACCAATCAAGGGCGTTGATGCACCCAACCAATCACAGAGCCATAGGAAGAAGAATAAGTCTAGCAGACACCCTGATGCCAAAGACAAATCTCCTGGAGATGAATACCGTGTCAGAAAGCTATTTGCTACGAGTGAAGATGGAGTGGAATCTAGCTTTGCCTGCATCAGCTCCGGGCATGATAAAACCGATGCTGAGTTTCCTGCGTACGTTTAGTGTGCTTGTTTTTGTGTGTGTGTGTTAGTGTGTGTGTGTGTGTTAGTGTGTGTGTGTGTGTGTGTGTGTGTGTTAGTGTGTTAGTGTGTTAGTGGGTATGGGTGGGTATGGGTGTGGACGTGTGTGTTTCCGTAACTATGCTCCGGTTGTCTGCAAGCATGTGTATAATGTATGTGTGCTTGTTTTGTGCATGTACGTGTGCTTGTGTTGGTGGGTGGGTATTGGTGTTCATTGGTGTGGACGGGTGTGTTTCCATAACCTGCAGGCATGTGTGTGTGGGGGGGGGGGGGGGGCATCACCTTGCTGTGCAATATTATTGCTGTGATTGCGATGAGGTTTTGCACTGCCTTGACTCTTGACATGTTGCTGTGCACTCTCTGCTATGTATCAGCATCATCCTTGTACATGTACAGTAGCATCACAGATTCACTAGTCTTGTGAATCTAGGATCTAGCTGAGAGTAGGTATGAATAACATGGTAGTAGGTATGAATAACATGGGAGTCAGTGGAGCAAATCCTTCTCAAGTCGTGTGGCCGGTGTGCTTTTCACAGACCGAAAAGACGTGGCAAATTGTCCGAATATTGATGAAACCATGTACTGTGGAAACAGAAGTATACGTCGGAATTAAATTTCGTTGTTTCCGTCCAAGATTTTTCGGACTAAATTTCGAGGAAAAAAACGCTGGCCATACGAACTTTCGAATTGGAGTTCTTTGGAGTTGGGCAATATTGTTCACCGACAATATTTTATTAACTGGTTTGAGGGAAAGAAACGGGAAAAGTCTGAAGAAAAAATTGACTGTCACCACCAGGACTCGAACCAGGGACCCTCGCTTGTAGCCAGCTATGCTCTAGCCACTGAGCTATGGTGTAGTCGTCATCCCGGCAGACCGTTCAACATTTTCTTCAGACTTCGTAACTCACACTTCCCGACAATATTTTCTGTATGTACGGTGCCCACGGTAGTGCATTTGCTAATGCTGGCGTCAGTTGCACAGCATCAATACATGTACAATATAACAGGCAATGTGACTGCATTGCCTTTTTAGTTTATACTACGGCCGCTGTCTGTATGTAACCTTTTTAATAGCACGTTGTCTGTTGCCAGTAATACTAATAGAGCTCTTTTTTTTCTCTGGGCGTGTGTGTGTGAATGTGCATGTGCATTTACCACTGGTCTGTCACAGCGCTGACGTACGGTTCTACAATGAGGGCGAGCAAGTGTCGAAAACCGTCGTCACTGCATCGTTACCACTGGAGTACTATGACAAAGCCTCGGCAGCAAGCAAAGCATGGAAGAAGTGTGTTGATGATATGACTGACAGTATCGCCACGGCTGGTGCTACGGGCGGCAAGGTATGCGTGTGTGTGTGTGTGCGCGCGCGCACGTATGTGTGTATGCGTGTGATCGAACGTATGCAAGGTTGCGACTTTTTGTTTCCAAGCATTGCCTTTTCCTACTTTGAAGTTCTGTTTGTTGTTCACATCAATATTTTTCTAGTGTTGTGTGTGTGTGTGGTGTGTGTGTGTGGTGTGTGTGTAGAAAAAATGGAAAATGAAAAAACGGGGATTCACTGGCCAGAAAAAGTCAATTCAAACAGCTGTGTGGTGGATACCAGGCTAAAAATAGTGGCGGTCAATTCATCAGCCTTGCAAGCTGTTGAATGGTGTAATCCCAGCACAAGTTGCTATGTCTAACATAGCTGTTCGCTATCATCGCTTCCGCGATGGGCATGTCTGAGGTGTGTGTGTGTGTGTGTGTGTGTATATATATGTGTGTGCATGTGTTGCTATGGGTGTGTGTGTGTGTGCGTGTACCTGCTGGTGTGCAGCTATTGTTTGATGATGACCGCTACTACACGCTGGGCAGTACAGTTCCGTTCCGGAATGACATCACACACGAACTGCGGTGAGTGCATGTGAAACACTACACGTTTGTCTTGTCTCGTGTCCATTGGTGTGTGTATTGGGCTGTTCAGACTTTCTTTGCTTCCATTCCCATGTATATGTCGACAGACTTGCTTGTGTCTGGTTTCGAAGACGCAGAGCTTGTTTTACAGTGTCTGTATGCTGTGAAGAAGACTTCGGCGATAGTAGGGGAAGAGTGTGTTGCTCCCAACATGGGAGCTCGCAGTTTTCCTGCAGACTTGAATTCTCACTTGACTGACTCACGACTGCCATCCAGAGCACACGAGAAGTCCATCGAACCGTCCACATCCAAATATTATCTGTGTGTCTGTGTGTCTGTGTGTGTGTGTGCGTGTGTGTGTGTGTGTGTGTGATTGTTTGGGTCTTGCTTTTTGTAGGACTGTTCTGAGCGTAATTGTGCGAGCGCAGAGGGAGTTTGTGCAACGGTAAGAGTTTGGCTGCATTTGTGTGTGTGTGTGTATGTTTCATGTCCATTCCGCACTGCGCGCCTCAGTTTTCGTTGTGCTTCACCCGCACAATCACTCTCCTGATTATGTTGGATTTCTCGTTCAACCATTGTAGATCTCTCTGCGATCAACACCAGTTCTCTTTTTCACCCGTTGAATTTGAAAACCAACCTTTTGAAAGCACAGACCTAGTGCAACACGTCACATCTGTACATTTTATTCCATTGTGCTATTCTGCTTTCTTTGCTTGGCTTATTTTCGAATGGGACAATTACCTAATGGTGTATTGGACATGAGGTTGTGTTAGCATGTTTGCTGCTACTGACTTTGTGTTGGGCGGCCATTGGATTGACAGTTGTGCCTTTACCCTGTGTGTATATGTGTGTGTGTGTCTGTCTGTCTTAATGTTTGTTTATGTGTGTGTGTCTGTGCGTGCGTCTGTATGTGTGTCTGTGTGTACCTGTGTGTTTATGACTGTTGCAGAACGCTGTGTGGCTTCTTGAACTCTGGTGAAGGCGGAACTATATACCTTGGTATCGACAGCGACGGGGTTGTCAGCGGGGTGCAGTGGAACAGAAAACTGGTGAGTCTGCTCACAGGAACATTACAACCATTATGCGTGTGTGTTCATTGTTGAGAGACTGCTTGTGTGTGTGTGTGTGTGAGTGCGTGCGTGCGTCAGGTGTGTGGTGTAGACCAGGCTAAAATTAGTAGTGGTCAATTCATCAGCCTTGCAAGCTGTTGAATGGTGTAATCTCAGCACAAGTTGCTATGTCTAAACATATCTTGTTTGCCATCATCGCTTTGGCCATCGGCATGTGTAACTGTAAGTAAGTGTATGTTTGTGTGTGTGTGCGTGTGTGTGTGTGTGTGTGTGCATGTGTGTGTGCGCGCGTGCGTGGGGTACATTTGTTTGTGTGCATGTCCGTTACGCACAGCGTGATGATTTCCGCCTGGTCGTGGATCAAATGATGCACAACTTTAAACCAGTGGTGTCCGCTGATCTTTTCTATGTAAGTATTCCGCGGAATTATTTTAACTTTGGTATCCTTTCCACATGCTAAACCAGTCATACCTTTCAGCTGGGCTGGACATCTAAGAACTGAACAAATTGTTTTGATAACCGCAATCAATAAGACAAGCTGAATCGACATTTGTGTAAACTTTATTCGTGCAATGTAAAACGGTGGAGACAATGTGCAATAAAGCGATGAAAATAGGAAGAAATAATGTGAAAAAATTAGGATTCAAACAAGTTTTCGTACAACACTTGTCAGGAATTGTCGTTTTACTAAAGGACACTGAAACAAGATTGAACTATTGTAGAAAACCTACGTTAGAGAAATAACACTAAGAACAACAGCAGTGAAATTTACAAGTGTGAATTTTAACAATGAAAGCAATTTTTGATCCCCTATATTTTTGCATTGATACGGCCAGTAGCCATATGACAAACTTGATGTTCTTCTGAAGGCCAGTCTACGTACAGCTAGCTGCTGCCACCTTATTGGGTTTCTGCTGCAAAGCTGCGGTGCATGGTTGGCAAAGTTTCCAAACATGATTTCCAGTTTGAGTGATCATTTCCACCCCAAGAAGCCCAGCTGGTGAGGCTAAGCCAACGAGGGGAGGAGATGAATACTGCGCTCGCTGGAAATGAAGTCTATTGAACAATTGTGCATTTTTATATCAGTTTAAAGTGTCAAAGTCCGCTAACTGCAAGGGCACAGCAAGATTTTCACCAGGGCGGAGAACAATGACGCAATCTGGAAATAGTGCTCTGCCAAGATGAAGCAATGGGGCAACAGCCTATTCGTACTTCTTGTAAAGCCTAATCCCTTTTCGTCAATTTTCTTGCCAGTGAATTTTCAGTGTGGGATTTTCCAGGTGGATCCTGAACTGCTATGGAGAAACATTGCTGTTGTAGAACTTGCTGTGACAGTGATGAGGAAGATGGCGTGTGTACGTGATTATCAAGGATAATGTGTATAGATTCACCACAACAAACATGCGATCAGCTTCTTTACTATTTGGGCTATGTGTGTGTGTGTGTGTGTGTGTGTGTGTGTGTCTCTCTCTCTCTCTTGTTTATCATCCTCGTGTTTTAGATTCATTTTGTGGATTGCGTTGATAGCAGTGTGGCTGCTAGGTAAGAAGAACTGTATTGCATTTCACTGCCTTGTCCTTGCTAGCTCCCAAGAGAGGGTGGAAGCGCCAATGTCCTGCACAGATCACGAGTTCTAAATTTTCCAAGAAGACCAAACTGGTGTCTGCAACATTGTGACTGCATCATAAGAGGATGAAAATGTGATCCTTACATGGTGGGCTGAACAGGATAGCAATGTAAGCTAGAGTGTCACTGAAGCTCATAACTTATCAAGCATAAAACTCCCAAGTTACAGAGCACCATCTTGTTTCAATTTGTGCATGAGGACGCTCTAGACTTCTTTTTTCCACGGTGTCTGTTATTTTTAGTGCTGAAACGATTATATCGATTACTCGTTACTTACTCGATAAGAAATAGATCGAACGGTTATTTCGATTTTATCGGCTAAACGAGTAGAATGGTACTTACGCTCGGTACGGGATTTCCCCCCTTTTGGAGATCGCACAAAGCGTGCATGCACCGAAAGTGTTGCGAGTACGACACGAATATGTACATGACTGTACACTTGCAACATCGATTTACGTGTAAAGTACAAGCGCGACCTGAGAAACATCGACGCGATCACCGTCGCTGTCTTTTGAGCTGACTACTTTTCTTACATACAGCATGCAGGACGGGCAGGCTCGGTATGTGTCTACAGACTACACTAGCTGCAGGGGTTGGAGTTCCCTCCACGTGGGAGTAGTCTTGAGCTAAAGACAGTAAAGTGGTCTTCAGTTTCATGGTTTCCGTTCTGTCAACGGTTCCTGAACCAGTTTGCTCGACGACGAGCTAGGCCTGCCGTCTGGGCCTATTTTGAGCATAGACAGGAAAAGCAACTAGTTACTTTTTGGTGCGCCTCAAGTCAGCTCATCCGTCGAAATCCGCCGATCTGCACCCCTGGGCGGTTTCTCTGACTTCATCGTCGGAGTCAGCGAAGTCACAGGCGAAAGGCACCATCAGCTCTTGGTTTGCAACCAGTGAGTTGCCTCTGTCTTGTCTGTATTCGTCTGGTCAGTCCGAACAGCTGACGGACTTGTTGCGGGATCATCGGATCTATGCGCCCGCTTTCCGTCGTTGGCGATGTAGGACTGGTATTTTTTTGAAATTCACAGAATGTACATGTACAAATAAATAAATTCGACAGGTTCGCGTACCGGGCAGGTCAAGAACAAGGAGACGTACAACTCCCTGGTCAAGAACCACCTTTCCGCTTCCGTGGGACGCCACCACCCCATGATCAGGCGTCAGATGCGGCTCCTAAACGGTGGGGGAGGATAGATCAGATCCACCAACCATAGGCCAAAGGCCTCAATCCCATTGCCGCATCCATGTATTACTCATGCCAGGCCACGAGTTCCCAAGTAACTGTGGGTCGCAGCACGGTTGGAAAAAATCCTTCCGCTTCCAAGCAGGCCTTGAACCTGGTACCTCTCGTTTCTCAATCATGGTCTTAGACCAACCAACTGTACCTGCCTCCACTGATGTACTGATGTAGTTACTGTAATAATCGTTTAGCCGATAAGCCGATCGTTATGGTATCAGCTAAGCCACTAAGGAAAAAACGTAATCGTTTCAGCACTAGTTATTTTCAGTACACCCAACTCGCAACACACGGACAGTCCTTGGCTACGCTACATACAGTTTATTGTCCAAAGTTTCACCCAGGAGGGCATCAGGGTCTAAATTTGGACAATTTACTGTACGTGATGTAGCCGAGGACTGTTCGTGTGTTGCGAGTTGGGTGTACTGAAAATATGACAAGGCTACAATGGAGATTAAAAAAGTATTTCAAAAATTGTCTGTTGTTCATTGTTCTGTTGCTCTGTTCATGGTCAGTGATTCCATGCGTCAAGCTCTGGAGAATGTGTTTGTTATTGAGCTGGGCGTGAGGAAGACCGCCGGCATGATCTTCGTTACCGGCGTTGATCACTGCTTCCTCCGTGAAGGTCGCACCACCAAACATGTGAGTAGTTTAACGTGTGTGTGTGTATGTATGTGTGTGTGTGGGGGGGGGGGGGGTGTCTGTGTGCTTGCACACAGAGTGCAGGAGCAGGGAGGGGTGCTTTCGGGCGGCATACAGCAGATCAAGATTGATGAGCACAGTCTTGAGTGTTGTGTACAGCTCATGGTGTTTTTTGTTCAGTTTCCTCACATTAGATGCTACAATTGTAGCCAAAGAAATTCGACCTGTGTGCTGAAAGCAGAGCCGTACTGCCATGCTGCCATGGGATAGGTTTTTGGACCGTGCGTGATGCAATTGAAATGGAAATGCGGTGCTGCTTTCGACTCTGGGGTCGGATTTTTGGCCGCGACTGTAGATACACCAGTTGCTGAGCCTTGCCCTCTCTTAGTCACTACCTGTGTGTGTGTGTGTGTGTGTGTGTGTGTGTGTGTGTGTGTGTGTGTGTGTGTGTGTGTGTGTGTGTGTGTGTGTGTGTGTGTGTGTGTGTGTGTGTGTGTGTGTGTGTGTGTGTGTGTGTGTGTGTGTGTGTGTGTGTGTGTGTGTGTGTGTGTGTGTGTGTGTGTGTGTGTGTGTGTGTGTGTGTGTGTGTGTGTGTGTGTGTGTGTGTGTGTGTGTGTGTGTGTGTGTGTGTGTGTGTGTGTGTGTGTGTGTGTGTGTGTGTGTGTGTGTGTGTGTGTGCAAGTTGAGCGGTGACATCACTGAACCCTGTCTGCTCCCAGCCTCCCAGTCACTACGTGTGTGTGTGTGTGTGTGTGTGTGTGTGTGTGTGTGTGTGTGTGTATGTTTAACGGTGGCGCCACTGCTCCTGGTCACTGCCTGTGTGTGCATGTTGAGCAATGATGTAGCACCGGTACTGATGTCAGTGGTGTGTGCTGATTGTGTGTTGATGTTAGTTGACAATGGACGATGTTCGGAAAATGGTGATGGCAGAACAGGAGAAACGCTACATCAAGGAGATCAACAGGTCAGTACTGATATATTACGGAGGATTAGGAAGACGAAATTCGCGTTCGCGTTCGCTCTCCAAGGAAAGTCGAACTCAGTGACGGAATTCGCGTTATGAGAAGGATTAGCAAACAGACTTCGCACATGCATGACGTTGGTACGTCGTCCATTGTGTGCAGAGTCTGCAGACAGTATAGCGTAGTAAATTTATGACTGTCCTTACACGCATCCGCGATTCGTGTTCCGACTACTTTTCCGAACAAAAAATGCGAAAGTTCGCAATCCTGTTCGCTAACTGAAAAATGTTTGCGAACGCGAATTTCGTCTTGCTAATCCTCCGTAGTATCATATTATGTTCTTTCTGAAAAGTCGCCCCTGTGCACGATACATACATGTACACTCAAATTTCTTTTATCCGGACGCCTCAGATACGGGCACGTCTCTCTACCGGGCACCTTCAGCTTGAGTTCCTATGCGGCAAAAATGCTTTGAATTTGTGGGGGTGGGGTGGAGTTTGAACTTTTTTTGTATGCCCAAGTGCTTATTAATTTGTCATTGCCAACCTGTGTAATCCACACTTTTTCTTATAATGCCAAGGGTTCTTTTTTGTTTCCTGAACATGTGCAATGTGTGCCTACTGTAAAGTGACACTAACTTTCGTGGCGCGCAAATTTAGCGTTTTCATAAATTGGGCTGGTTCACGATGAGAAACTTTTGCGATTCTATTTCTTCAGTCGGATCTTGTACTGTCTACAATCAATGTACGGAGAGGTTTGAGAAGATACCTGGGCCTTGAGACACCCATTCACTTTGTACATGCGAGTTGTGGCTGCATTTTTTCGCTTTTCAGCAACCGGAGCTGAACTCCCTTGTAGTAGCTATACATGTAATAATACTACAAGACTTAGTAGTGGCTTTCTTTAATCGTGTGTGTGTGTATGTGTATGTTTGTGTGTATGTTTGTGCATGTGTGCAGTCTTCGTGCACAGCTCCAGGTCGTTCAATCTCTCAATCTCTCTCGGATGGGTGCCATCTCCTAGTGAACAACATGTTGAGGGCACCGCGCTGGCTCCATGCTTGTGTTAGTGTGCACGGTAGCAGTATGTACACTGTGACTCCATGCTCGTGTACTTGGGTTGTATGCATCGCTTGACTTCGCCTCCGGTGTATTCAGGAATGCCGTGTTGTGTGTGGATGCTCGTTCACCCTGGTCCTGGCTCAGTTGTCGAAAACTGAGGCATAGTCGTTCAAAGACATGTTGTGTTTCTTCATATCTTTATTGATCTGCTTCTTCAGACTTTTTTCGTTTCCCGTGTCGCGTCTATTTATCAGACTTGTTCGTTTCCCGTGTCGCGTCTTTTGTTGTGTCCGAGTGCGGCACACAGCATATGGCGGGAATGTTAAGTTGGAAAAAATCAGCCGTGTAAATGAATAAAACACACACAATCTAAGTTAGGTGCATGCCTCGCGCCGCAGGGAAGTATGATTATTAGTGTTCTAAGAAAACCTAACGTCTGCTTCCATGCTGCAGGCATAGCTGGCTGCATGCATAGACTACTTGCTTGCTCTTGTTGTGCTTTACGGAGCTGGCACTTCTGCAATGCCGCTGCTGCTGCTGTCTGTTTGATAGTTACTACTAAGTCTTGTGATATGCTGCACTTTTACATGGCCGCTGTCTTGTTGCTGTTGCTGTTGCATTCATACCTACAGTATGATGAAACAATCATTTTGCACTTATATTTTTCTCATCTTGATCAGAGATAATGGTGTTTCATGAGTCATGACTGTGTTCTATTATGATAAGCATGATTGCAATGTTGAATGTGTGGCAACTTGGTGGATAGGTTATGTCCTACACCAAGATTATGAAACTGTGATCTCTTTTCCATGGGCCAGATGCGCGCGCGCATTGCGGAAAATCAAACAGCGCACTTTCCCTCTGGTTTGAAATGAATTTTCGTTCTGAACTGGAGTTCACGCGCCAAGATTTAGAGATTAGGTACTTGAACGAATTGAGCAAAAACGGATGGGCCTGTAGGAGAAATTGTGGGTCTGAGTGCATGCTTTCAGAGCGTGATGGAGGCAAGTTACGTAATGAAGGCAGCATGCCGCACACCGACCCATAACCACAGTTGAATACTCTTGTCTACTGTAAAACCGGAAAATCTAACGACCAAAACAATTTGTGATAGATAACGTTTCTTCAAATAGCGAATAAAAATTGTTAGACTGTCCGGTTTTACAGTATGCACTCTTGCCTACACGACTCACAGCTTTTTTTTCTGGATTCCAGTATAAAATAACCTGTTAAATCTTCGGAGGTGAAACTACGACGCCGGCCAAAGAAATCTGACCTCATGAATAGAATAACATACTGGTATAACATACTGGTATTCTTCACCATCATCAGCAATAAAGACTACCAGCTTTCGGGCATTCTCTTCAAGTGAAATACAATCAACCAGAACCAATGGAACAGATGGATTTTATTTTTCGGTACCGTACTTCTGTTTCATACTTCAGCACCTAAAATTTCAATACACCACACATAATCCAACAGGGAACTGCTTCTCTGTACCTACAGTCAATTTAAAAACTATAGACGCGTAGGGTTTTTGAAATATTTCAAATTTGGCTGGAGCTTTTTGTAGTTTTCGGAATATTGCTCAGGTCCGCTCCACAATTACTCTCATATGATAGTTTCTGACGCCCGATTTGGAAAAATTTATGCACAAAGTGATCACAGATTTTATGTGGTATAGATGCTGGCATAACGGTTTTTGCCTAGGTACGCGTCTATAGTTTTGAAATGGACTGTAAATATATTATCTGTTCACCTAACATTATTCCTCACGCCTAAGATTTCTGAAATTAGATAGAGTACTATGAAATGTACGAACACCATAGCCTAATGGCGTTTTGATTCGCACTGATGTTGAGATATATGTACATAATGATCCAGCACAGATAAGATTTATGAAAAACAAGAACATCCCAGGCTGACCACTCGGAAACATGGGAGTGCGACTCCAATGAACGGTAAAAATTACAACTTTCCACATTCGTAGGAAAGCCACCAACCTTTACAAGAACGCATCCAAATCGAAAATAATTTCAATTTGCTGGAAAAGACATTTGGGTTAACCCTTCGGTTCTGGGACGAGCAACGCTACTGTAACACAAAACTACACGTGGAGTCTGGAATGCTAACAACTTGGAAACAATGTCCTTGGGGACGCAACTCTACTGTACAGCCTCGGTTCTACCGTCAGCTCTACAAGACTGAGTATCCAAGAAATACATAAACAGTAGAGCCACGAGCCCCAGAACGCCATTTCCAAGTGGTCAGGCTGTAACACTCATATTCGGGCAACATTACTGCTCTCTCACTACCAGGAAAGGTCATAGACAAGAACACCCACGACGATCTGCCATGAGCATGATCAGAGCATGCATAGCAAAGCAACCAACACACAATAGGCAGCATGCAAGTGGACAGGATGCACACCTACTGACTTTCTTCTCTAGCAATGATAGCAGACAAGATCTTGCACCAGGTAAACCCACGCACACACAAGAGCAAAAGAGAATTGTTCTTTCCACTTTTTTTCTATACAAAAACTTCGCAGCTCGGAGGACAGTTTAGATGATGCCGATCTGCACAAACGAAAACAAAACAGAAACACATGAATCGTCAACCACTTGCAATGATACAAAACACAGCATCCAGTACAGGACCTCATTACATACATTCCAGCCAGAGGAGCAAGAGAACATACTGCCATATGTACACAAACAATCAGATGACAGGAGTGGATTTCTATGTACAAATATATGACCGCCTGAAAAAAACTACACACACATTGAAAGAAAACACACAACGGCAACGGGAATTCGTTTCTTAGGACATAGCAAGTGCCTACCCACTATTAGAAGTTGAATGCAAACAAAGGTCACACAAGGAAAAGGAGGCAAAGTCCTGGACATTCAAGAATGAATAGGTTCGAATTCATCAGCAGCAATAGCATTGAAGAGGGTTTGTACACGTATTCAGATATACAAGGCCTAATGGATCAACACCAAGGAGTAAATCCCAATGAGTACTAAGATCAAGGTAGGTGTTGAGAGAGAGAGAGAGAGAGAGAGAGAGAGAGAGAGAGAGAGAGAGAGAGAGAGAGAGAGACAGAGACACACACGCATGCGTAGGTACAAACTACACATAACTAACTAGACAGCCCACAAACACGCTCTTACTCTGTTGGCAACGTCAAGTGCGTCATAGTCTGATGAGAGACGGACGAAAGCCTTCTTCTGGCCATCGGGACTGAAAAGAAAATTGAAAAAAGCAAAAACCAAATGCATGAGCACACTACCCACCGCACACAACATCCACTATCTGCCCTTACTGCAAAACAGTTCCATTTGTCGGTTACATCTACCAAACTGTTCCAATAGGTGACTGAGGCCAACACCTGTATTAAGAGTGTGTGCATGAAATAAATCTGCAAAGATAGCATGGAACAGATCCAGGCCAAGCATTTGCTGGATACGGGCTATGTGGACGATGTATTGTGCAAGGGTGTATGAGAGGCAGCTACCGGACTGATCACCATCTGCTCAAATCCATTGATCCCGTACAAACACGACTAACCAGCAAAATGCCGGAATAGTGTGCAAGCGTACAAAATAGCTTGTGCCAACATATCCAGGGCCAGATACCAGGGCACGTAACCATGAGCGATGCAGCGCCCTTGCCATACTCCAGACTACAGCTACTTCACTCGCTCAGTGTTGTCCAGTATATAACAGCATGGCAGAGGAGCCATGTGCATTTTAAATCCATTTGCATCGATCCATTATTTTCAAAATAAAATTCATTGTAATTTTCTGTGCCCAAACAACAGAAAATTATCAGCTCACCATCCACCTGAAGAAATCAAAAACAATTTCACAAATTCAATGCAGCAATACTCACCGGACGAGGGTGTTGACCTTCATAACGTCGATCTCATACAGAGACTTTACGGCAATCTTGATTGAGGGCTTGTTGGCACGCTTGTCAACAATGAAAACGAGGGTGTTGTTGTCCTCGATTTTCTTCATTGCGCTTTCTGTAGTCAGAGGGTGCTTGATGATAGCGAATTTGTCCAACTTGGGGCGGCTGGGTACACTCTTTCTTGGGTACTTGGGGGTACGGGGAAGACGGAGAGTCTTGGGGCGACGGAAAGTAACTGAAGTTCTCGTCTTCGCCTTGCCCTTGGCGTTAACCCCAACCTTGACGGCCTTTTTGGCCTTCAAGGCCGTAGCCTTGCTGTCCTTCTTGCCTGCAAAAACCACACATCATAGGACTGTTGGATACTGCTCTAGAAACAAATAAATAAAAGAGAGAAAACTTACTGGCAGTCTTGGGTGCCATGATGAACGTGGAAGAGGAAGAAGGAGCTCGAGCCCAGAGTCTTATTGAGCATGCGCATAGAATTGAGAAATGGTTGGAAAATGAGTGGAAATGGTAAAAATATTCAATATCGACATTTTCAAGCATTTTTCAGAAGTGAAGTGGCATTTCGAATTGATCGTTCCAAGAGTTTTTTGTTAGCTTTCCACTCATAGTCATAGATCTACAGTGTCACCGGGGTGCTTCGAAGCCATGGCTGCATCAGTCCTGAGGCTTGCAGTTGGCCAATGTGCTCTCGTTTCGGGCTCCGTTCTCGCCGCTGCTGTTGCTGCTTCGGTGCAGAGGAGATGTATGTCACATTCGCATGCTGAGAGAAAGAAACTGAAGCATAGATTTACTGGCCAGGTACTATCCTTGAAACTGTAAAGTCTCTAGTTTGCAATAGCTTCTAATACTGTGGGGTTTGAAGCTTTTACAGTCTATTCTTCAAATGTCATGGAAGATCGTTCAAGTAATTTTCGTGTGCACATCTAAGCCACTTCACAGATAGAAGGAAATAAGAGTGTTCAGACCTGCAGTACTGTACAGTGGCCGGTTGTCCTTTGTTGCGCACTACTACTAGTATGTTGGTTTGGCGCTAGACCGACTGACCTCAGAATACAGTAGTGCTTCAAACTGTTCTATAGCGAGGTAACTTTTCAATTATAATAGTGCGAAAGAGCTTTCGGCCATACTATTAGTATTACTACACTTTACTACGTCCTCCACCCGTCACCACCTTAGCCGAACCACTGCACGAAGCATAAGCACAGAAAGGACACTTTCATTGACTTGAAAACGAAGAAGAGTACAATCACAGTCGTGTAACACTTCTGGCAACACACGTTTATTTAACACCTACCCACCGCACTGCTCAACAAAGTCCGACTGTGAGTCAACTAAACTGCTGTCCCACTAGAATCTTCCGGAGAAGTTAAACTGATACTGGAGAGCAAATTGCAAGGTGGAACAGCATGAACTGCGGGATATTAATTCAGCAGGCTGATTGCAGCAATTGCATACATGTACAGGGATGAATTTATCTTGTATCGCATCATGCAAAATTGATCTACTGCTACTCAAAAGTCACCGTGACTCGCAGAAAACTGCGATACATACAGGCTATCCATGCCTAGGCTGGTCTGCCAAGTGACATGCATACAGTGCAGTATGTGTGGTGCAGGTGGATCTACTCTCAATGGGCTTTAAGGTATCATTCTCAAGAAGGACAATGTGGGAAACACCCAACCTTCAAAGAAAAATGCTAATCAAAATCAAAGACTGCTACACAACTGTGATTATCGTATACCAGAAACTGCTATGCAAAAATATGACAGTAAATTCATCCCTGATGTATAATTATAAATGGAGTGAGCAGGGCGCAAAAAGCTGCTCTTATTGCAAACCTTGACAGAAACATATGAGAATATTATGGGGTTTGCAGCTTTTCCAGCCGACTCTTCAAATATGGTAGAAGATTACGGTATTCAAGTAATTTTCATTTGTACGTCGAAGTCACTTCACCTTTAGAAATCAACAGGGTTAGAAACTGGAGAGGGATCAGATCTACGGTACTTGACAGTAGTTAGTTGTCCTGTGTTACGCACTTCGTTGGTTGGGAGCTAAACTAACTCACCTCAGAATATAGTAGTGCTTCAAACTATGGTATAGATATAGTGGGTGACTTTTGCACTGAATTTATTTCGTACAATTTCACTCCGTACTGAGTATTAGGATCCTTCAAACTCACACACTCAGACACGGTCTCTTTGCTGCATACGTCACTTGGAATGTTCACCAAATTTTCGGGCATGGCCCATCATCAGATTCACTCAGTGAAACAGAAAACTAATGCTACAATATGTAGACTATCTCTGTCTGGTGTTAACCTTGTGTGTTGTTTTGCTCTTGGGGAAAATGGCAGGTTGTTGTGCATGGCCGGAATGCAGCGGCGCAGGTGCACCGTTGCCTGGAGAAGCTGCAGAACTCGCAGGTGCTTGGTGTCTCGTTTGACTATGACAGCGCTGGCAAGATCACAGTGATCAAGCTGGCCACGCCGACTGCTGCTCTGCTGTACCCGGTGTCAGAACGCGATGGCCTTGCTGAGGATGTGCTGGATCTGCTCAAGAGTCGCCATCACCTCAAGGTCATCTATGATGGCTTTGACGACGTGGTGCAGCTTGAAAAACGGTGAGTACGCTGCTGTGCAGTCTTGTCTCTGTGTTCCAGGCAGGTCAGAAGGGCACCAAACACGCTCTTGCTGCTGGTGCATGTGTTCCTGGCATGGCAGAAAACACGAGATACCGTAAAGTCGCGGATAAAAGCCGGGCTTATCAGCATATAAGCCGCTTTCTGCATCAGGCTTTAATGCAAACCATGCTTATAGGCACCACTAATTTTTTTTGCCAGGCTTGTATGCACGCTTCTACGCGCGACACGCGTAGATCTACCACTGACTACCAGTATGGCGGCAGTTTTACTATGCACCGTACATAGCGCATGCACTCTTGACCTACCCGATCCCCGCTTGCATAGAAGCCAGGCTTCTACGCGTGACAGGCTTATATGCATTTGACCCGGTTGATTTTCAGGCTTCTATCCGCGATGTGCTTGTATGCAAACCCGGCTTTTACCCGCGACTTTGCGGTAGTAGATACACCTTGCTGGTATCAATGTTGTAGCTTGTACAATGTATCGTGGACTGGGCTGAGGTCAGTGACTGTAGATGATTTTTTTTTACTTTTGTTCTTGTCTTTCTCTCTATCTATCCATGTACTATCCAGTTTGTTACCTGTGTGTGCCAACACTGCTTTGGTATGGAAATGCATTCCACGTGGTGTGCAATGTACTCTCCAAGACTATATCACTGCCTTGAGATGAGTAATCTTGTGTAATGTTGTGCTTTCTACTTTTGCTTTCTGCCATAATTATGATATGCAGGTTTGGTGTGAAGCTGGAGCACTTCTCAGATGTTTATCTTGACGCAGAGAAGCTCAAGAAGCCAGGTATGATATATGGTGTCTTATTATAATATAGGCAAGCCTGGCCAGGAGAGCTGTTCTGAATATGTGACTCATCAACTTTCTCATGCCCCGTGCACAATGAGTTGTATTTCTTGGCTTGCTCTTGGTGGTGCTGGTGCTGTTACTAACTTAGCACTAGGTAGTCTGCAGTCTTTGGACAGTAGTGTGTGTCTGTGTATGTGTGTGCCTGTGCATTTGTCTGTGTTTGTGTGTGCCTGTGTGTCTATGTTTGTGTGTTGCACCTAGACTTCCCTACGATGCGAGAGCTAGCGCAGCATTGTTGCAACATCAGTCTGGAGAGCGGACCCATCCTGGGAACAGCTGTAGACTACTGCAGTACGTCTGTGGGTCTGCCAGAAATGGTCAAAGCGGCTATGCAGTCCTGGGCATTGACAGTGCTGCATAGTACCTTCTCCAGAGAGGCATCCGAACCCCACCAGCTTCCCGTCTATCTCTCACCGGCCCAGTACTTCACCGAGTCTGCACTGCTGGCACGGGCACGCCGATCGTCACGCCAGTTTGGCAGTCCCATCGTGGAGATTGGAAATGTCTTAGCAAGAGGTGGGTGCTTTTTATTGTGTGTGAGCGCGGGGGGGGGGGGGGGGGGTCCTTTGTTTTGTGAATATCTACCACTCCCCTTTCCTGGGGAGACCCACATGACCCATTTTTGCCTTTTTTGGCGATGGGCAATTGCAAGTGTGTGCTGGTCTTTGTCTGTCTGTCTGTCTGTCTGTGTGCTTCCCTACTCTGCATGCATTGGTGGATATGCAGTTTATGCTCTAGCCTCTAGTGTCTTTCACGGTCACTGTCAGTCAGGCAGTGTACATTATTACATGTACTTTACTGCTCTATCAATATTTGGCTCCTCGTACTACTCCACATTTCACTCGAACCCCAGGGCACCCGAGAGATGTGAAAGCCCATAGTCCCCAGTGGCACGAACCCGCACTTTTGTTTGAAAAGTTCATCACACACACACACACACACACACACACACACACACACACACACACACACACACACACACACACACACACAATCACACGTGCGCGCACCTCAGACCTCAGACATGCCCATCGCGGGAGCGATGATAGCGAACAGCTATGTTAGACATAGCAACTTGTGCTGGGATTACACCATTCAACAGCTTGCAAGGCTGATGAATTGACCGCCGCTATTTTTAGCCTGGTATCCACCACACAGCTGTTTGAAGTGACTTTTCTGGCCAGTGAATCACTATTTTCATTTTTCATTTTTTCCATTTTTTCTTCTTTTTTTCTACACACACACCACACCACATACTCCGGCATACACTGGCTGTTGGTAACCACCCAGGAGAATGAAAGAAAAGTCAGGAAGAGTCTGAGAAAGAGAAGAAAGACGTGTGTGACCATAATCGTCGGGAATCGAACCCGCAACCTATCGATTGGAAATCGCTGCACATACCACTGCACCATATGGGACACACGCGCACACACACACACACACACACACACACACACACACACACACACACACACACACACACACACACACACACACACACACAATCATGCTCACAGTGTGTGAGCATGCACTATGTTACTCACATTATTCTCTTTTCTGATGAGAATTGTGTTCAATTCAGCTCCACTCAACTTCCTTTTTTCTTGTCTACTTGATGGCGGTGCCACTCTTGAGTTTTCTCTACGTTGGTTTATTTCTTTTACACCGTCTTATATGTTTGCTTTGTGTGAAGTTTTCTTGAGCCATCTTTCTTCCACATCTGTGTGTGTGATTGTTCCGTGCTCAGATTGTGCCTCATCACCGCAATACCGCGCGGGCGGTGGCAGTGACGGTGGCTCTGGGGGAAGTGCTGGCGCTGCCCCTCGCGCCACTTCACCATCGCCACAATCATCTCGCCATCATCACCCAGGCTGGTACGATCTACCTCTGGACAATGACGGATTGCTGCGACTGGCACTGTGGCGACTGCAGAGACAGCCTCTGACACCGTTGTCGTTAGAGTATGGCAGTGGTGATGTGAATGATGATGGTGGTGGCGGTGGTGGTAATCAGATTATGCCGGGACGTGTGCAGTGGTCTGGACGAGGTGTTCGCACCGACGCGGTTATTCGCCTGCCTCGCCTGGCCGTTGCCTTCTCCACGACCAGCATGCTTGGCACCATAGACACCAACACCGCAGTGCCGCAATCTCCAACCAGCAGCAACAACACTCGTGACACACAAACACCGCCATCAGATGACCTTGCCTGTGTAAACAGGTCGCTAGACACCCATGCAGCAGTGTCATCTGCATCCCCGTCCTCGCCAGCATCCCTGTCTTGGCATGGCTTTGTGAAGCGTGAGGTCAGCAGGATGAAGAACAAGGTAAGGCATGTGGCTACTTGCGTTCACGGTGATCACTTCTTTGACAAACTACAAACCGTCTACTCTAATTTCTTGAATTCTAGTGGAATTGCAACACCTGCCCAGTAACACGGGTTACACGGCACACACTCTTCGCTGAGGACGTAGCAACACTAGTACACCTTGAAAACACCGGTGTAAAAACTAAAGCCTAGCCTACGTTTTGCTTTGGAAGGTGTACAGCAAAGGTACGTAGGTGGGTGAGAAAAAAAAAAACAGGTCTTAAAATTTCATTTGTATGTCTTCTGAACCACCTTTCACAAACAGCCCTGCTATTTCTATATCTATCGCAGCCGGGAGTAAATAATCTCCCAAGAGTGTGCCACTGGTTGTGTACAGACCACTTTGCTGGTGGGCTGGTCTACTCACCTCCCACCGCTTTAGGAGCTGCATGTGCGCCTTAGATCTTTGCAGGGTGATGGTGTTCCTATGGATACTGAAATCTCAGTCTAGCCGAATCTCAAGCGAACCGTGATTTTTTCTTTTTTGTTTGTTTGTTTTTCTTTGTACAGATGTGTGACTTCCTGAGTGCGTACGATGCCATGTCGCTCACGCAACCGTCGTGTCATGGCTCGGTCAGCGTGCTTACCGATCGGCAAATCCTGCGCCTGCGCAGCGAAGCTCAGTCGGCGCAGGCTCTGCACAGGTCATGCATGGCCGCAGCTCCACCGGGTGCACCTGCACTGCTGCAGGGCGTCACAGCACGCCAGGTACCGTCACTGCATAGCCTGGTAACGGAGATTGAAGTAGCACGTCGCATGTCCGGCCGACCACTGCACTGTCATGCTCCGCCGCCGGTCGCCAACGTACAGGATATTCTCAAGCAGGTACCCGACATGCAACTCACCGGTCTGCAGCCGATGTTCCGCGCACCGGTTCTGAAGTCGTGCGGCACCCCTGCGCTTGACATGGTGCATGTGCGCTCACATTTCCGGCAGCACTACGCCAACCTTTCCGAGCATCTCTCTCAGTCGCCGTCGCTGGCGATGTCGACGGCCAGGGATGCTGCGGCCAATCCCTCCGTGGTACGTGTGATGGCAACGGTCACCTCGGTTTCCTCCGTTTCCTTGTGATGTGTGCCCCGTGTGTGCGTGTGTGTGTGTGTGTGTGTGTGTGCGTGTGCGTATGACTGAGTGTGTGCGTGACTGAGTGCAATGCTGCACATGACAGTGGGCATCAACGCAAGCACATCCCCCCCCCCCCCCCCACCCCCATCTACCGTTGAATTCTAATATTTCATGGAATAATCGTTACGCATTGTGTCTCTCTATTCATAGCACAAAATAGCTGCTGCCCTGACTGGTTTTTGGTCTATTCATAGAACAAAATAGCTGCTGCCCTGACTGGTTTTTGGTCTATTCATAGAACAAAATAGCTGCTGCCCTGACTGGTTTTTGGCAGGTTTTGCTATATCTGCTGGTGTTCCTAAGTTACTACATTATTGTTGCTACCTGCACAGTCATGTTATGGCTGTTCTCTCTATTGCTGTCTATTGCTGTGTTCTTGATTTTGCTACTACCTCGCCTTGACTCCATGCTTTCATCTGCTGATTAATAACAACACTGGATCAGTGCCTGACCACGGTGACATCAACTGTGTGACAGTGTGTGCCGGCATTCATTGGGTCTGGGATGTCGATTGTGTGGCAGTGTGTGACGGCATTGGGTCTGTGGTGTCGATTGTGTGACAGTCTGTGACGGCATTGAGTCGTACTGAAGTACAAGTCCCGGTCGTAATATACTATCCGTGTGCAGGCTTGTACGACTCCCCGGTTGCATGCCAATGTGTCTATGCTTGGTGACAAGTGTGTGCCTGTTATCAAGAGTATATAACCCCACGAGTGTGCAACCCCTGATCTTGGAGCTATGGGTGCTCTGCGCAGCGAGCTGAATGCATCACATAGTGACATGACAATCCAGTTGCCTGGATTTGAGTTTTTCGACGGTTTCACGTGCAATGCAGTAAGTTCAAAGGCAATACTTGTTGCACGACACATGTACTAAATCATCCAAACCTGACTTCTCCTACTAAAGCGGGTTTGGAAGCAGGCTGTCCCTCCAGGGATCCGCGATTCCGCGGCCGCGGTAAAATCCACGGAATTCCGCAAAATTCATGTTTTTTTTTATATCCCGCAGAATTCACGGTTTGGGGGCAATGCAAGCACGCGCTTCATATTCATGCACATGCACAGTGCAGTCTCATGTCCTGTCGCTATTTTGTTGCATTCAAAGTCGAGGGAGTTTTGCAATTTTTTTGTTTTCGACCACTAATTTTTTTATTGATACTTGTACATAGCATATAGCCATGTCTTTTCGCCGGTGCAGCGCCGCAGAAATACCGCAGTATTGCCGCAGAATTCACGCTATCCGCCGCAGAATGTAGCGATTTGTGCCGCAGAATTCTGCGCAGAATTTAAACTTTCTGTCCGCGGATTCCTGCAGGAAATCGTAGCAGATCAATAATGACGCAATGGTCCATAGTTTGTGGCTACGTAATGCAGGCAGCAAACGGCGCGAGACCCAATATGCATAATTGCATAATTTGGGGATTACAGCATTGGGCTGTCCCCCGTGAATTCTGCGGCGGAAAACAGTGAATTCTGCAAATCCTTCTATATTCTGCAGCAATTCTGCGAGAACAAAGAGCGTAAAAACAGATCGAATTTCCGCAACCCAACCGAAATTTGTTATCCCTATAAATTCAAAACCAAAATTATGCGAAATCCTGGTCAAAAAAATTGAAAGCTCTAAAATATGCTGCAAGTTCTTTTTGAAAGTCACAAGCAGGTTGGTTTGGCTGTGAACATACATCGAACGTCTCCAGAAAAGCAGTTTTCTCTCTTTTCTGCAATATTCCGCGGGATTTTCTGAATTCTGCAGACACTACTAGATTCTGCGGAAATTCTGCAATCCGCGGACTTCACGGGGGACAGAATTTGGGTAATTTGGGGATTATGTACTTTTGTGAACTTATCAAGCTGCATGTAGAGAGCCCCGCACCATGGTTTGAGGGTAGGCAAGTACACACGTGCAGCACAGGCAATCCATCCAGACCAATTACTTTCATGTATAGGTGTGCAACAGTCTAGGCATGCATGCCGCAGCCATGATCATGATAATGTAATAGGGGCTACAAAGTTCTTCAAGAATGCAATTGCATGCACCGGAGCCGCACACCTCACATGTCACAGTAACAACAGACACACATGAAACATGCAGGCTAGTAAGCACGAAGTAGTCCTGTAGTCCACGGATGGACCATCGACTAGACTTGGTACTGCTACGGCACCCTGCATACATGTGCAAAAGGCAAGACCGAACGAAGGAACAGACATCGCCCTTTCAGAGGACTACACTATTACGCAGTGTCACACAAGCGCACGCACACACACACACACACACACACACACACACACACACACACACACACACACACACACACACACACACGTACAGTTCCATGCAGGCATGCACACTTGAAAAGTGCAATTCTGCACCAGCGGCATGCCATTGAACTCCACAGCAGACTGACTGCACGCATAGTTTCGTACCATCACGCATCATGCAATCTTGTCTCACCCAGTGGTTAGAACTTAAAAAGAAGGCATGGTTATAAGCCGTTAAATGTTTGTGTGCCAAACAACACAACACCGAAAGAGGGAGCGGGCACCGGCAGCGAGGACACCATTAAAAAAAACAAAGAAAAGAAAACAGAACAAGTCGTACCACGTTGACTGGACGACACACGAAGCAGCCATGCAGCCACGTCTGGCTATTGGAAGGAAGAAACTACAACGGAACACACGATCGCAGCGAAAGAAATGCATGATATGAACACAAATGTCGGGACAACTAGTGCAGAATAGAAGGCACCAATCTACTTTTGAAGTACGAACAATAAACAGTGCACAATATAAAATCCTGTTCATCAATACCACAATCTGTAACATCACGGTGGTCCTCATTGTCGGCACCAGCAACAAGACGTAGCGCAACACAGAAACAACATACATGGTTAGTCATAGCAGGAGCAGCAGCAGCAGCAGCGTCAGCACAACAGAAAGTATAATAGCAATGTAATCAGTGTGATAAAATAAAGCAAAAGTATCCTATGGAGCATGGAGTATATCCCTATGTGCAGGGAGCAGATCAATTTGTATGCAAAAGAACAAGGACGATACTGTGCAACTTCACGTGTGGCTCCAGAGCAGACAGGATAGTGTGTAGCCACATGCCACCCGGTGTGGCCATGGTTAGCAGCATGGTGGCAATACTCTAGCAAAGCGACACACGCATTCTAGACAGTCGCGTGTGCTGTGTAAATGCACACATACAGACTAGTGATGGGAGAGAGACAGACAGAGAAGAGAGAAAGAGAGGTGATGGATATGTTGACTCACACCACAGCGAAACACACATATTGGGTTCCTCTTAATCCGTAAAACAAGGCAAACAAGAGTAGCGACGCATCAGCACGACACAAGTGCAGGACCTACACATGATCTACAGTACAGATTTGCACCCACACCACACAATCGGATAACTATTCAGAGACGACGTGTTCTTTGATAATCACGACACGTGCAAGTCCACGACCGTTACTGGCCGCCAGACTCCTCCTTGTGGGGCTTGCTGGCCTTCTCCTTCGATTCAATTCCGTCGCCGCCGCCCGTTGTACTGTCATCTTTGCCGCCGGAGGCGTTCCCGGTTTTCGCGGGCTCATCAGCTCCTGCAACCGTCGAGCCCTCTTTGTCATCAGCGGTACCGCCGCCGGCAGCAGCAGCAGTATTGGAGTCGGCGATGTCAGACGTTTTGCGCTCTGACGACTGGGTAGCTGGACTGCTGCCGGCATTGCCCGAAGCTGTCGTGGCCGACACATTCGTCGGGCTTGATTCAGACTTGGGCGGTGAGGGAGCGGTGGCTGGTGCTGGCACTGCTGCTGCTGGCGATATCGGCGCAGAGCTGGCCGAGGGGGAGCGAGCAGTCACCGGCGATGGAGCAGGCGAGGCCGTCTTTGACGAAGGTTTGGAATCAGCAGCTGCCGCCGCTGACGTGACAGTCATGGCTGCACTGGTGCGGGCTGCCACGGAGCTGACCTGCTGAGCAACCACCGGCCGAGTGCTGTTACCACCGGCAACCGGCCGCGCGTTGCCGCCAGCAACCTGGTCAGCGCGTGCGGCAAGCGGGAGAATGACGGGGTGAGTACCAGCAACAGGCTTGCTGCTGCTGCTGTTGCCACTACCCGCCACTGTGGTAGTAACCGTGGGCGCAGCAGTGCTGCCTGACGCGGATGAGCCGGACGAACATGTTTCCATTGTGGATACCGAAGCACCACCGCTACTACTAGCAGCAGCAGCATTTTTAGTGGATTGCGCAGACGAGCCGGCATAGGCTTGCGGCGTCGACGGCTTGGCAGTGATGGCCTCAAGGAGCTCTGCGCTGAGCGCGTTGATTGGGCGCACCAGCACCTTGCCGGTGCTGACCTTGTTCATCTGAGTGACGATGACTTCAATATACTGTATGCCGGACGGCGTCTTGATTCCCACCATGGGCTTCTTGTCTATCAACACGAGTGACTTGTGATCTACACTCATGAGTGTATTGGACTGTGCTACACCAGCAGTAGTAGCAGCAGAAGAAGTAGCAGTAGCAGCAGCAGCAGCAGCAGGTGTACTGACAGGTCTGCTAGCACCGCCACTGCTGCCTGTGCTACCAGCGCTGGTGCTGCTGCTGGTAGTAGTGACCGTTGCAGTAGCCGCGGTGGGTTTCCCGTTGGACGAGGACTTGTCGGACCCGCCGCCGGCGACGGCCATTGCTGCAGCGCCGGGAGAGCTAGGGGCAGACGACAACGTCGATACGGGCTGCTCGAGACGCTCACGCAGCTTGGACGCCGCCTGGGTGCCGGCCGACTCGACCCCGCTAGCCTTGCTGGCACTGTCCACCATTGGCTGCTGCTTGTCGCCTTGTGCCTTTAGCAGCGGTGGCGGTGGTGGTGTGAGGCCCCGGCACGATGCAGGACTAGTGCCTCCGCTGCGCCGCTGCTCGGTGGTCAAGTGCGAGTCACTTGCCGTCGACGCTGCCGCGCTGCCGCCTGGACTGACTCCCGAGTAGGATGGCAGCGCAGGGGCTGTGGCTGGTGGGCCGTGATGATCAGCCGCCGGCCCGTACTGGCCGGAGGAGACCGTCGTGAGTGGCATTGAGGTGGCGCTGCCATGGCTGCTTGGTGGCTCGGAGGACGGCGGCGCGCCGTTGCCAATGCCGTTAGTAGCAGGGGTGTGGTGGAACGTTGGCCGCGGCAAGTAGGGTGGCAGCGTGTCGTGGATCTCCTCAAACGGGCACTGTGATCATCCACACAGATACACAAACACGCATACACAGGCAGACAGACAGACACACACATACACAGACACACATGAACAGACAGACAGACAGACACACACACCCAGACACGGGCAAAGACACATTTGATGCCCATCTCCATAGGCGATGACTGCAAAACTACAGCACAAGCCTTAGCAATTGGCCCTGGGATTGCACTATTCAGCAGCTTGCAAGGCTGAAGAATTAACCACCACTTTTTTAGCCTGGTCTACACGTGCCAGTGAATCCTACTTTTGGGTTGGGGCTGGGGTGCACAGACACGCAGACACGCAACACATAGGCACATGAAGATGAACAAAATGCAGAGGTAGCAATGAGCAACGAGAACAGACATGCACAAAAACATTCTATAGACAACTTATCACAAGAGTGATTGGAGCTAGAAATGATCCCCGGTGGAGGTAGCTTATTCGACAGAGCACTGTCCTGGAAAGATAGGGTGTGCTGCGTTCGAATCCCGTCAGTGGATCCCTCTTTTGCAACACCATCAGCATGCCACCGGTGCACGAAATCGCCAGCAGTACAGCAGTCACCAGTGAAACTGCAGCACACAGTATCAGCTACATCTCCACTGTGCACAACATCATAGTAAAAGTCACACACCTCTTTTCCACCGTCGATGTGTTGTTTCATACGGTTGGCAATGGCAACGTGAAGGATCGGCCAGTGAATTTCCATCGTTAGACGAGGATACTGCAAATGAAGAGAACGATACCCCAACACCACACAGTCACACACGCATGCAAGAACACGCACAAGTACGTGAACACACACACACACACACGAACACACATTCGCAGAGGTCAACACAGCGCCAAGGACCAAGTTCAATGGTGTGATGGCCCCATATGTACTGCTGGCAAATTGGTAACAAAGTCAGCTATGAAATATTGAGCAGATATGAAGTAGCATGCTATGCACACCACACACACACACACACACACACACACACACAAAACATGGGTTCTGCAGACACACAAGGGATGTTTAGTCCCACATAATCCTTGTGTGCTTTACGTGTGTGTACCACGTGGTACTCAGTGACCCACGTACAGACGTTTTCTGATTCACGATATGCTGTGTATGGAGGCTCACCCACGTTCTGCCAGAACGTGAGTGAAAACCGGAACAGAGCGCATTGTGCAAGCGGTGAGGGTGCTCAGCTGAAGAAGTTTTCGAAGCACGAAATCAAAATATTCTATGAGCTTCGAAGCTTCGTCTTTGGCCAAGTTTGCGCCTTTCGCTTCATGCTTTTGTTTGTTCCGTGTGACTAAAAACGACAGTCCGAACGTGGGTCCACTGCATGAACTTTACGTGTATCACCCACGTTCCCGTATCCGTTGCATGGGACTAAACTTACCTACTGTCTATCTGGATCCTACATTGCGCCAGGTGGCACAACACATCAGAAAGAGAACTGACGAAGGAGTGTTTTCGCTAAAGTTTACTCATGCCTATCTAAATTTGCATTCCGTATAGCATGCACTCTTTTCTGAGAAGAAACACTGAAAGCTGGATATTGTCCTCAAAAATTCGTGCTGGTTCATACATAGGCAAAGCCTTTACCGGCCAAAATGGGCCATTCTACAGCGGCTATACATGTACTTACCTCCTTGTCAAACACACGGGCATGTGGAATAGCAAAGTCGTTGGGGCCGCGCAGTGGAAGTGGCTGCGAGCACAAGTTCAATAACAACACAGGCAGGCGGTGGCGGTATGAGCAGAGGTACGAGGAGTACGGTTAGTGCAAAGGATTCATTTACAGTTGAACTTCAGCATAACATGGACACACAAATCTGTAAAGTTTACAGCCGTGGTGACGTGCATCAACCTTCTTTCAGCATATACATGTTGGGCCCAAATTGCCTAGGGATCGCAGCTCAGTGCCTGCTGTGAAGCCAAAGCCCCCCCCCCCAAAGGTGGACCCTCTACGCCACTGGTCAGCATCCTGCTCTTCAAAAGCATGGTCCAGAAAACAAGGACCCCCCGTACGGTAAGCTAACCGATGACAAGACTTACCCCTATCGGTTTAGTATCAGCAGCAGATGCTGAGGAGGAAGTCGACAAGTGTCGGCCGTCATGTACACGCGATGGCCCGCCTGGACATGGAGAAAGAGAGGACAGAGAGAGAGAGAGAGAGAGAGAGAGAGACACACACACACACAGATATTCAGACAGACAGATAGACACATTCACAGAGCATGGACAGGAGAGGCCCGAGGACAATGGTCACGAAGAGTAAGGTTGGCCAAAGGGGGCACAACCATGCACATATCCTCAACCAAGGATACGTGCCCCTCCCCCTCCCCCCCCCCCTTCCCTCCGCCCTTTGGACATGTAAACACAAGTTGATCAGTTGATAGCATGTTACAAGGCGGAGAACGCACTGTATCAAAAACAATGCTTCTGACTACAACCATCATCGGCTGGCAGAGCCCCGGTCTTGCGACCACTTGAACTATACCATGTACACGCAAGTAGCAACATTTCACGAAGACCAACAGACCTATCCAACATCATGGTGAACAATCATGTAACCAGGTAACATAACAATGAGTTGTCGGTAGCAACCCCCCCCCCCCCCCACACACACACACACCCCACAGCTCTAGCAAGTAACATTGACCTACCTCTGCTTCCAGAGCTGACATGCAGTGCAGCACCCACACCAAGTGACGCCGGCGACACCTCACCTGACCGCAGCGCCAGCAGCTCATTGAGAGTGGCGCCGCCACCAGTAGCACTCCCTCCTCCTCCGCCTCCTGTCTGCGGTCCCGGTGCTGCTGCCGCCGCAGCTGCATTGTTTGAGGACAGGTTCTCGAAACCCGGCGGGGTGGGAGGCCGCGCTGCCTTGCCGTTCTTGACGGGACAGCTCTGCATGTGGCGGCGAAGGTTGTACTCCCACTTGAGAGATTTAAAGCAGTGCGGACAAGTGGCACCTTGGTCGTTACCACCACCACCGCCACCGCTGTTGTTGTTATTACTGGTGTTGTGCGAGGTGGTGGTGGCGACGCCAGGGGTGGTGGGTGCTGGGGATTCAACCTTGTAACCCGCACCTCCTGGCCCCGGGTTTCGATTCGCTACACGCATGCACATGAGCGCATAAGAACACACACGCACACACACACGCACACACACACGCACACACAAACATATGAACACACCGGAGCGCGCAACGAAGAGCAGGCCCTATTCGCAGCTATCGCTATCATAGCGGAAAGAGTTTACCGTTTACCCCTCGTTATCTCGGTATGCCTACCCCCGAAGGATCCATGGGTGGAACTGAGCACAGTCTGAGGTGCACAGAAAGAAGGACTGACTAGCGCCCAAGCGCAACGCACCGCCAAGCTGCATGCAGACGTACTCGAGTAGATTGCAAGCGTCCTAACCCAACCTACTCAGTTTCTCTGACTGCACAGCAATGACGTGGCGTCCTTGTGTCAACCAGCGAGAGTCGCCGCCAAGACTAAGAGGTGCAGGGCAAAACCCCGCCATACAAGACAAGAACTGCATATAGCAACAGACAACGTCAGGACTGTGATGAAAGCAGCTTGGTCAAGCTTCACCGCAAGAAACAGACTATCATCTCCTCCACGGACCAAGAGAGGCGTGGGGAGTTTTCTACGATGTGGAGAGCCATAATCTGCATTGGACAGGTCGCCATGAGATCTCGGACATTAGTTTTGTGTGAAAAAGCGAATACGCTGCAAGAAAGAGACAGGCACTAGTGGATGATGTAGAGTTTTCGGAAAAAGCGAATGCACTCCCTGCTTTCACGGTAGCATACTTCCCACAAACATCAGGCCATCAGAAGAACAAGAAAGACTTCGTCCTGCTAGTCTTGCAGCAGATAGAGGCAAAGCAGCAGCAGCAAAGCAGAGAGGTGGATGACGTGAGGTTCTCGACAAGACGCGGCAGATAGACAGCAGTGAAAACCGAAGCCTTGTCCAATCCCACAAGAATTTCACACCTTGACGAGTCTTGGCAGGCCAAGTACTGCATGTGCCAGTCGCTCCGGAAAGCTCCCCGCACTCACGGTAGCAGCAATGTGCTATCTCGCAAAGAGTCAGCATGTGTGTGCTTGTGCAATGGTGCTGTGTGCAGTGTTCGCAGGGCGCACATTGTGTCCCATCATGCAAGTGAAATCAGAAGAAGGGTTGTGTGTGTGTATATGTGTGTGTGCGCATGTGAGCCAGCCAGTGTCTTACCTCGGGGATATGTGTGCGAGGAGACAGGACTGGACTCATCGGTAGAGGAGGGTCGCGCAACGCCCATATCGCCACCCCCACCCGGCGGCTCCAGCGAGACGGCACCGGCGCCAGGCACAGGCACCGGCACAAGCAACCCGGACCGCGCGTTCTTAACCGGGCAGCACTGCAAGTGACGGGGCAGGTTGTACTCCCATTTTAGTGACTTAAAGCAGTGCGGGCACTTGGTGCCCTGGCCAGCTTGTGCCTGTGAACCCGCAGCCTGCTGCTCGGCAGCCGTACTGTTGCTGTTGCTGCCGCTGGCGGTGGTAGTGGGCGCCATGGAGGGTTGGGTCACCTGGGGAGGTTTGGGTTGTGCCTGGGAGCGATTCACTACAATGCATACATAAATACAAAATAGAGAAGCCAAAGATCATAGAAAAGAAGAAGAAAAAAGATCGCCGATAAGGGACTCGGAGTAACGAGACGAGTATACTCTGGATGTCGTGGCACCAAGCCGCATATTTTCATGCACACAAAAGCAGTTCGCCACATACAGCACTTTTTAACGCACGGATAAATTAATTCACCCGTAAGTAAACTTCCTACCTAGAGGATCGATATCACTCTACACACTCCACAATGTCCAACTATGTGTAAGCATAAGAAGGGGTATGTAGGAGGGGCGAGGGACAAAGTAAAATTATCACCAGAAAGCTGCCTATTCTCTTTGCCGTGAATCTGCTTTGAGCTACTGTACAACCATACCGAAGAAGCCAGAAGCCAGCTGTGTCCTTGCAAGTTGAAAACAACAGATGAGAGTAGACAAGTCGACTTCATTGCTGGGGTAGCGATAGTGATAGTCACTCAAACCGCCCACAATTTGACCCCCCCCCCCCCCCATAACTGTTCAAGGCACTCAACAGATCTGTGCCCTTCTCTTGACCAAACATCAACCGTGAAATTCTCTTTCAAGCACTGGCGAGCGCCATGTAGTCATGGGGGAAACTGACATACAAGAGTGAAATCAAACTCGTACTTCTTGGCGCCCTGGAACGGCAGGTACATTGTTTTCCACTTGATAGATGTTGTTCAGAAGGCAACGAGATGTACTCAAGCACCTACGGCGTCCAAAGTATAAACCAATGTCTTCGGGTGGTGAGCATACACACACCCGGAGTTCTGGAATGAGAGCAAACCTATTTGAACACGTCGATGCGAGTGCAGCCACTAATTGCCTGGGCGACTTGGAAGACTAAGCAACTTCACAACGAAAAGGTGATAAGCATGCAGTGGCACAATGCTCTGGAAACTAACGTAAAAAATTACATAAATATGTCCACAAAATGAACTCCTCTCCAAATTCTTGACTCCCCCATTCTCAGTTGCAACCGAATATGGACACCAACCAAAATAAGTACTGAAGTACTAATGTTCCGCACGCATGTAACAATGGTGGTGTATTGCATTGTCTGTTGATACGCTACATGCCTGGGTCATGTGTGGCGAGCACATCCAGTGTATGTACTTTCTGGCTGCCACAAAGAAGCATGTGAAGAAATGTTGACCGCCGAAAGATGGTATGTGCATGCACTGGGGTTACGCACTTCAATGTTACATGATTGCATTGGCAAAGACACATGTCTTGACATCTGCATTGAGCTGTATGTTGATGCCACAGCACAAATACCGGGTGCGGCTTTCACTTTTCTGGAATCTGTAGCCCGTGTGCATATGTGTGTGTGTGTGTGTGTGTGTGTGTGTGTTTTGTTTGTGTGTGTGTGTGTTGTGTGTTGTTGTTTGATTTTATTTTAATTCGCAGCGACCAAACGAGCAGAGGTACTCAATAACAAGGACGCAAAGTGTGCGTGAATGTGTGCGTGTGTATATGTGTTTCGCGTTCAAAAACACACCGTTATTTACGGACGGCCACTTACCCATGATCGAGCGCTTGTACTGCTCAATTGCCTCGCGACTCGTGTGCGTATAGCCTTCCGGACCTGCGCGGTGTGTGGCGGCACCGGCTGCTGCCGTAGCATGCGTCTGGTGGCCATGTGCTGGCGGCATCTGCACCACTGGGCCTGCATGTAACGGCGGCGGCGCGTGGTGATGAACCGCAGCGCGCATGCTGCCCGGCGTGTGATGCATGGGCGCCGGGTGGCGTATGGCGTGCGGCCCGACGGTGACCGAGCCCAGCATCGGCTTGGGCAGCTTGGCCGGCGGCCGGTCCTCGTCGGACGAACTCGAACCGGAGTAGTGCTGAGACTGGATGCGTCCCTTGCTGCGATGGCTATGCGACGTACCTACAAACAGAAACAACAAAACAAAGCGGTAAAGCAATGTATAAAGGACGCAAAAGTGACTGACTGATCATGTACAGTCAGTCAGACCTCGCGTATCCGGTCCTCTTTTATCCGGATCCCTCGTCATCCGGAAGAAAATAGCTGGCTACAGATGTACAGCATACATGATGCATCCAACAAAACCGGTGTTCGATTATCCGGTTCCCTCGCCTATCCGGATATTTTTTTGTGGAAAACGGATGTGTGTGGTTAAGCGAGGTCTGACTGTATTTTGAAGTACCAACTACAGTAAAACCTGTAACTAAAGACCACCGTGACTAGCGACCAGCCTGGTACTACAGTAAAACCTGTAACTAAAGACCACCGTGACTAGCGACCAGCCTGGTACTACAGTAAAACCTGTAACTAAAGACCACCGTGACTAGCGACCAGCCTGGTACTACAGTAAAACCTGTAACTAAAGACCACCGTGACTAGCGACCAGCCTGGTACTACAGACCACTTTGCCAGGCACGGACGGTCTCACATTCATACTATGGTTGTGCGGTGCATCTAACTAAGGACCACCTGCCACTATTACTAAAGACCGCTTTCTCTGGCTCCAATGGGTTGTCGTTAGTTACAGGTGTTACTGTGTGGTGGAATGTCCCAGTTCAAGATACCCTAGAAGGGACCGTGTCCTCACTGATGACTATACTACAAACTGATTGGCAGCATCAGACATTGGAACAGTGTGTCCCTTGTTGGCAGGCGTCCACAACACGAGGTTCAACTGCAACACAACATAGCAGCAGCAGCAGTGACTGTAGTGGCAGCCATTGCTACAGCAAGAGCAATAGCAGACTAAGCAGAGCATAATTGAAAGCACTGAGCAGGGCTGTGACTTACGGCGTTTTTTCTTGGCAACCGATGGTTCGTAGTCGGAGTCCTGTGCAAATCGAGCGTACATTTACATTGGACACAGCAAATGAGTGATGTCGCCTCCTTGAACTTTTTGTTGAAGATACAGTGTACTGAGCAATGGGATGTACAGGTATGCATCGTTTTCTCGCCATTGGGTTTAGTGTGGGGCAAGTCTACTCCACCCGTACACACTGTGATACCAGCCCTATATAAAAGGTCACGAACCATGTACCGTCGGACATACAATGTACTACAGCTGGTTGCGCCTACCACATATAGGGCAACTTGCCCTGAAAAAAAAAGAGCAGCCTCGCCGATACATACTTGCCATTATGAAGAGAGAAATACAAGTATTTCCAAGTTGTGCATTGTGTGCCTAGTGCCTACCAAATATAACCAGATACTGGACAGTCAGATCAGGCAATAACTTGACGGAAACTGAACTGGCACTGCCATTCAACGGTCTGCAACCACTTGTCTCTTCTTAAATTGAGTGGCAATCATTTCGGCTCCATTGGTCAGGGCACTAGCTAAATAAACCTGGCAGAAACCGAGTCCTTTGGCCGGTGCACAAGCGCGTGTGTGTGCACGCATGTACGTGGCTGTATGTGCACGGGTAAAAGCTGTTCCACGTCACGCCAACGCTATACTCACACTGTCGGACTTGACACGAACGCTTCGCTCACAAGTCGGTGATGGTACCATGCTGTCAATGCCATGCTCTGTGATGAACTCCGACTCAGGATACTTGTGGTCCTGCAGCATACCGGGAATTGCACACACACACACACACAACAGAATACACATAAACACACATGCAGGCCATCAGGCCCTCCCCATAATATTTCCAAACTTAGGGCCTACCATCACTGTATTTCGTTTAAAAAAATCCGACCCAGAGTGCATATTTGACGCTCTCAATTTGCACGGCCTTTGACGCCCTAGAAGTGCCACGAATACAGCCGGACATACACGTGTACACATACCATGATGTAATCATGACTGGTACAGGTAAGACTAAGAGGGCGCCAGTTTTGCACTTTGGGTCGGATTTCACCGGGTGCAACAGTACATAGAAACCCAGTGCTACCGCGATGATGCAATGGTAGCAAGCAATGTGCTACATGTTGGGTAGAAGCGTTCTTTCGTTCTAACTGCATATCAGGTTGTAATAAAGGCATGTGTCCAGTCGCAGTGGCAGTACTGTCAAGCATATCCTTGCAGACACCCGTACAGTAAGGACGGTTCGTCGCAGTCCCATTGGCTTCGTGTGCATTTCAGCATGCGTGGACACTTCAAAACGCCGTAACCTGTGAAATACAAAATGCGGACACTTTCGCGTGCCCACAGCACTGCGCTGCACCGATCTGAGCTAGACAAACGCATACACACTGACTGGGGTACCGGGGTTCACTCTGTACCATGCATACAGGATTGCGTATGGTGACAGACCGGCCCAGCTAGCCTGCCGCCCCAGCCTGTTCGCGTACTGTTACTCGATACGCCATATCAAACTCACGAACTCGTGGCACATGACGTGAGATGGTCATATTCATTGCAACGAACAAAATGACGTGCATGATGCATGGGTGCAACAGAGCAGGTGCGTAGCACCGCCGTTGGCGGTGGTCCAGCGGGGGGGGGTCTCCCCCCTAATTTTTTTGAAATTAGGGTGCAAAATCCTGCATTCCGGGCACTTTTGGCATTGTTTTACTATGGTGGTCGTGGTCGGGCGAAAAAGTGGTCCGGCCAAACCCGGACCGGCCAGAGCGGCTGCTACGCCCCTGCAGAGAATTGAGGACATTTGGCCTCAGTCCATCGGGTGTCCGCAATTACCATGTTCGACTGTCGTACTAGGCTGCTGAGATCCAATAGCAATAAGCCACGTCACTGTTCCATCGCACTTCGCAACTCCCTCCGCACCCCTTCTCACTCCGTCCACACAATGTATGATCGTTGTCGATTCGGGCAAAGGAACCTAGGCTGCGAATAAAGGCGACAACTTCGAAGCACCTGGCATTGTCCTCCTATCGCGATAATGTGTGTAGCGAAGTCGCCACCATACACACAAGTGAAATCGCAACCAATAGGCAATAGTTTACGTCCTCGGAGATAGATAGCCACTCACTCATCGAATACGTGAAACACGCAACTGTTAGACCATACTGTCATTACTGAATTGGCTGCAGTAGCTATTTCAAAAATTCATGCAGCGTACATAGCAGCGACGGCTCGGCAAAGGTAGGTTTAGAATAGGAGAGAAATCCAAGGAAGCTTACCTCCAAGCGTCGCATTCTTTTCCTCGCCCGCTCCTCTTCTGCTTGCTGCAGCTTTTGCTGCTGCATATAGTGCTGCAGCTGTTGCTGCTGAATGCGAGCTTGTTGCTCGCGTCTTCTCTGCTCCTCGCGCTGGATACGCTGCGTCTCATGCTGAGAAACAAACGCCTGTAACGACACGGCCATTTCAACACGGACACAAGGCGTACGTCCACATACTATTATACAGCTACAATATCAGAAAACGACGAGGTGCCATATTTTACCTTCGCTGATTCACCAGTTGTGAAACTGCGAATTGGAAATCCATCAATTGTGTCCATTTCAAAGCTAGCAGGACTGGGCTTGCGGCGTGGCTTATTCTCCCTCAAACTCTCCTCTTCCATGGATTCCATAACCTCTGCCATGGCTGAAAACACCACGTATCAACAGCAAACTACTTCGACGCAGGGAAAGGTGGGCTTCACTTCTTCCTAGAGGATAAAAACAAAATGCAACCACCAATCCATTCCATCCGAGCATTCGTAAAATCTTCTTTTCTGGGAAGATAATGATCGATTGGTGATTTGTCCATACTTGTACCTCGTGTACCAATGGTGTACGCTGCAGCGCTGATTCGTATCCTCGGCCTTGCCGTCTGCGCGTCGCAGCGGCTGTGAAGCCTGCGACTTTGAAGCCGCGCCATTTTGGTGGGAAATTCGCAGTACACGTGATAAAAACGGAGAAGAAACTAAGTTTAGGGGTCGCAAAATTCACTCTCGCAAGGTTTATCAAATCTAAATCGCATAAAGTCCCCAACATCAAGGTTTTGACAAGCAAACCCTTTCGGAGATTTGGCAAAATCTTGTGTGGATGCCCGATGTTTTGTCTGACTCTGAGTGACTCTGAGTGTCATGTGACATGATTCAGATGATGAGATCGAGACTTGTGACGTCAAACATGTAACATTTTTTTGCTCTTCTGGTCTTTTCAGTCTGCTGGGAGTAGGTATTTTACTACTCCCCAGTTGTGCGCACAGCAGTTTTTCGCACGTCATGTCTGATGCACAATCTTGTCCCGGCCCCTTGCAGTTTGATGCATCCGGCATCAGTGGCATCACGAGTACCAGAACAGTCACTCCCGGTGCCAGTGCTACTGGCAGTACTGCTAGTGGTTTGATTTTGAGAATAAAATAATTGCTTTTCCTGGTCTCACTGCTTGACACAAGTTAGTTTGTTACTAGTGCATTCATTTGCTGTGCAAGAAGCTTGGATTTGCGTGCTGCTTCTGCTAATACGATAATGCTTGCTCGTCAGGTAAGGTCTAGTGCAAGAAGTAGTTACTTTAGTTACCTGACTTGATGATTAGTCACGACTGAACATACCCAAATGGATGGGCGTATTTGTGATGGTTATTCTGTAGCTTCGCGGAGTGGCGGCGCTTGGCCGACGATGCCTGTCTGACAAGGCGACTTTCAGCGTAGCAGTAAGCGAATCTGTGATGTACTCTGGGTTTCGAAAGCTGCACTGGAAGCATGATCAGCTGCTTTTGCTGTGGTGTTTCTGGTGAAGAAGTGCCATGCTCATTACCTTTCAAATATACTGAAAGCTATCGTACGATTTAACAATGAGAAAATTATTCAAAGTTGCTTACCGAAACTCATCGTGGAAAACACACCGCACCACTGCACATGCAGATGAAGTAAAAAAAAAAAGATTAGTCTAGTCTTAGAGACATCGTTTGCACAGCAGCCAGGATAGTGCAACGCATGTTTCTGATTGACGATTCAGCAGTTTCTGCATCGGGCCTGAAAGTCCACAAGAATTGATTCTTTCTCTGTCAGCCATATGCCATTCATGATCACTTTACGCAGGAAGACAGCGTAAAAGCTAACAAACGCGTACGCACTGTACACACATTCACCTATAGGCTATAACCAGGAAACGTCCGATGTCCTAACTAGGCCATCATTTCCCAGACTGGTTTATCCAACGGAAAACGCCGTTGAAAAAAGTACTGGATTAGAGAGGGACACCTGTAGTATGTACAGATCTGACCCCAGTGTTTGTGATGGAGACAGGCTGGCATTGAGCAGTTGCATTTTCAACCAAGACCATACTGATAGGAATGAAAGCAAGAGTGTCAGAGCTGGCAGATCTCGACCGCCGCCCTTATTCGGCTCACACTTGCACATACAATGTAGTTACGTTGCGCATGCGACATTTGTTTCCTTCCCAAAGAGCTCGCCACGTTGATGGCGGCAGTATTGTACGCACATACACTCGCACACATCCGTGTGCACACACACACACGCGCGCGCGCACACACACACACACACACCCATACACACATACACACACGCATCATTTGTCTGGACTGCAATTCGGGTTAGCAGGTCAAGGCTGCGATCGCGAGCCGCATTCTTTTCTTTTCGAGCTGGGTATGTGAAAAAATCCCACGGATCCTGTAGAGCCTACGAATCCTGGGGTCGAAATGTACATCGTTCCGGGTGCTATGGTCTCGTGCCGTCTCCCTAAATGCTATGACTCCTGATGATGTATACCAACTAAGGCCATGCCGTTTTTTTTCTATGTTTCGCGTCACCTTATTTGATGAAATCAATGAGGGAGGGCGAAAAAAATGAAAAAGCCATCCAAAAAAAAAACAGTGTACGTGCATTGCATTTGTGTACAGTGAAGCGACGCGGCACTGTTCATGTACATTTTGACATGTACATGAATACATGAGTGTATCCCCTCTGCCATGCTTGTGGTCCAAATACAGGCGGCATGATGATTGTGTGACTTGCGGCCCAGCTTACACACACACACACACACACATGTACATGTACATGTGTGTGCATGTAGACCTTCATGTGTGTGAGCTGAGTACAATCATGCGATAAATAGAACAATAATTGATGCCAACATAATAGTTACGTGTAACAATCATGTTCCGTTTTTTTCCTTTTGGGTTACCAGTTACATTTTCCGGTTTTCTGGGTTTGCATTAAATTTGTATTGCATTTTCAACAAAAAAAATTGTTTGTTTTTTTGTTTTTTTGAACTCCGGCTGTGAAATACATGCGCGCGGGGGACGCGAAACATAGATAAAAAAAACGGTGTGGCCTAATACATGTTGTCATGAATCCTTGGGTTTGTACGTGTGCACTGGCCTCATACTGTAGGACTCCTCTTTCCGCAGGGTGTATGGTGATGTTGTTGGGTTCTTCTCTTTATCATTCAATGCCCTGTGTTGCTGTAGGAATGCACAACACACAAACTGGACAGCAAGCCGGCCACGTCGGTTGAGCTGACACGGGAAGATGCCCTGTTGTACTACACGCAGATGGCGACCGTCCGTCAGATTGAGACTGCTGCCGACAACATGTACTTGAACAAGGACATCCGGGGATTCTGCCATTTGTGCCTGGGCCAGGTTAGAAGGCATTCAGATAAGAAAATCTATTTGGATTATCATGGATGAATCTACCATTATTTTTTGCATAGCAGTTTTCACTATACAAAACCTCAATTGTGTAGTCATCTTTGATTTTTGGTTAGCACAAAAAAGATGTCTGTATACACATCCCGCTAGTTTCCACCCGGTACTGTACCCTACGTGTGGTACTTGCATCATACTTGTGCATGCAGATTGAGAGTATAGTCATGTGCCACCTACTCTGCACTGCATGCATGGTACTTGACGGGGCAAACTAGGCATGGATAGCCTGTATGTACCGCAATTTCTGCTAGTCGCGGTGATTTTTGAGTAGCAGTAGATCAATTTTGCATAGCAAACTGCGATGCGATACTGGATAAATTCATCCCATATTATATATGGAGAGTGTTCTCAATCTGCGGACAGAGCTGTTTTTGTCCTTTGTGGACTCATCAGCGCAGCACAGAGGAAATGAGGTCGAAACTGATAGCAATGAAATATAAATTTTCCAAAGCCAGATTTAAACCAGGCCCGAACGTACCTTGGAGAGTTTTCCATGTGTTTCTTGCACTCGCCAGCTTGTGCAGGTTGTTGCTGGTTGTGCGAGGAGACAGCTCGCCTTGATAAGCTTGCTGCAGAATATGGGTGTTTATTCATGGTGAATTGTTGGCTCGTGTTCATTTTTTGTTGCTTTTGTATGCTGCATATGCGTGAATGTGCTTGTGAGGTCTGGAGATGGTAGCTATTATACATGTGAGTGCGTGGCCTTTCGAGGTCTGCGAATGGTAGCTTTATATATTGGCTATCGTTACAATCAACTATTGTGCAGTGGTGAAGGAAGTGCCCTGATTCGGTGCTGTGGACGCTGCTGCTTATCCTTATGGTAATGTACAGGAAGCATGTGCAGTGGGAATGGAGGGTGCCATCACCCAGGAGGACGCAGTCATCACTGCGTATCGCGCCCACGGCTGGACATACACGCGCGGCATTTCAGCACTTGGAGTCCTTGCTGAGCTTACAGGTACCTATGATGCATAGTTTTCTGTTTTTAAGGCAAACAGACGATTTGTATCTGACCAGGCAGACACACCGACTGCGTTCGAATATACAGTAAAACCTGTAACTAACGACCACCCCATGGCACCGGAGAAAGCGGTCTTTTGTGGCAGGTGGTCCTTAGTTAGGGGTTTGCACCTCACAACCATGAATGTGAGACCGTCCGTGCCTGGCTAAGTGGTCCGTAGTACCAGGCTGGTCTCAAGTCACGATTGTCTTTAGTTACAGGTTTTACTCTATGTTTTTCGATTTTGACAGCATGTTACAAGGCGAAGACGCGTAGTGCTCCTGACTACAACCATAACCCCTGTAACATGCTGTCAAAATCGAAAAACATGTTAAACTACCAAGCAAGGCTTCTGTGTATATACCAATTTTTACTGTAGTACAAATAGTTGTGCATGTGTGAGTTTTGGTGGTGACAACGGATTTGTTTTCCCCACCGAAACCAGGCGATCAAATACCGCACCACGTCCTCGTGCAGGATGATGTTATTGTGACGTGTGTCGGGTTCTAGCCACCCTCCGAGTCCCCAAGTTGTACTGTCTTAGTGCAGTCCGGTAGTTATCAGTGTAGTTCTGCTGGTGTTATCAGCAGAGCTAGCGTGTGTGCCTGTCATTCATTGCTGACTTTGTACGGGTCAGTCCAGTAGTAAATTCTAAAAATATGTAGTATAATTAATTTGTCTGCAAGTGTGCTGAGATACCGGGCAAGTATACATTGTGTTGCACTATTTCTCATATTGTCTGGTGGGTGTTTCGCGTGTATGTAGTGTTTTCCTTCTTGTATGTTGACGAGCACTTACTGCAGCATGTAGTAAAGCAACAGGGGCATCACAGGGCAGTGAGGAGTGGTACGTCCGGGTGTCGGAATCCAGGGGTGTTCCCCAGGGGAAAAAAATCGGACTTTTCGGCTGCATGGTCGTAATGGTCGTACCATGTATGACGCCCTGGCTTTCCGCTTTCTAGCTTGCCCCCCCCGCATGCTGGTGTCTGCTTGCTAGCATTGCACTCTTTCTAGGTGTTGTAGTGAGTTCTTCCCTTGGATGTTGATGTGTGTTGTTCACCGTGTGTAGGACGCGAGGATGGCTGTGCCAACGGCAAGGGTGGCTCCATGCACATGTACAACCATAACTTCTTCGGCGGAAATGGCATCGTCGGTGCTCAAGTGAGTAGAGAGCACTGTCGTTCTTGTTGCTCGTAAGATGCTCTAAATGTACATGTAATAAAGAACAACATCCCGTCTGCTCTTGGGCATGCCTGTTGAACTCGGCATAGTCTAAAGATACTTTGTAGAGCACATATGGAGGGAATTTGGGCACAGGATTTTAAAACCAGTTGATCTTAGACAGTCAGAACATGGAAAAATTTGGCTGGGAACGTTAACTGACGCTGTTGAATTTCAGTGTTGTGCTGGCTTGTTGCGTGAACAAGAGGGTTCTCTGAAAAAGAAAACAATTACTGGGCTTCCTCATTGCTGGCACTTATCCTGAGGTAGTGTTGAACATGATAAAAATCCGCAATAAGTTGTTGTACAAGTCTAAATCGAGAAGTGTGCACGGTCTGGCGATTTCTTGCACACAAATCAACGTTGACAGGCAAGTGGGATGATTGGAATAGAGCCGGCAGTCCATCCATTTACAGTCCATTCATCTAAAACTGGCATCTTAACTTTTTGTAGTCTCGCACGTATTGTGGTAGAAAAAATCTACCACAATACGTGACTACAGTGAAAATAACTGCACATTCTGCATTTTGTCACCCGTGCAATTCTTCTTTGCCACATCCGTAGCTGGAACGGTCCAAGGATAGCATATTCCTCAGTCATGAACAATGAACGCAATGCCCCTCGCACTATTTCTCACAGCCCCGGTGGACATATGTGATGTGTCACCTCCTGTTTTTTCATACCTCTCTGGCGTGCTCTAACCATGGTGGGATAATGCAGTAAAGTTGACCTTGCCTCTTCATTGTTGTGGTTGCTATCTGTAGGTGCCACTGGGTGCTGGTATTGCTCTCAAGATCAAATACATGAAGGAGAGGAAAGTCTGCCTTGCCCTGTATGGCGATGGTGCCTCCAACCAAGGACAGGTACTGTACTCTCTAGGTTCTGTGTGTGTGCGTGTGTGTGTGTGGGGGGGGGGGGGGGGGGGGGGGTAAATGTTGAGTGTGTGTGGGCACTTGCTCGTGGCTACATAGTAGTTGGCTGGGTGTGTTTTTCTGTATGGTCTGTACCGGCTCCGTGAAATGCGTCATCAGCCTTTGGTACAAAGCCGTGGTTTCTGTGCAGCTATGACCAATGTCTGCAAGGCTGCGCAAGCTGTGATTCCTATGATTTGTGTGCTAAACCCTCGTGTCTGCATTGCCGTATGTCACAACCTCTGCACAGGTGTTTGAGGCATTCAACATGGCTCATCTGTGGAAGCTGCCAGTGATCTTTGTGTGCGAGAACAACCATTATGGCATGGGCACGTCGGCAAAAAGGTCCTCAGCTAGCACTGACTACTACAGCCGTGGTGACTACATGCCCGGTCTCAGAGTAAGTCTTTTAGGCTTCTTTCGTTTTACCTACCTGGTAGAGTAGAGTAGAGTAGCCATTCTACCGATAGAGGTAGAAGGTAGAGGTAAGTGCACGACCGCTGTCCTACCGGATTTAGTAGTTTTTCACGATAATATGTCCATGAAAAAAAGAGTATAATAGCAATAAAAAGAACAAATTCTGCAGTCATCGCCACACTACAACGAAGTCATGAAAGTTTACCAGAATTAATTTTCTTGTCACATTCATCAGTGGAAAGTCGTGACTGAAGAGTAACCATGCTGAACAATGATTAAATATACATTCAATGATGTGTTACGAGAACAAAATACAGTGCCAAAATAGAAAGAGGGAAGGTGAGACAATAGCAGTGAAGTGAGAGCTAAGTGCAACGGTGGGTGAAAAACTAATAATTATAACGCTAAAACTATGTAGTGAGACAAACAATCATGTTGTGCACCTACGAAAACAATTTTAACGCAACTACATGTTTCTTCTGCTTACAAAGATCAGGCTTATGCAAACGAATACAAACAGCCTCAAGTACTTTCAACTGACTAGCATACCGTGCACGACAAAGAACAGAAAAACTAAAATCATCATACACCTGCAGACACTTAGGGTGAGACAACAAGTGAAGAAAAACGGCAGACTTCTTACGATCACAATCACCATCTGATTCCTCGTCTCACTACATAGTCTCACTACGTCTCACTACATAGTTTTAGCGTTATAATTACTAGTTTTTCACCCACCGTTGCACTTAGCTCTCACTTCACTGCTATTGTCTCACCTTCCCTCTTTCTATTTTGGCACTGTATTTTGTTCTCGTAACACATCATTGAATGTATATTTAATCATTGTTCAGCATGGTTACTCTTCAGTCACGACTTTCCACTGATGAATGTGACAAGAAAATTAATTCTGGTAAACTTTCATGACTTCGTTGTAGTGTGGCGATGACTGCAGAATTTGTTCTTTTTATTGCTATTATAAAATTGTTGTCTCCACGTCGATTATTTGCAAAAAAAGAGTAGTACTTGTATCCGTCTTTAGTATGGAGTCGTGTAGAACTCCTTGATTTTTCAATCCTGTACCTCTACCGACTTCCTATCAGCTTGAACCTGGTAGAGCCGGTAGAGAAAGGTAGAATCTTCTCTTTTGAGTAGAAAAAAAAGGAACGCATCTACTGAAAGAAGTAGAACTGGTGCAGGGCGCCAACTTGACTCACACGATCGGATTCATTGAGCAGCCCTGTATTGTGTGTGTGTGTGTGTGTGTGTGTGTGTGTGTACATGGTGTGTACATGGTGTGTACATGGTGTGTACATGGTGTGTACATGGTGTGTATGGTGTGTATGGTGTGTGGCGGGTGGGGGTGATGGGTATAGTGACCCATACACTTTCAGGTTGAAGCCGCCATTCCCTACACTCTTCCAATGGAGGTGTCTTGTATAATCCTGAATTTAACCCTTTACTGTCCGATTAAAATGTATACAAGCTCACGCAACCACAAAATCTGAAACTAGAATTAGACGTAACTTTGGTTTGAATTTGACAATTTCCACGATCTTGGGCATCCTGGAAAGGTCTTGACGAGACAAACGCAATGAGCCCACACTCGGCGCCACAGCATGCACTGGTCCAACGCTGCAAGCCAGGGAACGCGTAAAAGCGCTGAGCTCTTGCTCGAGATCGATCTCAATCCACCATGTCACCCCTGTTGCTCGTATCGAGCTCAAATGTTTTCGTAGAGACTCCCGGGAGCCTACTTTTGAATTTGAATCGGTGTAGCCTTGCCAACAGGTGACGTAAACAGGGAAAATCCCAGCCGTCGACATGCGTGTCGCGCTCTGAACGCACATTTCCCGGGACCAGAATTACGAGTGCGATAACTCAGCAGCCGCTCTTCGTATCGCTTCGGGAATTGTTTGAGGCGACAGCTGTGACCTTTCTCTTCGACCTACATATTTCGATCTCTCCAAAAGACCTAGATTTGAGCAAGTTACGATAATTTCAAAATGCCTACCCCATCGATCCCATTGGTTCGATGCTTGTATGTACGGACAGTAAAGGGTTAATAGTCACATTAGGCTACTTCCTACAGCTTCTTGTACATGTTGTTATGCCTTGGTCAAGTTTTGAGCTGACAGTGACGTTTATATCTTGTCTGCTTAGGTTGATGGCCAGGACGTCCTTGCTGTCAGGGAAGCGACGCGGTTCTCCAAGGAGTATGCAATGGACCAGGTGGGCTTCTAGCAATTGTGTTCCTGTTTGCGTGTGTCTGTGTGTGTTTAAGTGTGTGTGTGCGTGTGTGTGTGTGTGTGTGTGTGTGTGTGTGTGTGTGTGTGTGCGCGTGTGTCTGTGTGTGTGTGTCGATGGGGGGAAAGAACACTGTACAGTCTACCTGACATACGAAACACAAACAGTCTGTTCAAACTACATGCTCGTAAAGAAATTAAAGTCATTATCAATCAATCACTCACAGGCGAAGCCCAGTTCACGTTCACTTTGTATGGAAATGGATGCATGGAGGTGAAAGAAGCAGTAGAATGGCGCTCCACTTGATGTCTGACACTCTTGTTGAGTCAGAGCAGTTGCCAGGAAGCCCTTCCATGGCCTGGGCAAAAAAGAACAAGCTTCAGAATCGCTCCAAGCGCGGGTGGAGACGAACCTATCACATTTCGTATACTTTTCAATGCGTTTTGACATGCGACCTCTTCACCACATCTCGGGGTGGTGGCGGGAACGGCGTCCTTGAAAAAGCTCTATAGGAGATCTACAGTGGTTTCGTTATAGCAGATTTGTTCTATAACCAGCATAGAACGTTTGTATACGTAAAACCGCTTGAAATTCCGTCAGCATGCGGCAGAATGACCGTGAGAATATTTCACTTGTTCTGGCCAAATTTAAAAAGCTTTAAGTTGTTATAACTTCTATTCTAGACACTTTCTTTTGTCACAATGTGACTAGCAGGCAGGCTCTTGCATATGCAGGGTGCCCACTGCCCTGGCTACAAAGGGGTACCCACTACCCACCCAGCTGCCCGGGCTGACTCCCACGTACACAGGGTCCCCAGCTGCCTGGACAGGCTCCTGCATGCGCCAAGTAGCCAGCTGCCTGACACAGCGCTTCTGCTCCTGTTCTCTCTTTTTCTCCAACATGACGTGCATGTGGTCTTGTTTCTGTGTCTGCTTTTGTGCTGCTGCTGTTGATGCTGCTGGTGATGCTGGTGATGTTGCTGCTGATGTTGCTGCTGATGCTGCTGCTGCCACTGATAGGGACCCATTCTGATTGAGCTGGACACATATCGTTACAAGGGACACAGCATGAGCGACCCTGGAACAAGGTGAGTACTGATTGATAGTGCCTATCTGCTGCCACTGCTGCTACTACTGGACTGCAGAGTGCAGCATTGTCCTTGTACAGTACATGTACACGGAAATATCTACTGTCACGTACTGTGTTACGGAGCCCAGAAAAACTGGTTTCACAGAGTATGATCTGTTTTGAAGACATTGGTGGAAGATTGAACATGGGAGGTGTGAATTGCAGTGGAAGTTGAGATTGCATTGCGTAATGATCTAGACTGTTGTTGTCACTGCAGATTATTGTTCTGGTGGGCATTGGTTTGGTTTGAGAAGATATGACTGAGACTTGGGCCCTGCTTTGTGAACGGTGTTCTTCTTCTATTGCCCTCCTGCTGCTGCTGCTGTTGTGCTGTTGTAGCTATCGCACTCGCGATGAGGTACAGGAGATGAGAAAGAACCGTGATCCCATCATGCTTTTGAAGGACAAGATGATTGACTCCGAGCTGTGCACTGAGGACGAAGTCAAGGTAATGGCGTTGTTATGGTATACTGCTGTGGTCCGAGCCAGCTTCCATCCAGGTGGAATGAATGGGTTGTAGAATTGGTGTCAGGTGGAGTAGTGTACATGCCACAAGGATTTTTCGTGAACAGGCTAATGTTGTTAGTTGTTCCAGGTTGGACACTATCAATCATTTTTCTGTGTGTGTTTGGGGAAGGGGAATTGGGGGCTTCTGCGAGGGCCCCAGTGATTGCTATGCGGATGGGTAAACACCACTATGAAATGGATGGCGCGTCCACAGACCGACGATTCTAGCTAGAAAGCCAGAGACTAGTCAAGAAGTAATCTGTCATCGCCGTCTGCACCTTATCCTCGTCCACTTACTGCAGTGTGGTAAGCCTGTAGATAGGATCATTTCCAAGTCCACCTACGAGTAGAGTAGTGGTAGTAGTTGTAGTATTTATTATTTTACTAGGGGAGTCCCAACAGGCTACTGCCCTTTTCCAGGGAACCCTAGGTGAAGTTTAACCATGTTTATGAACAGAGCAAGCGAGTGGGCCTGTCGACTGTCAGCTGGAAGAGAGTTCCATCTGCCTGCCGCCAGAAAAGAAATAGAACGCATGCCATACTGCGTGTAAACAAGTGGGAGAACTAAGGCTCTTTGTGCCTTGCCCCGCGTGCATGCTTGGTGACCAGGTGCAGTTGCCTGAAGCTGGTACAAAGACTGAAGAAGAGGACTAGCACGATGCTGGGCCAAGCGGCGGTAACAAAAACATAGAGCTTGAGGCTAATACGCTGTTCCAAAGAATAAAGGCGGTATAAGCAAAGAACTAGTTCAGTGGGCGTGGTACAATGGAGTCCAAACACTCTCTTCATTGCTATGTGACTAACGGTCACAATCCTATTGTACAAAGTTGTGCTTAAACAATGTAGTTAAGCATTACTGACATAGTCTAGAGTGGACTGAATAATAGGCAAGTAGAATGTTCGCTTTGCATCATTTGTGAAATTTCTACGGCCATGTCGGAAAGCAGCAACTTTTGCAAACAGTGAGTTACACAATTTCTAAACCTGTGGCTGGAAAGGTGAGATGGTCATCTATCAATAAACCAAGGTATTTGGCAGTGCTCGTAGGGGTAAGAGCCTTTGCTGGCTGTACAGGTCCCAAACATTAACAGCAGTACTGGGTGAACGGTACACACTGCACACAACCAATTCCGTGGCCTTTGGTGTAGCGCTAATACGTGCACGGACAAACAGACCCTCCACTCCTGAGTCAGCCACTGGTACTCTCACTGAATGAATGTCAGAATGGACGTACATGTAAATGCAAACTCCACCAGCATGTAAATCTCGGTCTCTGCGGTACAGCTTATAGCCTGGAATATGCACGCTGGAATCGGGTATACTGCTGTCAAGATGAGTTTCATCAGAAGAAAGAGGACCAAAGAGCTACACGTTACGCTATAATATCCACTAACACCACCAGTTACTTTACAATCAGCTCATGCGATAGCATTGCACGACACTGATCAACGGTACTGATGTTCTACACCGAACTTGTGGCTCTTTGGTCCTCTTTCTTCTTATGAATTAATCTTTGGCTCTCCATTCGAGTCTAAAGATGAGTTTCGTTAATAGATAAGATGTGAATTTTATGAGCATACAAGAGGAGATGGATGTGGTGTACTTAATGGCGAAGACTACATTATGTTGATGTGAGCAATGGTGTGGTAGCGTACCGTAGGTGGTGCTGGTGCTATTAGTACGCCAGGAACAAATGGCGCTGCACTTGGGTTCAGCAACACTTGGTCTGGGCCAGGGGTGGGTCTGGATTTCCCGCCAGCTGCAGAAAGATGGCCTCGTACACTGCAGTTGCGTCCACTTTCAAATCAAGTCGTCTACGGTACAAATTGTCTGCGTTGGTTCGGGTTGACAGGTGGAGACAGACTGGGACGGGGATCACGTACACGGCCTACACGCTCAGCACTTACAATGCAAGAGGGTTGGACACCGAGAGTGCCATTGGTCACGCCTATAGTGCAGCATTCTCGCTCTCCCGCTCAGGAATCCCGTATAGTATCAGGTTATTCGTGCGCTTGACCTCCTCGACTTCCTCGGCGATGACCTCGGCCAGTGGCAGTCTGCTCGTATTAGTCGTTGGTAGTCCCGCAGTGTTCGTGGCGAGTGCTGCATTGTACGAAGCTGTCGTACCCGTACGTTCCAGCCGTCCAAGCCTTTCCTCGAAGGACATGATCTCTCTCAGCTCCTTGTTCCCCGCCATTACTGCACTCAGTTTTTCGGAAACCTCTACAAACGCCGAATCGAAACGCTGGGACAACGACCGCTGCTCCTGTAGTACCTCACCAATCAGTTTCCGCACTGTATCATCAGTTCCGGACGTGACTGCACGGACAGCATTCACACCAGCACGGAGCTGCTCAGCCGGGGGTTTGGCCGGTGTTTTACGACTGGCCTGGCTCGACGTTCTACCTGGGGTGTCTCTCAAGTCTGCCCTGGTCCTGCTAGTACTGCAGTATGCTCTGCGTTCTTAGAAAGAACGGACATGGCTGTGAGAGTGTAATAACTGTTAGGCCATTCACACTACGTGATCATGCACCAGCGTTTTCTCGGTTTGAGTACACTGCGGTGCGAATGTGGGGCAGGGACATTCACACCAGCATTTGAAACCCGGTGCGGGTGTGCGTTTTCACCGCGACTGACCAAGTTGTCTTGGAGATCAAAAATGACGCGTGCCTGAGCATGAGCTAGTCGGCTCATGAAAATTAAATTTAATTAATTTTCATAAAATGACTACACCAACAACTCTTGTAGACGATGGGCCTTGTACAGCTCTCGTTCCTTCTTCTTGAGGGAGCCGACCTTGTTGTGTACTTCTTTCATGGAGAAGTGTTTCGCGAGGCCGACTGCTTCCATGCGATTATTCAGCAGCTGTGTAGCCTTTTGCTCCTTCGCATTTCTGGTCATCATCAGTTTATCAGTTGATTTCAGCAAGTCGCGTTAAATTTTGATGAGCATACGCTTAGACTCGGGACTGAAAGTTCGGTTGGACATAGTCGTCGGTCGAAAGGAAAACAGAAAAAAAACACAACCGCTTGTTGACTGACACTGGTGCCAAAACGTTGAATCGCAACCGAGAAAACGTGCAGCCAGGGGTGTCGAGGCCGTGGGACAGTTTGCGGGCTCACATGTTCAAGCTTCCCGCCAAACCATGGTTTCCATGGCCGCCTACCGAGAAACCATGAAAACGTGACTTCTGTACCTTAGTGCGAATGGCCTATATGGTCCCACGGCTCACACGCGACAACAGCCAGAGCTCCAAAATCGCCAACCTCCCTCCAGTTGTGTCAAGAATCTTGGGACTTCGGAGAGTGTTGGCCGTTGGATGGTTCAATAGCTTCCGATATGCCCTCTCCCAGGGAGACCCATGTGATTAACTAGTGTGTGCATACGTGTGTGTATGCGTGTGCGTGTGTGTCTTTCCAAGATTCCTTTTGAGTCTCTCTCCCCTCTCCCGGGGAGACCCACGTGACCAGTTTTGGCAGTGAGCAACAAGTAAAAGTGTGCGTGTGTGTGTGTGTGTGCACATGTGTGTCTGTATGTGCATGTGTGTTTCTGGTTGTTGTTTGTACTGAGCCTGTTTGCTTGTTCTGTGCATGATATTTGTGCCACCCTCTTACCCCAGGTCATTGACAAGGCAGCAAAGAAAGAAGTAGCCGAAGCCAAGGAGAAGGCACTGTCTGGCAGTGAGCTCTCTGCCGACCATCTCTATCATCACATCTACTATCGCACACCCGGCGTTGTAGCTCGCGGTACCGAGCCCTATGAATTCCATGCGTCAGCGTCCGGTGGAGTTTGAAAAGAAAATGAAGAAGAGAAACGATCTATATCCGTGAAATTATTGCCTCCATCGTCTGCTTGTTGGTCTCTGACCGTCATGGCCAGTGCGCTCTGATCAGCGCCTGTGTCCGGGTCACGCGTGCAGCCTTCTTGCCTTTCTTGTGCTCGCGTAGTACCTGTGTGTGGTGCAAGTTTGCTTCACCAAACACATTTTAGACAAATCCGGTTTTTTATTCTTATCATTTTGTTCTTGTTTGCAGCGCTACTTTAAGTTATGGCTAGCTTGATCGTGTGTCACACACGCTAGAGTCTTTATATTTTTGGTTTGTTTGGAAATTCTTTCTCCTGCTCGATGTTCGAGGCAAGATAGTTTGTCATGTGTTGCAGCACATGCGCATCATTTTGACACCATTCTTTATAGTTCATAGTAATTTTGTTGATATTTTTGTGTAGGGCTGCTGGTGCGCTTCCAGTGAAGTGTCGGGTACTCTTCTCTCCGCGCATTGCAAGTATCTACTCCAATAGCCAGAAGAGCCAGTGCCGGCGTGACGTGTGTGTGTGGCATGCTGTTGTCATGATGCGGTCCTTGCAAGAGTTCATAACCGCCTCGGGCCTGAGGGTGGGGGGAGTTATGAACTCTTGGTCATGGTCGTAGTTGCATATTGCCGTAGACCAGACTATGGTCAGTGTGCATGTGCTTGATGCAGCTCGGCTATAGAGGTTATGCGGTTACAGTCAACTTTGCGTATAACGACATTCGGGCGGGCATCAGAAAAGTGTCCTTATTCGCGAAGTGTCGTTATACCCGAAGTCTCATTGTATGTATACAGGTAGAATGGACTCTGCTCTGGGCATGGACATTCTGTCGTTATTCGCGAATTGTCGTTATATCCGCAGTCGTTATTAGCGAAGTTGACTGGACATCACCAGTTGAGATGTGTTGGCGAAGTTGCGGCACAGCGCTGCATACATAGCCTCCTTAAGCTGTTCTGCTGTGCACTTAGCGTCCATAAGTGAATCCGCTGACTCACGCTCTATATTTAGCGCCAAGAGTACTCTTGTGAGCGACCATATTAAAGCAGTTACGCTGACTCCTCCGTGAAATCTTTCTCATAACCTCTATCTACTTCGATGCAGTTTTATCGTAATTACTTATAATGAAGGCAATCTGATGGATGTCAGACTCCTGCATGCATATCGCTCCGGCCCCTCGCCCTGTTGGCTCTGTACTATGACACCATGCAGTTGTAAGGCGTTCAATGCACCATGCACACACACACACACACACACACACACACACACACACACACACACACACACACACACACACACACCATGTGCTGTGTATACGACCGTTGCAAGAGAAGCACGCAAATCTGCAAACACGCACACACACACACACACACACACACACACACACACACACACATGTACACACACAAACACACACACACGTACACACACAAACACACACACATGCTTTGTCTTGGGCCCCTGGCCCTCTTGGATCACTCTTCTTGATGCCATTGATGGCCTCGAGTCCTTGCATCAGACCATGGCCAGAGGCATTCAGTCCTCATCGTTCTTCTACCTGTGTAGCTTGGCAACACACACCTTTTTGTGACCTTTTTGACGCCCATCACCGGAGGCAATGATAGCGATGCTACGGCAGAAGCCATAGCGACTTGTGCTGGGATCAGTGGCGGATCCAGGGGGGGGGGGGGTTCCGGGGGTTCCATGGAACCCCCTAAATTTTGCAAAGTGTGCGGCTGAGAAATATCGAAAATATCATGTGTGCGTGTGAAAGGACGTCCATCCGATCACAGTCAGTGCAGTCACTGAGTCAAGCCTCAAGGAGCACAGACTGTCAGTCAGTGCACTGCATGCGCATGCGGTTGATCGCTACTGTACGGATAGTAGTCTGTACTGGTGTTCACGTCCGTGATTTACAAACGGACACTGTAGACAACATTGGGTGGTTGTTTCCTTTTTGATCTTTCGAAACGAACCAAACTTACCTCCATTGGCGCTGTCATTCACTGCTGCTCAGGACGGGTGTGGTGTGGTCAGTATTCCTTCGGGACATGTTTTTTGCAGAAGAGAAAGGATGTTCCGAGTACTGACATTCTTCAACGAACTTCGAACCGTACACGTAGAGTTCAATCTCCTCAGAAGATGAGGGCTCCGACATCCAAGCAAAGTCAGTAATCTCTACCTGCTGCAGCATTCAGTAGTGTATAGTTGTTCCTCCGCAGGAACGGAGTGCTGCGCCAGCGATGTGTTTTAGATGACATTGGAAGGATTGTACCCCGTCGACACTGTTTCGCTGTTGTTGTTTCTGTCACTGAAGTGAAGACGATGCTCTTGTCCTGTGACTATAGAGCATTTCGCATCGTAAAAATGCCAAAAATTTCCGAAAGTACAAATGGACAGGGAAAGTAATTACTCAGTTGTCATTTCGGCATTCCTGGCTCTCAACGCACCCATGGCTTGCATATTCGATCTTTACAAGAAGTTGAAAGGGTCTTCAAGCCCTCACTGAACCTATGTGCCAATCGATTGCATACATGTATAATTATGATTATGTGTCCGTACTACAATGTAGGGTAAGCAGCAGCATTTGGCCCTGTATACAGGTTTTCCATCGTCCACCACACCACAACTGCGCTCCGACTCAGTCTCCAGCGATGCTGGTGTGTTGTGGCAACGTGTCGAGGCCGGCTGGAGAGCGCAGTTGTGGTGTGGTCGATGATGGAAAAATATAATAATTATAATAATAATTATTATGTCCGTAGTGTGTTTTAAAAGCATGCGATTCCCACTAACACAATCGGATTGTCGTAATTTTACAAGTGTCAACCGCACAACTTCAAAACAATCTGATTCCATAATATTTTGGCTGTTCAATTTTGGCTCAACCGGAACCCCCCTGTAGAGATCTCTGGATCCGCCCCTGGGGATTGCACCATTCAACAGCTTGCATGCCTGATGAATTGACCCCACTACGAGTATTCAGCCTGGTCTACACCGCACAGCTATGAAGTGGCTTTTTCTGGCCAGTGAATCCCACATTTTTGGTCTTTTTCATTTTTCTCCCGCACATACATCACACCACAATTCCCACGCGCACACATACATGAACATTCCAACCTCAGCTATCAGTTTCCAGTGGTTTCAGCCTCATGTTCTCCGTGATGGGTCCACAAACGACAGAACGGTTCCGTTGGCAGATTGAGAGTTCCAACCACATCTTGTAGCAGCTCAGCTGCGGTCGAAGTCGTGCGGTAGATCTACGCGTATTAGACAGACGATCGTTATTTATTTACAAAGTAGTGATTTGGTAGCCTACTTAGGGCGCGTTCGAATGGTCACTCTTTGACTTTTCGAGGAGTTTCGTTTTTCTGAAGAGGTGACCTCATTGGCCTCTTCAGAAAAACGAAACTCCACAACCTCATCCGATGGGAGAGGTGGATTAGTTCCGAAGAGCTTCTTCGAGATGGTCGATCCGACCGGACGTCAGAAAAACTCTAAAATGATAGAAACCGTTCTATTGGGAACGCATGCCAGTAATGGTGCTTGACTGACTCGAAGTCCGGCCTGGTAAGTTCAGTACCGGTACGTCTTCTGTCTATTGCAGTGTTGGCTAAGTCAAAGAAGATTACTTCTTCGACGATTCAAGAGTGTACTGTCTCGGGTAGTGCGCTGTTATTTTTACTAAGTTTTGGCCTTTTAGGCGTCTCCGAGTCTTGTGGTGTTCCTTATTCTTTCTTATTGAGATGCACAACCCTACAAAAAGACGAGACGAGGGCAAACAGCATCGTCGAGAACATGTACCGGCACATGTACATCTACATGTACATGCCTGTGCAGTACTGCCAGTGGGGCTAGGGCCTAGTAGGGGCTGTAAACCTGTATTTCTGTGCAGAGGTCTGCGCCGCAAAACTCGAACAACTCGCAGGGCCAACCTCTTTCTACATGCAGGACAGACGCTTGCAGATCTACAATGTAAGTAACTAGTTACTTCAGCCCTCACCATCGTCCACACAGATTTCAAAAGCGTCGATCTCCATTTTGAAAACATGGTGGCTGGCCGCGCTACCCGGCCTTAGCAGTTGTAGGTCCTTCTTCGGACGACAGCTTACAGTCACAGTACAGGTGGTAAGAGTCCAGAACATAAGCATAACCGGCGGTAGCCCTCTGCACATGCCGAGGCTCTGGTCCTGGGTCATAATTATCAAGGACCCTCGGTTGTCTGCTACTAGTGCTAGACTGCTTGCCAGCGCGCGGTGCACCGGCACACCGGTGGTAGACTTGCAAAACAAGTAGTGGAACACATCGCACCATGTTCACGAGTGACTCGGGTCACGTTTGCCACGTGCTTTCTCAGAATTCCAGCCGGCGTTGACCAATAGACGTCGACTACTTCATGTTCTCAAGTCTCTCGAGCCTTCCTCCCGTACGATCTCCGTCTACCGGACATGAACTTATGACCCCGGCCAATGCACATCTCGAGTCTCAAACTGTTTACGAGCTTCTTGGAACTACAACTAATACTTACCAGGACGCAGCTGCGGAATTTCCTTCGAACGCCCGAACGGCTCATTTTCGTCGCTGTTGTTGTCGGAGGCGGTTTGAGTTTCAGCTCTCTGACTCGGAGTTTCCTTCTCTTGCATAGCTGTTGGTGGTTTGTGTTCTCGTATCAAATTGCACTCGAGATGAACTGAGTTGTGACTTGTGTTATCGTACACGATGCTCCACCTTGAACAGTTTCAAGTACCTAGTGTTTTATGACGCTCCATGTTACTGAAGGACTAACTTCGATCATTGGTTTTGTAGAGCCCCATTCTCTAGGAGCTGTCTACATCTGCTTTGTTTCAATGTCCAGCATAAGCGAACGTGTGGATCAAGCATAACTGCTTGGTTGACGCTGCCGCGGGAATGCGTATAATAATAATAATAATAGTGTCTGATGCTGATAGTCGACAGACCAATCCCTAAACCGCCCGGTAACGGAGTGCTTCTTCTCTGAAGCAGGGACTTGAAGAACAACTATCCGTCTTGCTTTTGAGGTTGGTGGCGAAGTGGTGGTACGAAGCAAAGGCAGAGCTCCGCTATGTAACCGCAGTCCTGTGAGAAGTTTCAACCAGTGATTACGAGTGACTGAAGCGATGGTAAGGGCTTGATTTCGTGGTCATGGGTTGCTAACAATTGTGGAGGTCGTTTCTTTCCCGCCATCTACAACTTCATTTGTTCGGTGTGGCCGGTATTTGTTGTCCACGAAACACATGACTGGTATCTGCGCTGTGTCTTTCTTTCGCAATTGCACTTTGCTGTGCTTCACTGTTGCTCCATTGCCGCTGTACCTAACCTCTACGCTCTTCCTGTTTTGTTCTCCTTTTCTCTCCTCCAAGGTGACCGAAGAAATCGTTGCCATTATCAGTTGGACTGCGCATGCGCAAATTCCGTGGAAGAGTGTTGTCTCGCAAGAAGACCGATGCAAGCACGCAACACGTCCTTCGTGTACGTTGGTC